ACACACACACACACAGCGAGAGAGAGGCGAGACGTCTCACCTGCTTCCAGCGAGCCACAGCAAATCGAATTCGGTGCACACGAACCTGAGAATGGAGAATAAAGTTACCTCTCATTAAACGGCGTCTTTTTTTGCTCCACTTTCCTCCTGCCATGTGCACGGATATGGTCTTTGGTCATCAGCGAAGGCGAGACTGTCGAAAAGCACAAGGGTTGAACGGCGCGATTGTACCGAGAGCTTCTTCGCCACGGAACAGGAGGACTTGGGATCGCACAACAAGCAGTTATAGAGCCCGTCAGACAAACTTACCGACACAAGGCGGCTCTCGTGTCACTCTCTCTCTCTTTCTCCCTTCCAGAAAAACACAGATATGAAGAAAGAAAAAAAAAGAAAGGGAGCTGCTCTGCCTATTTTATCAGTCCTTCTTCTCCACAAACAGCTTGTTCATGTGCGCACATACTGCCTCATAATTGTCAAATGCGCTCAGCAAGCAGTTGTGGAAAGATGGTGGCGTGCCCAGCAGTTCGACGGTCTTCGCCGCGTCCGCGCCGTCCATCTGAAACTGTGGCAGACGTGCAATGGAGCTGACGTCATATTTTATGATCTCATCCTGCTTAGAGTAGAAGATCAACTTGCGGTTGTGCTTGATGCTGTTCCACGCGTCAATCGTGCGCAGGTCCCCCGCAAACAAGGGAAACAGCTTTTTCGTTACCTTCGGCGTCAGGTACGAGAAGGCAACCGCGGCATCTGACATGGCCGAGAAGCTGCGGTCCACGACGAGGGAGGCCTGTGGGTGGCACTGCGCCACCACTTCAGCAGCTGCCGCACCTCCGATACTGTGGCCAAAGAACACCAGGTTCTTCTCATCAATCTTCTCCTTCTCTACGTAGTACTGGGCAACGGAGGCGGTGTCCTCCACCACATCCCCCAGCATCGTGATGAAGCCAGAGCTGTAGCCGATGCCGCGCGGGTTGAAGAGCACCGCGTGCGCCTTCAGCGCGTCGGCGATGACGTGGATGTCGATAATTGTGTTCTCCAGAAATTCCGCGTTGCCGCCGCAGTAGACGACCCACCGAGACGTCTCGTAGGACTGTTTCACCACTAAGGTCTGCAGGCTCAGCTTCTTGTCTGACGACGGCACCGTCTGCACCTCGACGATTTTGTCCTTCTTTGCCAGGTCGCGCGCCGCCATCTTCACGCGCCGGTTGCGGAATTTCTGTTGTTCTATCACTTGCATGATGTTTCCCGGGTAGCAAGCGAGCATGATCAGCCCACCCATCACGCTCCAAAGCTGCAGCAGCGTCACGATGGCCGTCGTCCAGCCACTCATGGGCGGAATAAAATCCTTCGCCCCCCCCGCCATCGCCGTGGCGAGAAAGGGGAAGATGAAGGCGCGTGTGATGAGGTCGCTCTTGAAGCCGATGGTCGTGACGAACACAGTGGCGAAGACGCCTTGCACGGCAAGTGAGCAGCCATACCAGACAAAGGGGCCACGGGCAATGGCCAGATTTATCGCAAACCACCCAAAGGATGGCACCAGCACGCGCATCATGGCGGGAAGATAACGGGCCGCAGAGCTGTTGCCCGCCGCGACCAACAGCGCCACAAAAGGTTCGACGATCATTGGCGGGTGCGCAAATCTGTGTTTTCCTCAGCGTCCCTCAGGTGGTGAAAAATGATACGTGGAGTGAAAGTGAGAAAGGGCGGCTGAAGGTGGAGAAAACGAAGGCGCGGAAGAGAGGACAGTAAAGCGGTACAAGGCGGCGCGGCGAGTCCTGCAATCGACAACGAAGTCCGTTTGCTGATCCTCGCAAAAAAAAAAAAGGCAATTGCAATGAAGTTAGGGGCGACAGAAGACGAAACAAACAGCTGGTATTCTCATGCAGGTGGCAAAGACAGAAGGAGAGGGAAAAAAAAACACCACTAGGCAATCGAGAAGACTGTGCACACCTCAACGACTACGTAGCGACACCACAGTGACCTCTTTGCTACCCAATAGAACGATAATAGCTGCGGTAATGCTCCGAAGTACACGAATATATAAAGAAATATTGAAAACCAACCGGTTAAGAAAAACTCGAGAAGATCAATAATAATTTTAAAAAGAGAAAGCGCAAACTGAGCGGATTTGTTCAACAGCAAAAGAGACAAAGAGACGAACAAGATGACAGCAGTGGGCAAACTGTCTGCAATGTGCCAAGCGGGCAGCACACACACACACACGCAAAGAAAGGATAGAGAAGAGATTGAATATGTTGAATCTTATGTGTACGATTTTAATATTGATTGGAAGTGTTCGTGTGCGAGTGAAACCCACCAGGGAAAACAAAATGGGCGTTGCACGTATCAACACAAACACAAAACATAACAGCAGGAAACACAAAAGCGGTGCGGTCGAAAATGTACGGAAGGGGGGAGGGAGAGGAAGAGCAGTGGAAATACAGTTGGGAAACAGGACACGAGAAGGCGTTGACTGAAACGGCTTCATTGGTCGGGGTTGATTGCTGTTGCCCACGTAGAATACAAAACTCACAGGGACTTCATGAGCTTCACACACACACACTCTCTCTCTCAAACGGGAAAAAAAACGTATGAGGATTCGTTACACAGTTGAGCAGCACGGAGGAGGCGGAGGAACCGTACTGTAAGGAGCCTCTGCCAAAGCGAAGAGAGACGTTGTTTGACGCTGTAGTGTTGTGGTCTAGAACCTCAGTTTCCCCTTCGTGACAAGCTGTGCCGTATTAGGGTGCTGCGCGATCATATGCAACTGAAAAACATGGTGAAACACGTTGAACAGACAAGACGTGTTCCGCTACAATTCAAGGCGAACATCATTCGTTCATCGCGTCTGTCGCTCTTCTTATCTCAAATGGGCATCTGAGCTTTTATTGGGGGGGACTCTTTTTACAGTTACCTCAATGACGCGCTTCTCAGAAGGCAAACACGGAATCATGGACCAGCAGAGAGCAAAAAAGCATGAAACCAACTTCCTTAAATATTTCAGGTTGTACATATCAAGTAATCGTTGCCGTTGATGCAACAACAACAAAAACACCCACGAGGAAAGGGAGAAAAAAAACACAATAACCAACTATTACACAAAACGATAAGAAGATAAGAGGACAACGAAACGCGTTGTTGAGACGTAATTGCTTCCCTTCGCTCGCAAAAGGCACCTCAAGGCTTAAACCCACACGTCGTTTCATACATTGTCCACAATTTTCAAGACTAATGATTAAAAAAAAAAGAGACTACTGTTCAGTATACTTGTCGACGGCTTCTGCCCCCCTCCCCCCCCCCTCCCGCGCATACTTTCGCATCTGCTTAAGTACTCGTTGATCCTTCTCGCATCCAACCTCTACACGTTGTACGGCAAAGCGTTTCCGACTGCGGCACATCTGTGCGTCACGGTTGTGTCGAGCCCCCTGTCCCCTCCGCGACCCGCCAAGCTCATTGCGATGGTAAAGTCTCGGCGTCGCCGCGGGAGGTGTGACACATCTTCGCGTAACAGCTCAATGCCATGTCCCTCACTTTCAACATCCAGGCCGGCCTTTCATGATTCAACTCCAGATTTGCATCCGCATCCGTGCGCAGCCACACGGAGTAGATGTAGCCAATCGTGAAGACGATGCCGGAGAGCAGGAAAACAAACGAGTGATCAAAAGGGAAAGGGTGACTTGACGTGATGGACCAGGCAAAAAGCGGCGTCACCACAAACGGCACAAGAGTGCGCGTTAACGCACCGCACGCCTGGTTGATACCCATGATCGACCCGACGTGCCCGACCGGAGCCGAGCGCGCCGTCAGCATGGCTACCAGACCGTAAGCCCACGATGCGAAGAACTGCCGCACGCCGGTGCACAGCACGATGGTGATAAAGAGGAAGTTACCGAGATTGAAGTACGAAAGAAAGGGCAGAATGCAGATGAAGATGCCACAGCACGCAAGGGAGATACGGTACAGCGACAACTTGTTGACGTAGCGCTTGCATGCGCCGTGGAAGAGCAGGTTGGATGCCACAACTGGGACGCTGTTGGTGAGAATAAGGTAGCCAACCTTATCAGCCTTAAAGCCCAGGCCACCCACCGACGCAGGGGCAATGGCCCACAAAGGAACGATCTCCTGCACCGCCATATCCGCTGCACTGAGCAGCATGTAAAAGATGAGCATGGTGCGCGCCACGGGCGTCTGAAATGCCTGCTTGTAGCCGAAACGCTTCAGCACTACCGGCGCGCCGTCGTTCTGCTCCGCCACGGCAACGGCGGGTTCGCCCTTCGCATCCGAGCTATCTGTATCGACAACGATGAGACCGTCTTCGTTGTCCGTGCAGTTTTCTTTCTCCTCCTCGTTCTGCGCTCTGTTTTCCCGCTTAGTACTGGCAGCGATGGGGGAGGGGCTGCGCTTCCGTGCCATCGGCTGGATACTGGCGTCATCGGGGGCCCCCTCACCCCTCGCGTCCAACGTCTGATTCAACCGTGTCCCCTCCAGCGGCTTCGGTGGGGTGATCTGCCCGTCATGCGGTGTCACCGCAGCTGTGTGCGGCGCGGCCATCGTGAGCGTTTCCGCCGCGACGAGTTGGTCGAAGCGACGGTCCTCGCGGAGAACAGGGGAGGCGATGAACAGCGAGGCCACCGCACGCGTCATCGAGGCGTTCGCGACAAGCCCCTCCGCGGTGCATATGGACATGCCCATCACATCTTCGCTCTCCTCGTCAGTGTTGGTGTGTGCGCCGCTCTCAGCGTCGCTACCGCCGAGGGCGGCGGTGGCGCGGTCAGCCGCCGCTTGTGCTTTGTCAGAAGGGTGGACAAACATTTCCGGCTCGCGCCAGAAACAGGGGTACACGAACTTGAGTACTTTCGGCAACGGCTTCGCATGTGGGTTGGACTCCATCACGAAGAAAGTGCAGATAGTCATGCCAATATTCGTGTAGACGAAAATCACCAGGCTCGGCAGAAAGGCTGGGTGACGACTGAAGAAGCCGTCTTTATCGAAGTGCGCCCAGCACAACGCTGACGAGTTCGCCGGGTCGTAGAGAAGACCACCGAGGGTGGGGCCGATCAGTACACCGATGCCGTAGCAGAGACTGACGAAGGCGAATCCTTTTGCCTGGTGTGTCGTGTCTGTGATGTCTGCCATCATCGTCTTCGCCACGAGCACGTTGCCGTTGAACAGGCCGTGGAAGAAGCGAAAGACGGCACACATCCACACATTGGTGCTGAGACCAAAGCCCAGCATCATCAGCCCGCTCGTGAAGAGGCCGCTGATGATGGGGAAGCGCCGACCGTACTTGTCGCTGATGCGGCCCCACGTCTTCGCGCTCACCATCTGTCCTAACATGAAAACACCAATGAGAATGCCAGATTCGTACCCGGCTTTCTCGACGGCGATGTTACTCAGGTGAGAAACCAAGAGACCGACAAAGGGCAGAAGCATCGTCCCACAAATACTCTCGTTGAGGAGGACAAACGTCATGGGCAGCATTTGGTTCATCGGCAGCGGTGTCGCGTGCGGGTGCCTCGCTGGAGGCTCGGCCGTTGAATCCTCCACCTGCCTGGGCTCATCGCTCTCACGTTCCACAGGACTCATGATTTTCTTTTGACTTTTTTTTTGAGAAGTTATGGCAAATCCACCTCCGACGATAAGTAAAGAAAGCGAGCTTTTTTGTGACTTCGTTAGCACGTAAAAGTGGCAGCAACGCTTTCTGCAGAAGCAAAAGAACAAAGAGGGTATTGTTTTCCCTTTTAAGCAAGAAGAGGGTGATAATTCACTGCGAGACAACAATGTCACCCTGAAAAAACACAAACGAAAAAACAAGACACAAATTCAATACGAAATAATAATAAAAAGAAAAACGTTGTCCCTTACGCTAGGGAGAAGAAAAGAAGCAGCAAGGGTAACAAACACAGCTATGGCTCTGATTGGTGTAGACGCGTAAGCCCAGGAGTGAAATAAAAATATAAGACAACAACGAGAACAGAAACTTAAATACAAAATCACGTTAGCTGATCTTCTCTACAAGTGTTTGTCTCGAGTTGTGGGAGTATATATATATATATATATACAAATATATATCAATATAAATATTGAAAAAAAAAACGTTTACCAGAGTCGGATTGTTGACCAACACGGAGCGTGGTACAACAAGAACAACGATTTATATACTGTTTTTTAATGAATTTAGCAAACCAGAAGATTCGAGACAAAGGAAGAAGCAAACGTTTACAAATATTACGTCGGTGTACGAACTTAATGTTGAGAAGAAAAAAAATAGGTGGACGGAGTCAAAATCACACAGCTTCCAGGAAGTTGGTGGGAATGAGAAGAGGCTAAAAACCGGACGGAGCGTCTTCTACTCATCGAGGTGTTCTTTTCCCCCTTGAGTACTTTTTTTTTTTTGCAAACGCGAATGGTGGGAAATGGTGAGATTGCACCGTGTCCAATGGCGGTGAAGCAACGAAGCAGGTAGAGGGAGGAAACAAAGAAAAGAAAGAGAAAGTGATAGTGCATAGATGCGACGTGCGGTGGTAATCCACATGCAGGAAAGGTGATGGACGACGGATAGTACCATCAACGAATACACGAAGAAGCATACCGCAAGAACAGCAACACAAAAGAATCCAAACATGAGGAGTTAGAGGTAATAAAGCTGATTGGTGTAGGACGCATTCAGCAAACGCACCAAAAAGTAACCATTTGAGAGCATTTCGCTGTCAAATAATCCAGATGCAAGACGTCTTCGAAGGATGGAGCTTCTGCCCGTGACATCCAGTTTTTGGTCCTTTTGTATGACGACATCCGCAAGGGAAAGCAAAAGGTCATCATAATTACCAATAATAGCGAGTTTCTTGAAAATTAAAATAACCTCAAAAAAGACGAAAATAAAACAGCGTTTCAGCGAAGAAACAAAACTGAATTCGAGATTTAATCTGGATGAAATTAGTTTCAAAAAAGGTTGTTTTGTCAAATTAGAGGGAGAGGGGCGGACTCTTCCACGTTCCTCACGGTGCTTATTTCCTTTGAAGCCCCCATCTGCTGAAGGCACAGAAGTACTCCACGTGTGTCTGAACGTTTCGTCGCAACACAAGAACGTACCTCTCGTTGTGTTGATAGACAATTAAAAAAAAAAGAGAGAGATTAGCAATCCTGAAAGAAAAAGAAAAAGATAGTAAAATAAACAGCTAACTGTATCGAATAACAAACACGTTTATGAAGGTTGTTTTTTTTTTATAGAAAGGTCACGTTGTCTCCGGACACGAGTGAATTAACACTACTGACGCACGCTATTGAACTTGTCATAAACCCTTTTACTGGGATCTCCGTGGACTCGTCTCCAAATCATGAAAAGAAAAAAATAATAATAGTCAGTAAAAGAGAGAAAGAGGAAGAAAGGAGTAAAGCGAACCGCTGCCGAGACGAAGCAGCTTCTGCACTCACTCTTGCTTGAATACGCTCAAGTTGGATGCTTTATCACGATGAGACATGAAGCAAAAACCACCCTTAACGACACAAACTGTTGTTAAAGCAAGGGAATGGAACAACGAAGGGGAGCCACGAGATCAGCTCCAAGACCCCATGAAGGAGAGGAGCAGGACATAGTAGCGTTCAGAGCCCTTTGTTGTTCCTGTCGGGTTAAATGGGTTCGCAGTAGCAAGCACGGATCCTTGCCACAATACGGTGCACCTCCTCACGTAGCAAATCGGCGTTACTGAACCATCTGCAGGTTGCCATCCATGTCCGTGCGAATGCTGTAGGAGCGCCACCAGCCAACGTAGAATACGGCCGCAGAAAGCAAGAAGATAAAAGCGTGATCGAAAGGGAAGATGTGATCACCCGAGATAGACCAGGCGAAGAGCGGCGCAGCGATAAACGGCGTCAATCCGCGCACAGAGGCGTTGCACGACTGGTTGATGCCCATGATCGAGCCCACGTGACCGGGAGGGGCCGCGCGCGCCGTCAACATCGTGTTGAGGCTGTAACACCACGACACAAACATCTGTCGAACGGCCGTGCACAGGAACACGAGAACGTACACCAGCACGGTCGAGTCAACGTACGAGTTGAACGGTAGCAGCAGCACGGCAGTGCCAGCGATGAGCATGCCAAGACGAAAGAGGCCCATCTTGTTGTGGTACTTGCGCTCAAAGATACGGAAGAAGATGTTCGCTACAAAGTAAGGGGCGCTGTTCAGCAGAAGAATGTAGCTCACTTGGCTGATGGTCATGCCAAGGCCACCCGCCGCCGCCGTGGCAACGGCCCAGAGCGGGAAGCACTCACGCGCGGCCATATCCGTAGCACACAGCATCATGTACTGAATGAGCATAAACCGCGTGTAAGGAGATGAGAAAGCTTCTCGGTAGCCAAAATGTGTGACTTTTGGCTCTTCTAGTGATGGCACGGGAACGTCATCGCTACGGTCGGTGTCAGTCCTCTCAACCGTGGAGCCCGCAGGTCCCCCTTTCTCCCCTGCATGCTCTTCCGTATGTTGCAGCTTCTCAACTTCCGCAGTTGATTGCTCGTCGCGGTCCGCGCCCGCAACGGCGAGGGTTTCCTGCTCCTCCTTTTCCCACTGACGGTCGTCTTCTTTCTCTACGGGAGAGAAAGGTACGGCGACAACTCCGCTGCTAGTGGCAGAAATGGTCATCGAGTCGCTGCTGTCGTGCAGATCTTCGTGCTTGCGCGCGTCACTTTGGTAACTGGACGCGGTGCCGGTTTTCTTTGTCGGCTCAACGGTGGTGACCGATGCGCTGGCCCCCCTTTCATCTGTCTCTTCCTCCTCACTCTCGTCCTCGTACTGGATGGGGGGTAACACAAAAGGCTCCGACTTGTACCACAGGCACGGGTACACCAGCCGAATAAAGCCAGGAAGAGGCTGCGCGTGCTGGTTGGACTCCTTCACAAGAAACGTGCACACAAGCATGCCGATGTTCGTGTAGATGAAGACCACTAAACTGGTAAGAAACGCAGGATGTGTGCCGAAGAAACCCTTTTCGTCAACCTTGGCCCATGCAAGCCCTTTCGAGTGGGCGGGATCGTAGAGAAGACCACCAAGGGTAGGTCCTATAAGAAATCCAAAAGCACTACACAGACTCATGAAGGAGAAGCCGCCGGCTTGGTTCGTCTTGTCCGTGATGTCCGCCATCATCGTCTTCGCCACGAGCACGTTGCCGTTGAACAGGCCGTGGAAGAAGCGAAAGACGACAAGGAGCCAGACATTGGTACTGAGACCAAAGCCAAGCATCATCAGCCCGCTCGTGAAGAGGCCGCTGATGATGGGGAAGCGCCGACCGTACTTGTCGCTGATGCGGCCCCACGCCTTCGCGCTCACAACCTGCCCGAGCATGAACATGCCGACAATCATACCTGAGAAGTAACCGGCCTCGTTCACGGGCACCCCGCGTAGAAAGGCGACAAATGGTCCCACGAAAGGCATCAGCATCGTAGAGCAAATGCTCTCGTTCACCATCACAAACGTCATGGGAATCATCTGCGACAGCGGCAGCGGCGTCACCTTCGCCTTGCGCACACGTGGTGGGTTGGCCGCCGTTTCTCCTGCCAATCCAGCATCTTTGTTCGGCGGCATGACCGTGTTGACCAACCACGAGTTCCCCTTTTTGATGTGTCTGTGTGTCTGTGTGTGTGTTGCTGTATAGGTGACGCGTGACCGGGTAGGAGACACGTCTGGTGCTCCCTTTCGCTTCGCAGTACTAAAACGTTCAAATGCGTGTGTGTGTTCCGTCTACAAACACAAGAACAAAAAAGAGACAAATAATGGTACCGCTTTCAGAGCCGTTTCGTCAAATATTGATTTTCTGTGCTTCGAAGAGAAATGGTTTCAAAGACATGAATGCGAATCGTTCCCGTATGAGGCTTGACAAGTGGCGAGACGAGTACAATTTATCCAGTAGAGACAAATACACGCAATTTCTTTTTTCTCTCACGACTGCTTCAGCGTTGACAGAGAAGAAAATGCGGACACTGCAAAAAAGAGAGAAGGTGCTCCAGAACCGTCGCACAGCGTGTGGTAACACAGAAGAGCGGAGACAGGCAGAGCGAGAGAGACAGAGTCTTGTTAACGGACAGCAAATCACATGAGAAAGAACAGCAAGCAGATTTAAGAAACAACGAAACAATTGCCTTTTAAGTTGAAAGAAAGTGGAAGAAACAAGTTCACTAGGCCCCCACCCAACGTTGCTCTCGGAGCCATGCAATTTGATCGACAACGGCTTCTGTCGGGACAACATTAGGGGGCTTGATGGCCGCACGAATTAAAAGAGAACTAAAAGAAAACAACAACAGCGTAGCTCAATCTAGGTGCGTGTTTAACGACAGGAAGAAAAGAGAAGGTTCAAAAAACAAATATGTATATACAGAGGCCTCAGTGACGGTCCGTGCTCCCTTTCCACAACATTAAAGGAAGCAAATAGAACGATCCGCACAAGAGAGCGCACGAATTGCAGTCACCAAACTCTTCGATTTTCTTTGACTGTTTTATCGTACGTGATGCACCGCAGGCGATTGGCTGCGAAGTGTGTGTGTGAACGGTGTGACGTAGGTAGAGAAAGCCTTTGTGTACGCGGCACAGCGGCGTCTGTGAAGCATTAATGGTGTTAAGTGAAAGCGATGCCAAGAGACAGAGATAGAAAAAGGATGAAAAGAAATGTGGGAGAAGATGTTGATTTGACAGCGAAAGGTGAGGTCGCCGCGAGGGTGTATGACGCTTCGGCATGTTTTCCTGTCTTGTGCGCTCTGTACCAAGGAAAGACAATATACATACTTGTCCCTGGTGACGAATTTGTACAAATACGAGCGATGTACTTTTCTTGTTCTCTACAGCACTTTACAGACCGTTGACAGATACCACGCCCTTTCACGCTTACGAAGGCCGAGGTCGGACTTAGATTAAAACACGGAAAGGAAAAAAAAAAGAGGTTCAACACTTCTTTTGAAAAAAGGCCAGTTCGTTAGATCATTTCCGCCCAAGAACTTGCGGTACACGAGACTGTGGAGCTTTCTTACGGCAGGCAATACACGCTGCTTAGCGAGCCCCAGCAGCGTCGCTACTCTACCATTTGCAAGTTGCCATCCATGTCAGTGCGAATACTGTAGGAGCGCCACCAGCACCAGTAGAACATCAGTGACGAGATGAAAAACACGAGTGCGTGGTTGAACGGATAAGCGTGATCGCCTGAAATGGACCAGGCAAACACCGGGGCTGCCGCAAACGGTACGATACCGCGCACCAAGGAACCGCAAGACTGGTTGATGCCCATGATCGAGCCCACGTGACCGGGAGGGGCAGAACGAGCCGTCAACATTGTGTTGAGGCTGTAGCACCAAGAGCAGAACATCTGTCGCCCGGCCGTGCAGAGGAACACGAGAAGGTACACCCAGAAGGAAGAGCCCAAGGACGAGTTGAACGGCAGCAGTATCACCACCGTGCCGGCGCCGACGACGCCCACACGGAAGAGTCCCATTTTGTCTGTAAAGTAGCGCTCCACAATACGGAAGAGCAGGTTCGCCATCAGGCACGGTGCGCTGTTCGCCAGAAGGATGTAGCTCACCTGGCCGGAGGTCAGGCCCAGCCCTCCGACAGAAGTGGTCGCCACTGCCCATAGCGGGAAGCAATCACGTGCGATCATGTCCGTCGCGGAAAGAACCATGTATTGCGAAAGCATAAAACGCGTGTAGGTGCAGGCGAACGCCTCACGGTAGCCAAACTTCGTCACCACTGCTTCACTGGTCACCGTCGAATGACTACTGCCGTTGCCGGCATTATCGTCGGTATCTGGGCGGATTGCAAGGGAGCTTGCCGCCTCGCCATTCGCGCCGCGAGCGCCACTCCACACCTCCACCGCCACCACTGTCTCATCAGCGCCGTCTTCGGCGTCGTCCCTTGCGCGCACCGGTTTCTCTGCCGCAGAGGTGGGGCTCAGCTCGTGGCACGGTGCCCCTTTCTGCTGTCCCGCGATTGACGCAGTCGCAGCATTGGCCGTAGAGGGCTTTTCTGCTACAACAGACATTTCCTGTGCCACGTCGAAGCCACCGCGGAGCGGACCGTCCTTCTCTACGGGGGAGTACACCGGCGACATGCATGTCACGTCACTCGCCGTCAAAACCACTGCTTCCCGTGGGAGGGAGAGGGCCGTGTCAGAGTCGCGTCCCTCACGGCTACCCTTGTAACCGCCCCTATCTGCGCTGCCCTGACTCGCGATATCCGTATGATCTGACAAACGATTTTCTGAGTTACTCCCGTCTGTCGCCGCGCTCACATCGGCCTCCTCCTCACTCTCGTCCTCGTACTGAATGGGGGGTAACACAAAAGGCTCCGACTTGTACCACAGGCACGGGTACACCAGCCGAATAAAGCCAGGAAGAGGCTGCGCGTGCGGGTTGGACTCCTTCACAAGAAACGTGCACACAAGCATGCCGATGTTCGTGTAGATGAAGACCACTAAACTGGTAAGAAACGCAGGATGTGTGCCGAAGAAACCCTTTTCGTCAACCTTGGCCCATGCAAGCCCTTTCGAGTGGGCGGGATCGTAGAGAAGACCACCAAGGGTAGGTCCTATAAGAAATCCAAAAGCACTACACAGACTCATGAAGGAGAAGCCGCCGGCTTGGTTCGTCTTGTCCGTGATGTCTGCCATCATCGTCTTCGCCACGAGCACGTTGCCGTTGAACAGACCCTGAAAAAAACGGAATACGGCACACACCCACACATTGGTGCTGAGACCAAAGCCCAGCATCATCAGCCCGCTCGTGAAGAGGCCGCTGATGATGGGGAAGCGCCGACCGTACTTGTCGCTGATGCGGCCCCACGTCTTCGCGCTCACAACCTGTCCTAACATGAAAACACCAATGAGAACACCTGAGTAGTAACCGGCCTCGTTCACAGGGACACCTTGAAGGAAAGCTACAAATGGTCCCACGAAAGGCATCAGCATCGTCCCACAAATGCTCTCGTTCATGATAACGATCGTCATGGGAATCATCTGCGACAGCGGCAGCGGCGTCTCCTTCGCCTTGCGCATCCGCGACGGCGGCGCCTGTGGCTCTTCGGAGGAGGGTGCCCTCTGATAGGCTTTCCTGTGGGTCGACATTTCTGTCCCTCTTATTAACGCTGCTCGCGATATATTGTTTTTGGTGTGTAGGTGGACGAGTCACCCAGCTAGGCAAACGGTTGCCCGATCGATTTACAGTACAGTTGGCTAATGCGCAATAACAAGACAACAAGAGCACTTACGGTGCACCACGCAGCGCAGCGCTATGAAGGCAAGCGATGAAAGCGGCAAGCACCCCACCTAACGAAACGATGAACAAACAAACCAGTGTAGAAAAACAAAAACAAAATAGCTGGTCGTGTGGACTCGAGCCACAGCAGGAAAGACGAAAACAAAGAAAAAGTACAGAAGCCTAAAAAAGAAACCGTCAGACACACACAGAGAAAGCGACCGACTCCCGCTGTTATTCTCAAAAAAGGGAGAAAAAATCTTAAATCAACTAGACCAAAAGGGGAGTTATGAACTAACAATAATGAAGGAAGAACTTAACAACACAGGAGGGCTTCGAATACAACCTTGAAAAAGGGTACCCCAGGACCAATCCAACAGAAGAGGAAATCGATGGGCGTACTGAGTTGCATGCGCTTTCGCCTCTCACAAATTGATAAATAATGAAGGAAGGGGAGAGGGAAGGGAGAAGGAGGGTGCAGCCACAACGAACGGCGCGGTGGTGCTTACGTGGGCTCACCACTGCTGTTCTCAGTACCCAGTAAGGATTGATTGATGGTGGTAGCGGGGCGTAGAGATAGACGCGTAACGTGTAGTGCGCACGGATTCGACGAGGGAGGAAGCCCGGAAAAAAAAAAGAAAGAGGCGAAGGAAGAGAGCAGCGAAGAAAGGGAGGGGAAACAAATGGGTTGAAGAACACGATGACGCAGTTGGCTCCGGTGGGGGGACAAGTGAACCGAGGCAAGGGCGAACCCGGTGGGCTTTTGATGACGTTTCACCACCCAGCGAAAAATCGGATCCCGCAATCGATACACCTTCAGGCACGAAGTCGCAGCAGAAAAGATAACCCCAATGCAGCACGCATTAACGACACGATGTCGTTTGAGCGACCCCAAGCAAAGCTCGAGGGGGAAAAAATGTGGATCTGTAAAGAATATCGTGGCAGCAAATACACAGCGCTGTATGGTAACGATGCGCCCGAACAGCAATGATAATAATTAAAAAAATGTACGAACTATTGACGAGTCCCTCTTGCTCGTTTGCCCTCTTTCGCTCTCTTGCAGAATGACACTCAACACGCTAAGCTGAACGCCAACCCTTTCAACTTGCGTGTGCAGAAGGTGGATAAATAAAAAGTAGTGACCTTGGCAGGCAATTCACCCCGTCACACGGACCGGCAGGAGAGACGACGCGACGAAGCTGATCAGCAGGGGCGCGCAGGTGACCCAAAATACGAAGTGGAAATTGAAGGGAAAGGGATGCGTTGCGCCGTTCAATGACCACGCGAAAATGGGTGGGATAAACAGCATCGTGAGCATGCGTGAGAACGATCCAATTGACTGGGCGATGCCGTTGATGGACCCGGCACAGTCGTCCGGTGCACAGCGGACCACGTACATGTACAGGAGGCTATAGCTCCACGACAAACCAATCTCGCGCACCGAGGTGATCACGGACGCACTGTAGAAGATCGTTTTCTCGTCGGTGAAGTACGCGCAGCACGGAGTGAGGATCGACGTGACGCACCACAGCATCACAGAGAGGTCCCACAGCGGACGAGTAGCGCCGCCCATACCTTTCAGGATTCGGCTAAACACCACATTGACGGCCACGTAGACGAGGGAGGAGATACACAGGAGGGTGCCGATGTCCTCCGACGCAAAGCCCAAGCCGCCCTTCTCACGCTCCGAAATCGCCCACAGAGGAATAACTTCCAGCAGAGCGCTTTCCGTAGATGCAATACACATGTACATCACCATCACGTTGCGGGAGCTGGGCATGAGGAACGCTTCGCGGTAGCCGAACGTGATCGGGACCGACCGCCGACACGTCGGCTCATCGCCGGAGTCGATGTCTTTGTTGTGTAGTAGCTGCGGCGGACTTCGCACCGATAACTTCGAGTGGTCAACGCTCTTGGCGGCGGGGCTGTCCTCCACGTTCGCTGCGTTGCGTAACACCACCGCCGCTCGTCTGTCGCCAATCTGCGACGGCGTGTCCTGTTGCTGCTGCTGCTGCTGCTGATAGAACTGCTGTCGCGGTAGCTGTCCTTCTTCGTTTATGCGCCGATGCGACGCTGAAGTGAAGCTCGCGGTGGGCGATCGCGTGGCAAACTGCGGCGTGCACCGTCCCGCCACGACGTGGGTCCAGGCTTCCTTCTTCGCACCCATTCCAGACACCGCTGCACGACGGTCGTACTCCTTTGCCAGCATCGCGGAGGCGATCACGTTGTTGAGACTCTCGGACGACGGCAAGGCATTGGTGGTCGAGAAGAGGCGTTTCGTGAACTGGCGGCCGCCGTCACTGGGGCCCGACCGCGACCTCCAGCCATCACCCCGGCCCAACGCATCGTCGCCGTCGTCGTACGCCGAGTCGTCGTCGTCATCGCTTCCACCGTCGCTGTCTCCGTTTTCCTCCGCGACGGCAATTATCTCATCGGAAGCCGCGGTAACAGTTCTGCAGCTCTCCATCGCATTGCCTGGTAGCTTGACCTTTGATGTCCCTCGAACCGACAGCGACGAGGAAGGGGTGAAGAGCGACAGGAAGGGGTCTACTGGATGGCGGCTTGTCTCCGGTAACAGCCACGAGATGACGAAGAGTGTCATCACGGAAAAGACGCTGATCACGAGACACGGAAGCAAGGCTGGGTGGTCGAAAAACAAGCTTTCGTTATTCTCGTCCACGCCGGGGAAGAGCCACGGCCCCAGCACGGCGTGATGCACAGGGTCGTACAAGTAGCCGCCAATGGCCGGCCCAAGAATGGAACCGACCCCCCAGAAAATGCTAATGGCTGCGAAACCCATCCCCTCCGTCTCCTTGTCGGTGATGTCCGCAATCACTGTCTTGGCGACGAGTACGTTTCCGTTGGCGCAGCCGTGAATGAAGCGTGTGATCACGCAGAACGTCAATGTCGGGCTCATGCCAAAGAAGATGGACACGACGGCGTTCGCCAGCAGACCCACCTGGATCATCGGTTTGCGGCCCACGCGGTCGCTGGCGGTGCCCCACATCTTGCCGGTGAGCACCTGTCCCAGTTGGAAGACGGAGATCAGCAAGCCTGACATGTAGCCCGCCTCGCTCGGCGGGATGTGCTGCAGCCGGGACACAAATAGACCCACAAACGGCATCATCAACGTCGCAGATAGCGACTCGGACACCAACACAGCTGATAGGACAACCATGTTGGCGTAGAAGGAACCTTTACCGGCTCTGGATTTGCCCATCTTTCTTTGCGCCACACTGTAATTCCTTTTCTCCGTTACACAAACACAAACCAACACATCATAGGTTTTTTTCCTTAGGAGGGAAGGAGGAGGGCCAACCTCACAGCCCCGAAAACGAATTACCTTGAATGAATCGAGCAATGTTGCAGCGTTTCAAACAAGAGAAAATAATAATAGTTAAAAAAAAGTTTGCTTCGGTAAACCTCGGAACGGGTAAAGAGAGAACAATACAGTTTGGCGTTCAAAGCGGAGAAAGTAAGAAGGGAATAGATTGAAAAAATAAATATGAGGGGAAGGGAACAGAGAGGTGAGGATACAAATTGTCTCCTCAACTGGAATCCATGCTTCTAAAGGAAGCCAAAATAAAAAAGCAAACACGTCGGCAGTGACCGAAAACACAAGGGAGAAAAGGTAGAAAACGAAAGTAACGTATAGCAGACGACACGCTTTTAACGCGCTGCCGACACGCGGAGAAAGATATACGGCGCGGCGGGAGGAACACTTCGACTATTTCGAGATGATGGTGATGAGAGAAGGATATTCATAAATCAAGCAGTCTCTTCGCAGTACCGCTCCGCAACTGCTTCTTAATGAGATACGGCGGTCCCGTGCTGGTGTTCGGCTCCCGATAGATACGCTACAGAGACCTACACACTACTCGGTGAGGAAGACGCACAAACACCAAGGAAAATGGAAACGAAAAGAAAATCAAGAATTTCAAATGAGGAAAGTCACCACGCAAAGCAACACTGCGGAAATAATGTGATGCGTGACGAAGGTGCTGTGCGACCGTCGACTATCGGCTGCCGAGGCGTGCTGCGTCGGCGCCGCAGGAAAAAAAAACTGAAAACCTTTCTCCCTTGAAAGGACGTACTGCGAACTCCCCTGCGGTTTTTTTTTGTGGTTCTACGACAGCGAACGCACTTGGGGGAATGAAAACCCAAAAATTTATATCCAGGAATAAGACAAGACTTTCACGACGGAAGGTGTAGGTAAAGGAAGAAGGGGATGAGAAGAAACGACGAGGAAGCAGATGCAAAGCGGCGATGCGATCCAGGGGAAGAAGAAGAAAAAAGAATGATACAAACCAATCGCACTGTAAAGTTCGGCTGAAGTGCTTTCTTTGTCGCGGCAATATGCTAAAGGTAGCATCGCTTTGTCGACGAGGTGAATCGTTGACTACCAATACGTGGTTGGTACGTGTTGCCACTGTTGTTGCTCGTTTCAATACTGGCAAAGCGCAAAGGGATTCCGTGCACTTTATATACATATATTCATTTATGTGTGTCTAGCAGAAACATTCGCCTTCTTGGGTTCGAAGAGAAGAAACAATTTCGAAAAAACAGAGACACTTAACAACAACGAAACCACAACGATCATGGCGCCTATCTGTGCGGTCGCAGCGCCGTTTCACGGACCTACGCGTCGCAACGCATTGGCCACGTCCTGCAGTGTATGAAGAGGTGACAGCTCCACCACCTCCGGTGTCTTGTCCGCCCTGTCCATCTGCACACGCAGCGGCCAGCCCTCTTTACCGTCGCGCTGCCCGCATGCCTGCAGTTTTTGACCACAGCCTCCTTCACCTGTCTGCGTCGGCTGCGACATCTTGCGTATTACAGACACGAGTGTCGTTGATCTGGAGACTGCACACAGCTCTCGTGCGACTGGTCGAGCGGTGCGAAGTGTGCCTACGAAAGAGGTCCGCACAGCAGGCACCTCCACCACAGGCGACCGTTCCTGATGTGCGGGAGTGATGGGAGTCACTTCTTGCTGTGCGTGACGACGAGAGGCCTTGCGAGGAGGAGAAATGCAGTCGTGTGACGCGTGTGTTGTACCGTGAGAGGGCCCCGCATCGTTGTCCTTCCCCTCCTCCCCTTTCACATCTTCCGCGGCGACAATCACCTCGCTGTTTGGTGTTGCTGCTCGGTACTTCATCGTCGACTCCAGAAGCCGCATCAGCTGCTTTGGTCGGCGCGAGCGGGCCAGTGCCAGTTGCGCCGCGTTCTCTTCTGCTGCTTCGCCGTCAGCGCCTGTACTGCCGCCGAAGCCAAACCTGACGGCCTGTGTGACGTGCGGAACGTAAAGGAGACGTGTGTGCACTTCGGCAAGGATGTGCTGCTTTGCGGCCGGTGACGTGTAGACCGTCGCGTAGAGGCCGAAGGCCAGGGTCAGCGGAGAGAGATCTGCGCCAACACCGCCGCCGTTGCTGCGGCCACCTTTGCCACCCCGCTGTGGCGCTTCCGCCGGGAAAGGCGACGTTCTGCCTCTACGTGACGAAAACAACGGAGTGGACCGGGTGTGCGGAGGTCGTCGCGGCACCCGTGTGACGGCTGCGTTTGTGCGTAGCAGCGACGACACGCGCTGATTTCCTAGCGGGTTGCACAGCCACGTAAAAGGAGAGTAGACGGCACACCACCGCGGGCCGCTCCGCCGTCGACCATCCCCTTCACTACAGTCACCACTCATCTCTGTTGCCTCGGGTGCCTGATTTGCCTGTGAAACGGACTCCAGGGCGAGCACCATTGGCTGTGCACGCCACTCGTTCGACTCCGAGGCGGACCCGGCCTCGCTGTCTAGATATCCCGCGCACTCTGCAGAGGGCACCATGAGGAGAAACAACGGGAAGATATCCCTGGCCAACGCATCGGGTCGTTGCGCGTGTGAGCACCGATGTTCCTTGCTTTCAGAATAACAACCGTTTCTTGTCGGTGAAGTCTCGTGAGGGTCGCAGCAATGACAGCAGTGGCGCAGAACAATCTGACCTTTTAGAACGTACACGAGAGAGTCGCCGTGCTCGCTGCACCGGAGCACTGGGGGAACGGCTTGGTGATACACAATGCGACGAGCATGTGGTGCTCGTGGCGGCTTTTCCAGCTGTGCACGAAACAGTTGCTCCGCCACTTGGATCACGTGTTGAAGGTAAACATCCGCCTGGTTGCCTGCTGTTTCTTTACGGTTGTACTGGCCGTTTCCGTCGACGCCTCCTGCCACATTACCGCCCTCGCTGGGCGAAAAAGAGCTGCCTTCCTTCAAATGGATCTTCGCGGAAGCACATGCGACTGCTTCTGCTGCTTCACCAATATGAGTGTCAAAGAGCGTGCGTGGCCAACAGCAGGTGTGGTGCTCGTTGTAAAAGTCCGCATAAAAATCTAAGGACTGCAGCTGCGGTGCAACGACGTGATGCGCATCCGTGCGCGAAGCCTCAGAGGCGCCGTCGACGATAAGCGGTTGAAACTGCAGCTCCCATTGATTGGGCGGGGTGCAGGGGATGCCGCAAAAGTTAAAGGTCATAGATGGCTTTTTGTGTAGAGCAAACCCTTTTCCATTTTCTTGCTTGATGATGTTCTGTCCTGCCGTGAGCGCGCAGCGCATAGGGAGGAAAAGCAAGAAATTACATTTTTTTTTTTTAATGGAGAAGATTGATAACGGCAGGAGGGAAAGGAAAAACTCAAACAGCAACCCGTTTAAACCGCCATCAATAAGAATAAAAAGAAAGCAACATCGCGTCTTTCGATGAACAACTGTGGAAAGACAAACACACACACACACACACACACGTGCGGATACGTGCAAAGCGAGCAGTTCCTCTTTTAAGACACCGTTTCGTAGTGCTCACTAAAGGTTTCCATTTCTCAAAGAGAGCAGTCCCTGTCGTTTGCGAACTGTTTTCCCTTCTCGTTTTCCGTTTACGGTGATGATGCAAAAATACAGAATTTAATAGAACTGTTGAATAGAGACCGTTGAGAGTATCGGTGTTTTGCTATTCGGCAAACTGCTGTGCAGCCGTGCGAGCAATAATTTTGCCGGCGCGGCGCACCTCCTCCATCGTGGTGGCGCGGCCGGTGGAAAGGCGCAGAGTCCCGATGGCGCGCTCCACGTTCACCTTTACCGCCTTCAGCGGGTCCGACACGACAATTTCCGCGTCCTCGCCAGCGGTGGAGTGGCACGCGGAGCCTGCGGACATGCACACCGCATCTCCCACGGAGAGTATCAATCGCTGGGCCGAAATGTAGGTGACGGGCTCGTGCGTCTTGTGGTTCGGAACCTTCTTAAAGAGGGCGCAGTTGAGCGTGTTGGGGAGGGCGACACGCAGGTCACCGTTGATGACGAGGTCCATGTTGTGCGGTGCCAGCTCGCGTTTCAGCACCGTCAGCAGCTCGTCACGCGTATCGCGCATCACCGCGGCAAACTTGTCAACGTTTGTGCACGCGTGCAGCAGCGCCTCTGCCATTGCGGCGGCGAGTAGGACGTTCTCCGTGCCCGGACGAAGGCCACGTTCGTGTCCGGCTCCAAAGAGAATGTTGCTCACCCGAACACCGGGCTTGATGTACAGGGCACCGACGCCTTTGGGCCCGTAGAATTTATGCCCGCAGACGGACAAGAAGTCCACGTTGGTGTCGGCAACATCCACCACCACCTTCCCCATTGACTGCGCAGCGTCGCTGTGAAAGAGACAGTCCTCACCGCACACCTGCTTCGCCACGCGACACAGTTCCTTGATGTCGTTCACAGCGCCGATTTCGTTGTTGGCGAACATGACCGACACCATCGCAACAGCACCCGGTCCGTCAGGCAGCCGCTCCAGCGCGTGCCGGAGCGTCTCGGGGTCAAGTTGACCCGACACAGGGTTCACCTCCACCCGCACCGTTTCTGCCGGCGCAGCGCTCTGTCTCGTCGCGGCGTCCGTCGAGGCCGCCCCAGCAGCGGTGCCCTCCATAAATTTCAGCACTTCCGTTACTGCCGGGTGCTCGACATTGGTCGAGACGACGTAGCGCCGCTTTGGCTGCCTTCGACGCAACGCCAAGGTGCCGCCGACAATCGCGAGGTTGTTGCACTCCGTTCCACCCGAGGTGAAAATGATGGAGTCGGCGGTGGGGGCGTGGAGTGCCGCCTGCACCTTCTTGCGCGCCTCTTCAAGTTCGTACTTGGCGGCAAGGCCGTAGGGATGGGTGGAACTCGGGTTCCCCCACGCCTTGTGCACACGACAGATAGCCTGCCATGCCTCCTCACACAGCGGGGTCGTGGCGTTGTTGTCGAGGTAGATGGGGAACGGCTCCGTGACTGGAAGCGGCTGCGGCTTCCGCTTCTTCAGCGGTGGCCCCGAAGCATTGCACATTTGGTTGCAACACAAGAGGAAAGGAAAATGTTTACGCTCTTCGAAATTGGAACCGAACAAGGTAAATGCCTTGACCTCTGCGCCTTCGATTGTGGGTCAGCGAGACGACACAGGCATCTTCACCGTGTTTTTGAAGTGCGGTGATGGCAAAAAAAATAACGACAAGTTAATCATGAAAACGACGGTAGAAGAAATAAGGTGTACTATGGAGAGTGCACCTCGTTTGCCGTTAGGGGCAAGGTGAGCCGCGCGTCGCGTAGGGTCCTCCGTTTAACCGGTGAATCTTAGCCATGGGTGGTAACTCTTTCCTTCCACCACATGGACGCGGTACACCGTACGGAGTTCGTTTTCCGGATAGAACGCTGCATCGCACATCCTTTTTTTTTTTGCTGCCTTCGCCCACGCACAGTGCGTAGAACCAGCTTTGTGCTGTGTAGCGAGTCCTCATCGCCTTTTTGTTTTCTATTGATTCCATATTTTGCCTTCACACGCTTCACGAACGGTGCAACTCAGTAAACATGCCTACGCCGTGCCCAAAGCGTGCGCCGCCGCTCTGGCGCTGTCGTCATCACACGCATCTTAGCATCCCACACCAAGGAAACAGATATGAGGAGCATGTGCAAAAGGCACCGTGACATCGCATAAAGACAAACCTTGAAAGATACTTATACAAAAACCACGAAGACAAAGAAAACACGCTCAGTTAAGCAACGTCAACACCGTACCTCGAGGGAGAGTGTATGTGTGCTGAAAACGTCTTGCAGCCTCCACGAAGCCCACAACACAAGTACTCCATTCAGTGCGTGCCTTCTGGAAACAATGCAGAGAGCTCCTGCTGGACTCTTTGCGTGTTGACAGTCGGCAACTCTGCCGCCACCTCGGTCAGCATCTTTGGTACCTCTGTCTTCACCACGTCATCCGGAGTGTTGTCCATACCTAAGAAACTCAGTGTCCCGTCGACCGACGCGAAGGCCTCGGCGTTCATCGGGATCTGCGTGAGCAGTGCTCGCAGCGCCGCCGCTAAACCGTCGTACCGTGACGTCGCAGCCGTTTCTGTCTTTATCTTCTTGCGCTCCGCGGCGTCATCGCTGTTATTGCGGGCGTACATCTCCGCCAGCTGTCGCTCAAAGGAATCACTGCGCTGGTCATCGTCCTCCTCTCCACCCTCACCTTCTTCCTCCTCCTCTCTTCCTTCATCGTCCTCCAGGAAAGGGTCGCGCTGGCCATGGTGTTCGCCACCGGTGCCACCCTGCAGATCCAAATCGCGATCAAAGCGGTTGCGCTTGACGCCGCGGTTCTCGGCGCGCTGTGCAGCCTTGAGCGTCGCCTGCCGCAGCGCATCATCACGCTCCGTCTGCAGCTCTTCAGCCGTTGCACCGGTTACGTGGTCCTGCAGTTGCGCCTCTAGCCGCAACTGCTCCGCCAACGTCATCGGCCGACCCTCCCTGATGCGGCGCTTCATCTCCTTCTCGCGGTTCTCGTACTCTTCGCGGACAAACTCCTCCTGAATCGTGCGACCTTTGCGGGGCCGGGACCAGTCAATAGGCGGCATCGATAAGTCGGCGAAAGGCAAGTTGCGGTCGCTGTTGCCCAGCTCACGCTGCCGACGCTCCTGTGCGAGCGCCGCCTCAATCGAGGCTGCCCCGCCAAGACCCGCGCTGAGGTGCTTCTCTGGAGCGATGGCGCCGATCATCGCGTCGATCTCCATGCCCGCCTTGCCCACCTCGAGTGGCTCGCCCAGCAAGTGCAGTGTGGGCTCTTGCGAGGGCGTCAGGGCGAGGACGTCACCGCCCACGTGCAATGTGACAGACCCGTCACTCCACCGCACCACTCGACCGTTGCTGCTGCAGGTGGGGCCCTCTACCGTCCACCGCAGCACGTTGCTCGGCGTGTAGAGGACGTATTTGTTACTCTCGAGGTAGTCGCACGTCGACGGGTCGCAGGGGCGCGGGTCAGCGTGCAAGGTCTGACGATTGGGGTAAATTGCCGGCATTTCGAGCAGCCACGCGGGCGTCGAGGACCGCCCTTGCTCCTCGGACCACACCGGCGGCAAGGTGCTCTCGAGCAACGTGAAAGGAACGTGCTCGTCGCTGCGCAGGACCTGCGCGCTAGCGGCGCCAAAGTAACGCTCGCCTTCCGCGTACACTAGCAACTCCTTGTTGGTGCGCATCTCTTTCGCAACATTCTCAGCACCGTAGCGCTCCTCCACGAAGAGGTCAACGTCGTCCTCGCGAACCGCGGGACCGAAGAGCTCCTGCAGGATCGCACGGGTGTCAATCAGCGCCGGGTCCTTCAGCGCTTTGCGATCGTCCTCGCCTACGCGAAAGGCAGGGCCGAAGAGGGTCTCCATCGTCAGGGCAGCAAACGGAGATACGGCGTCAGCGGCGTGTGTCAGAAAGACCTCCTCTTCGTCGCCCGTCGCCGTGGCAGCCGCCACAGGAGACCTCGGAGGAGTCACGTGTCCCTCCTCCTTTTCCGGAAGGGTTTCCGCCGCTGGCGCGGTGGCCTCCGCGGGCAGCGACGGTTCTGTAGCGTCCATGGCGGGGACGTGTCTAATGAAGCTGCAACACACGACTGATGAGGTTACGAACAAGGAACCTAATGTATTTTCATATATATTAAAATACTCAAACCTGTCAGAAAGCACCCTGCTCGAGTGCTTCCAATAAGCTAGCAGAGATTCCTTATTATTATTGCTTCAGTGTTCTCGCACCGCAACGTCAAAGCGGAGAAAAGAAGAACAGTACAGTTGCTTGTGAGTACAAATTCGCACACAACTGACTACAGCCGCCACACGGAATACCTGGGGGTTTGGGCAGGTTCCGTTTTCTTTCATAGAAGACGAGCATGCAAGTCGAAGAGACGAAGATATAAAAAGAATAATGAGATGTAGAAAAAACGTAAACAAAAGCGCAGAACGTAGTGTTTAATTTTCCCTTTTCGCCCATCAACCATGATAGTTGGGGCGCTGCGTTAGCTCAACACAATTGTTGTCACTAGAGCCGACCTTCGACCTTTTTGTTTGAGGCATCAACTGAAGTTCAGAGAACGTGGCCAGAACTGCAAACCCTATTTGTAGTTCATGTTTGGTTTTTGTTTCTCTCTCTCGAGAAGTGGTATTACACGCCTCAACTCATATTTTGCTATAAACCAATTCCCCTCGTAAACGGCACTTAAACGTCAACGAAACGATTTTAACGCCAACGAGAAGTTCCGTGAATATCCGTTTGCGTAGCGGGAAATACCGAGACGCAAACTCCCTGAGACAGAGGTGCGACAGCATCGTAGCAGCTAGCAGCACCATCGACGCTGAGAATCAAGACAAACAAACAGCTTGCCGCTATTGCACCAAAGTCCGAGTTGTTCAGTAAAAAAGAAGAGCAGAAGAAGCATCCGTGTATCTTCGGCTTTCAGAATTTGCTTAGGTGTGCAGATCCTCATTACGGATCTGTGCACGCACCTTAACGCGTCGCTTCTTGTGGTCCCACTTCTTCGCTAAGCTATCGTTGACGGCCTCACCACGGCTGATCATCGCCTCCTTGCGCTTCGCTTGCTTGCGTGTCAGTTGCCTCTTCCTTTTCTTCACCGGGGCGTCCAGGACGAGATCGCCAACAATGCGAACGGCTCGTTTCACGGCGGCATTGGTGGCTTCTTCGATGTCGCCCTTGCTGGGGCGAGTCGCCTCGCCTTCGAGTTCTCCATTCAGCCGTGCCATTTCGCGGTCCACTTCATCCTCCAGCCTCTCCGACTGCTGCTCGTTACCGCGCTCCAGTTCTCGCTGGGCGCGCTCCACCTTTCGCTTCTGCACCGTCCTGCGATGGGCCCGCTTCTTGGCCATCTGCTTCAGCTTACGCACAAGCTTCGTCATGGAGAATAAAGGTAAGAGAAACTATCTGTCGGGGAGCGTTGTGTGGCAATGCGCCGTTTCCGCAGATGTACACGTACGGGAAAGACAGTAGAAAGAGAGAGAGGAGTTGCTGGTAAGTCGAAGAGAACCGCAAAAAAAAACTCCCACCTCGAGCACAATAACACAGAGAAAACGGGATGAAAATATGAACCCCCCACAATTCGACGCGAGTGGTTTCCTCCGCTGCCGCACATCTACTCGCTATAACTACGCGAGCTCACCTCTTCTTCTTCACCGACTGACATCAGCGGGATCGTGCGTGACAAAAAAGAAAAGCCCGCAGATCCTTATCGCTCTTCCCTCGTATTCTATTCCGTTTCTTTTGTTCCTTTTCGCACCAAAAAGCAATTGATAATAAAAACCAGTGTTGCGCGAAGCGCTGCCTTTCAGTATCCGTCCGACTTGACGAACCGCTTCTTGTTCTTCCTCAACCACTGGTTGTACAGCACGGCAGAGGTGTTGGCGGCTCTATCCGACGCGATCATGCGCTCCGGCATGGAGGGCATCGCACGCAGCACCTCCGGCACTTGGAAGTCCCTCTGACCCACCTCGGTAGAGTTGGACAGCGTGGAATCTTCGCACGCGTCCTCTCTTGCCGGTGTTTCCTCTTGCAGCGTCCCTGTCGGCGGAAGACCCGCGGGCTGCAGCAGTGCATCCGCCAGGGTCACACTCTCTCGCAACGCCGCGACGCCCTGCGAACAGCTTTGCAGCCCTTCCAACAGCAACTCAATAAAGCAGAACGCGGCTTCAGGATTACGGCTCTCTAGCTGCGTAAAGCGATCCGTGAGCTCCTCGAGGACGCACTTCGTCGCAGAGAAATCGCGCGGCATCAGTTTGCTGCGGCGGAGCCGTTCTTGCAACGAGTCACGCTTGCAGTCCGTAGACGCGTACGACGGTGCAGCAGCGAGATCGGTCAAGCGAAGCCGTGCGTCTTGCTCGCACAATCGCTCAATGTCATGGAAGGCGTCCTGTGTGGCCCGTGATAGAGAGGGGGCCACACTACTCGGCACCTGCATGATGTGCGGCAGCGTCGCCGGCTCCCCGGGCAAGGCGACATCAGCGCCTGGCAGAAGCACGTCGCGGTACGCCGTCGGCACATACCACACGGTGCCTTGTAAGGAGAGCAACGTGAGTTCGTTGTCGGGCGCCACCGCCACCGTTCGCAGCGCTGTCGCTGCTGCTGCTGCTGCTCCTCCTCCTGTCGTTGCGGCGCTGTTCTCCGCCAGGTGAAGCGACGGCGGTGGCATTTTGCGTTTGTTTGCGTTGGCGACTGCCTCGGCAATGCTGATGACGGCGCGCTGCTGCTCCAGCTCCACGTGTGATCGATTCGGTACGAAGGCGGCGGACGTCAACACGCCCGTCGCAGTCGGTCGCTTCGCGGGAGATGACTCGAGACAGCTCTGAATGAGCTTCACCATCCCCTCCGGTGTGTCGCTTGGCAGCAGCCCAGGAAGGTGATCGATATGAGAGTGTACAGCTGCTAGGCGCTCCGCTCGCGTTGTGAGCGCGAATTTCTTGTTGTTGAGGGTGCAGAGAAGCGTGGTCACGACGCCGAGCATCCAAACATCCGCGGCACCAAACGCCGCCGGCTCGTTGTCGGTGGTCGGCGATGCTGCAGGGTCACAGACGGCATCCCAGCAGGCGACGTGCCGCAGTTCTGGTGCTCGCAACAGATGGTATTCCTCCGCTCCGAAGCTCGCCTTCTCTCGATGGAGCTGCGAGGTATCAAAAACGAGCGCCGCAACGCTGTGTGCGTAGCGTTTGTCGTCCGCCTCATGCAGCGTGTTCACCGCGCCCAGTGGGAGGCGTACGCTGATGTAGCCCTTGTTCTGATCCAACGCAATGTTGCCTAACGGCAGTTCCCGACAGAGCACGCAGCCCGTTCCGTGCAGGTACTGGAGGAGTTGGGCCAGTTGGTAGGCAATCGCAGCTGCATCGCGCTGCAGCTTAACGTTACCCGGCATCAACCGCTTACACGCGACAGCGTCGGCGTAGTCGGCCAGCGTGGATCCTTCGATAAACTCCTCCACAATGACAAGTGCGGTTCCGGAATCGGTGTGGGACGGTGAGGAGGCAGTGGAGGTAGTCGAACGGGCGGCGACGTCTTTGCGGTCCGCTGTGTCCCCATCGTTTGCTTCGTCGACACCTCTGTCCTCCTCCGCACTCGCAGAACGGTTTGTCTGCTGCTTGCGGGCGCGAGAAGCAACCGGTGAGTGCACCTCCACCGGTCTGCGAACGAGTGCTGTTGCTGCTGCTGCTGGTGGCCCACTACTGCTCACGGGTGCGGCGAGGCACTGTTGTGTGTAAAAGACATCAAACAGGGAGCGCAAAAACGGGTGCTCCACCTGACGACGTAGGCGTACGTGGTCCTGTAGTACAAGGAGTGCAGCAGCGTCTTTGGAGGAGGTAATCCCCTGCAGCGACGAAAGAAGAGGAATGTAGGTGATCACCACCGTGGCGGAGATGGAGTGGGGTCGCGATGGGGTCGACAGGCTTTGCCCCTGATGCGCAGAGGGAGGTGATGATGGTTGGTGCACCACGTCGTCGTCGTAGGTGCCGACATGCCGTGCGCGGTAAGTGACGGCGGTGCTGAAGAGCGAGGCGTAGGAGTCTTGGCCGCTGTCGAGAACGCCTTCAATGCGAAACCTATTCCCTTGTGTGTCGTACAGCAGAGATGACATTGCGCAACGGTGATGACGCCAACGTGTGTTCACCCTTTCACTGTTGTATGAAAAGTACTCTAGGAAAAAAAGAGAGGAGGTTTCAAACAAATATTTATTCGAGTTTGTAGGAATCGCCGCCAGCGAGTGCCGATCCGCATGTGCAAAACCAAAGTGATTCGGTATTATTATGATTTTCCTCCGCTACTATGATGAAAACAAACAAGCACATGAACAGGAGTGAATGGGAAGGGAACACAAGACAAAGGGGAAAAACAACAGGTAGAAAGGGGGGAAACAAAAAGGAAATACATGTGCATCCCGTAAATGGAAGCATTGTTCAAGGTAGTGGCACCTGCTCATCGTCACCGACAGACACCACGGACTATACCGATGACGCCACGTGCACACAGTGGGTGTGCGGATTGACCCTAATTGTTTTTTAAGGCGTTTCCATCCTTTCTCTTTTGCCAACGTATGTGGCGATGATTATTTTCTTTTCTGTTGAATAGGTCGCTAAAGGTAGAGCAAGTTTCCAAATCAATCCCACCACGACAGTGGTATTCACACGGTAGAATGACCCCTCCGAGGCCTCTACAACGACAGCAAAGAGGCATGAAGGCACAGGTGAAGTGAGACGTCTCTTCACAGCAGCTTTTCGACAGCTTTCCGAGTGTTGCTTCTTCCTGTTCAACGCCAACGATTATAATAGCAGTACATACGCAATTGACCTCCCCCCTATTTACGACTTCAGCTGCACCGGTGCGCGTCGTCCTCACGCCAAAATCTTACGCTGTAAGAACAATTCCTCTAAGCCCTCCTCAAATTCGCTTCCGGTGATCAGCACGCCCTTCTCGTGGCGGTAGAGCGGGTTCTTTGTCACGGTACGTGTAAAGACCTCCTTCATCAACTCCGACAAAATGCCCTGCACGAGTGCGGTGTTCATCGCTTTATCCGTGAAGAGTGCTACACGATAGCCGGTCATGGTTTCAAGGTAGTGCACTTTGTACAGCGGCGTGTGAACGGCCCGCAAACCGCCCGCCTGTGTGGAAGACAGCTGGGAGCTAATGTGCTGCAGTGTGTAGACGAAGCCAGCCACGAGGCCATCCTCGCCGTGTTGCACGGCGCTCGTGCGCTTCCACTGCTTCGTGTAGATCGTGTCACCGTATCGATTAAAAACGTATATGGAGTAGAGCGTCATGGTGGCGCGGCTCCTACACAAGTATGATGTATGAGAAGTAAAAATAAAAAAAGAAATGCTTCCAAACGCTATGGAAGCTGTGCTGCCGTTTCGCCACAGGCAAGTAGAGGCAGATATGTTCAAAACAAAAAACCAAGTCGAGAGGGAGTCGTGGAGAAAGAACTGCAGATATTGGAGAGGCAGTGAAGTCTGCGTGCGCAGCGAGTGGTGCTGGCATTTGCTTGCCGAGTACGATTCGTGTTGATCTGCGACGAAAACGGGTCTTTTCAAAAAAGAAGAAATTGTGTTGTGGTGAATTCTGCTTTTGACAACAACCCAAAACGACAGGAGTGTGGCTTGGCGAACCTCTCACAGATGGTGGGCGAATTCAATTATAGGAGTGAGACTCGCATAAAAAAAAAAAAAACAATAACATTGGATAGAGTCATGACAGCATATACGCTTACAACAAGTACCACATTACCTGTTGCTCTTATGTACGTATATATATATATATATATATTATGTGAACACAAATCTTTCGCTCTCGTCTAAAGCGTCTACAGGAGTGCAGCAGTTGCTCTTCCCTAAGGCCTACGTACGGGGCGGCGGACGACGAAACTCGGCACTGACTTCGCGCTCGTGTGAGAGCGCATCGCGGCCGAGGGACTGACGATATTCATCAATGATGTTCGGCACCCAATCCGGCATCGGTCGCGTCTTCCTCGCCCGCTTCGTCAACCACGGGCTGGTGCGTCGCTGCTGGTCATCCTTCATCATACCCTGCACTCGACCCTGTTCCGCGTCCATCCAATGTTCGTAGTCGCTGCCACAACGCTTGCTAAGGCGACGCCACCGCATAAACTCGTTGGCGAGATGTGCCTTCTCGCGCTGCTCCGCCTCGTCGAGGTTGATGTCATCGACGCTCAGCTGCAGCCGGTTCACGCCAATGTCCACCGAAGCGCGCTTCACCTGCAGATCCACCGAGGACTGCTCCTGCTTCGCCTCGACGGGCAAATAATCCCAGTTGCCGCGTGGTCGCAGGGCATGCAGAACCACCGACATTGAAATCAGCAAATCGGAGGGCGCCTCGGTGGGGGCAGGAAGGCAGTCGAGCAACAGCTGCGTCGTCGGCCGCGCCACACGAGTGGTGAGGCGATGCATCATGTTCCGCTTGTGATTGGGGCCGGCGAAGAGAACGTAGCCGCCGCGGTCGTCGTCCGCCGCGCCCGTGAGGCGGGTGAAGCGGTCCAGGCAAAAGTCAGACAAGGGCGTGCGTGGGACGGCGCCGCACTGACTGGTACTGACGACCTTCGCCGCGTACGCGGAGCTTGACTGACGAAACGTGGGCAGCACCACCGGCGACGCGCCGACCACGCTGGAGTGATAGACACGCCCGCCCGCGGGTGCTGTCGTGCCGTCGGTGTGCTGCAATGCCGCCGGCACGCTGGCGTCCGCACTGTCCTCCTGTGCCGCGTAGCACAGGGGCAGCAAGTTGTTGCGCTCCACCATGTGATTCAGCAGCCCGTACACGTCGTCTCCGTCCTCCTCCTTCAAGGTATAGATGGGGACCGAAGTCTGAAAGTGGGCACCACGCGCGGCCCGGATGACGCGGTGGTCGTACAAGTCCGCACAGTGGTTCGTGGTAATGATCGCATCGTACTGGAAGCCCGAGGCGGTGCGCAGCAGCGTGCCCAGCACACCGGGGTCATCGACGTTGTCCAGCACTAGCACGCGGTTCAGCCGCTGGTGGTTGGCGATAAGATGCTCCTTCATCGGCGGGGGCGGGATCTCAAAGTCGCCAACGTAGCCGTCCGTGCCGGGTGCAACCGCCTCCGCAACCTTGCGATCGACCAGCACCACATCTGTGTCCTCTTGGTCGTTTGCCCAGTCTGGAATGGGTCGCCCCGCATTCACCATCAAGTGTCGGGGCCGGAAGCCCGCCTGGCAGAGCTCCTCGATCATCGCACGGCCACCCACCACCAGCATCCGCCTCGCTTGTCGGTACTTTTCGTTCGCGCTGAGCTTCATAAAGTGCTGGACGAGCCTGTTGTTCGTGTCGTCAATCACAGTGCCCTCCCAGAGGACGTCCTGCTGGAGCTGGAGGAGAAGCGCCTTCTGCGCCCGCTTCTTCAAATCTTCCGCGGACAGGGAATGCGAAAAAGTCGAGGAAGACGACGAGGAAGAACTTCGACCGCTTGCCGCAGCCACGGCAGCGCTGACGGCGGTGCTGGAAATGGCCACGTTGCGCTGCGATGGGTCTTTTGGGGCGAGGGGGTGGCGGTAGGAGGCTTTGCTGATGCGCGCCACCGACCGCTGCTCCCCGATAAAAGATTGAAAGCGACGACTTACCACATGTCGAGAAACGGTTGCTTTTGCAATGTGGACTTTGTGGGCGGCGAAAACCAGCTCCTCGGAGTGCTGCGTTGCCGGACGTCGCAGTAACGTACTCATCAGCGACCCTTCACTTACACGAAAGCAGGGAGGAAAGAACTCTCTGTTTCTACGGTCGTCGTAAAAGCGAAAGAAAAGAAGGTTAGGCACTAGAGAAACGGTGAAGTGTAGAGGAGAAACCAGCGGTAAAGGCAGTCCATGCGCCACTCCAACTGGCGAGGATGCATGTACATAAATGCAGCGGTTTCTGTTACTGCACAACCTGTCTGTTGGATACAGCGAGTTTTCTTTCTTTTGTTGTTGCTTCTCCGCACGCTAACGTCTACTTTGCGGCTTAATTGTCACCGTTGACGCGCTGCATTGAACCAAACACTGATAGCAGACCTCGACAAGCATTATTTGTCTGCGAGGCGAAGCGTTTCGACAACACGCTTACAACACAAGAAGCAGTGAGAGAATTTCGCGAACGTTTTTTTCCTTTTGAACATGGACGTAACACAAAGCCGGATTTATTAGATGAATACACCGTGGTCCGTAAACGCAAAGATAGCACAACATCGAATCTACCACCACGACAAACAAAGAGAATAACAAGAAAAATGGGGTGAGTTTCCAATAGCATACATAATGGACACCAGGGAAGAGGAGGAGGGGGGAGAGGGAAACAATCGGCACAGATCCGATGAGACAACATCAAAAGATACAGTGATGCACAAGCAGACACACAAACCACGTGGAAGACTCGTTGACTGCGCATTGCAGAGACACGCACAAGCAAGCAAAACAAAACAGAAAAATGATACTTCCCCTTCATCCACCTTTCTTTTCTCACATACACGCCAGCGCCGCGCGCCGTTAGAAAGGCCCACGTGGATCCTTCATGTACGCTTTCTTGTTCAAAATGTCGGACATCTGCAGCGCAGCGTAAATCATTGGTAGGGGAATTTGCACAATCAACGCGTGCTCCTCCTCATGCACGTCGGTGCCGCTGAAGTGCTCGCGTAGGAACTGCAAGAAGTAGGGAAATATCGCGTCGGTGGAGTCGCTGCCGTCCTCCCGCAGACCGCGGCGCGGACATACCGAATCCCGCCGTGACATCCCGCCGGCTTTGCCGTTTTTGACCAACAGTGGCACACAACGCACCTCGAAGCGCACGAGGCAGTGCTGCCGTGGCTTCGCCGCTCCTGGCAGTTTGCGCTCCATCGGGTTCGTCGTGCCGGCGGATTTTATATCGTAGGCGTCGTCGCTTTCCTCGTTCAGCCAGGCGGGGCTGCGGTACTTGTCAAGTGCACTCACGTGCGTCGGTGGCAACTCGTGTCCCTCCTCGTCTCGGGCTACTACCACCCGCGGCGCCTCTTCTTCCGTACAGTAGAAGTAGTGCCCGGTGATGGGCGGGTGGTTGCTGGCATAGACGACAGAGCCGACGAACTGGGCGTCGGGGTAGCTCGACCGTGCATTATCGGCGTCGTTGTACTGACCCTGGTAGGCTGCGATCTTCAAAGGACCTTCCGTTATGCTGCACCGCATCGCCAAGGCAACGGGTTCGCCGAGACGCGTTAGCACACGTTGAAAGAAGCAGATGCTACTGGCCAGCGCGGCTGTGGTTGAGAGAAATGTGCTATCAAACGACGTCCCGCCGCTTGAGACGCCGATGAGGAGGCCGTGGTGATCCTCCAGCGAGTACCGATGCACCTCCCGCAGAACCGAAATCACGCTCGGCTCATCGGCCTCCTCGCCCCTCAAGAGAAACTGGTGCCGCACGTAAACGCCGGTGGTAGGCGTCGTGGAGGGCGGACGCGGGATGCATCGGGTGAGAAACGCGGAGCGCATGCCGCGTGGCAGGACGTGCAGGAAGTGCGGCACACGAAGCAGGTGCGGGTACGGCTTAGCGGAAAACTCGGTTCGCGTGTCCAGCGCAATGAAGAGATCAATGAAGCCGCTGCAGTTCGTGTCATTGAAAATGCGAAACTGCACCTTGCCGTGTTTCAGCGGCACGACAGTGATGGGCGGAATCGCATCCACGTCCTCCGCGCCGAAGGAGTTCGTGACGAGCACGGCATCGTCGCGCTTGTCCGTGTCCGCCACCGAGTTCTGTGACGTGTTGATCAACGAGTGCCGCCCACCGGCTGCGCCGTTGCTCATCCCACGTCGCACGATGCTCGTGGCGTTGGTGCTGCGCCGTCGGATGGGCTGCCCAAACGGTTCGGCGGAGCTGTTCTGCGAGCGGATGTAGGCCTTGAGGTCAACGATGCGGGACAAGTACGGGTCTTTCTCTTCCATCACCGCCGCGGAGAGTTCGACGGTGTACTCCACGAAAGCGCCGCAAAACGGGGCGGACAGAAGGTAGCGTCCCTCCGGCAAGCGCGCCGTGAAGGCGAAGCCGCCCTGCGCGGGGCAGAAGAAGGACTCCAGCCGGCGCCGATCGGCCTCCTCTGAGAAGTACAAGCGATGGTGCTGACGGAGAAAGATGGTGGGCAGATGCTGCAGCTGGAAGTACACCGCAACATCCTGCAACTCGTTTACCTCCGTGCGATCGGTGCACATGGGGCAGCAAAAGGCGTTGGTGGAGTGGAAGGTGCCCACGAAAGAGATGTCGTTGACGGACTGAAAGTGCGCAATGTCGCAGCCGCAGGAGCGGCAATTCACGACAAAGTGGATCGTCATCCATTGCCGCTCCACCGCGAGCAAAAGCTGGGCAGTGACCACCTCCAGCGGCGCTTTTAGAAGAGCCGCGAGGGCGAGCGGGTTCCACAGGGTGAAGGTGTCGTAGAGCGGACGCAGATGGTTGCACGCCTCAACCGTCTTTGGGTTCACTAATGTCAATTGCTCCTGCAGAATGCGGCCGGTGTGCTGCACAGAGAAGAAGGTTTGGCTGTTGAGGGGTGAGTGTGGGTTGAGGAACTGGTCGCAGAACGCCTCCAACGCCACCCAAAAACTTTTGTCTACGAGATCGAATGGGAGGGCGGTCCACAGGCGGTGGAACGTCGGCTTGTCCATCCGCGTGAGGGGGCTAGAGCGCATTGTGCCTTACCAACGAGACCTAAGCGTTTTTTTTTTTTTCAGAATAGCTTCTGAAAAAGAAACGGGAAGAACAAAGGGAACCAAACACGGTGAAGAACAAAGCAACGGCTCTTCAGCGCAGCAGCCACCTTCAAAGTAATCTTTCGTGGAATACGTTTATGTGCTGCTACATAGAGGATTTCATCGTCGGAGAGGACAGAAGAACGAGGAAGGAAGAGGATAAGCTCATTAACGGAGAAGAACAACCTTTCAAGGTAGAAACAACAACAAGGGGATCAGAGTTATAGTCTCGATGTTTAGAGATAGAAAATGACCTTCGATAAAACAATGCTGATGGCGTCGTTATGATACAGAAATAAGCCATTGGGGTGTTACGAAGGGCTCACAGCAGAGAAAGCCGCGTATCCGCAACCGCAACAGCTGAAAAAGATCAACAAAACGGCCAGCGCAAAGCAGTTTTTCTTTTTGGGGGGTTGTTTCCTGAAGGCAGACAGATGCGCAACAGCATGAATATATACATCAACAGCAAATATATATATATATATATAATTAGTGCAACGCGATTGAACTCCACCGACAGCTCTTCTATTTCATCTTCTCGGCATGCGCTTTCGAGAGTCAACAACACGGCCACCTCCAATCCACAACGCCAGAGAAGCCAAAAACGCATGAAAGGGGAGCATTTCCCACATTTCTTCAATACTGGTAGACGCCAAATACAGTCACCACGGCAAAGAGATGCTTGCTCACGTAGACCTCCTCGAAGTAGTTGTCTGTGTCGGAGTCCCAGAACATCTTGCAGCCAGTGCGCAGGCCCTCGCCGCGCTGCTCACCGATCATGCAGTGCACAATGATCTTGTAGCGCTCCAGCTCGGTGGCGCGGATGCGATCCCGCACGCTGTCCGCGATCTCTTTGCTAAAGCTCTGAATCTCATCTGCGTTGTACTCCTGATCATCCAGCCGACCCTCGAGCACGGCCTTTACGATGGGTCGCAGCTCATTTGGGCGGAACTTATGTTGGTGATCCGGCCGGAGAGAAAAGGTCGCAGCGTCAACTTCGCCCTGCATGATGACGTCTCTCGCGCTGGCAAACGTACGGTTCTGATAGGAATGCGAGTGGAAACGTCGTTCTTGCTTTAATCAAAAAAAGAAATGTTGAAATGACAATTTGAAAACAAAAAAGGAAAACACCACGCAGTGAAATACCCTCAAAAAAAAAAAAGGCAGAAAGAGAGGACGTTGGACGAGGAAGACAGTAGAGCCCATGGGATCATCGCTGTCACCCCAACAAACAACAACACAGACGGAAAAGAAGAGCGGCATGATCCTCGCGGTGTGTGATGCAACAGTCTTGTGAATGTCGCCATGAAGTCATGACAGGCGAACGCAGACAAGCAAGCGCCGAGGCTTTCAAGTCTAACAAGTTTCTTTCCCTCTGCGCAACCGCCTGAAGTTGATACGAATTGAGCCCGGCACGCGGTGTTATTATTGTTCGTTTGTTTGTTTGTTTTTGTCGTGGAGACAAGAAGTCGGAGAAGCTGTAATGTTTCAGGATCTCGAATAATACAACGTCTCAAAGAAAAAAAAAACTCCACTTACATGAAGGCTCCATATCCCACAAAATGACAGAAAAAAAATGTACATCACTGGATCAACAAATCATTCCCACAGGTTGGAACTCCACGCGCTGGCTGCCAGCAACGTCAGCTGTGACAGGGTAAGCGATGTGGTGCGATTCACACCTAAACAACTCGTGAGGTACCGCACCATGCTGCGACGCTCATCCTTCTGGCGCCACAGCTTGCCAATCACCACCTCGTAGGCCTCCCACCCCGCCTCGTCCACCAGCGCGTGCTGGGTGTAGGTGTGAAAGAGACCGTGCAGATGCAGCAGGATAGGTTCCTCCTGGTGCGTCATGGTGGAGGCGATAAACTGACGGAAGTTCACAAAGTTCATCGGTGCGGATCGGGTGGCCATGTCGTAGTCGTTCAGGATGGCTTCCGGCTTGATGAGCATGATGGTGGACGCGTTGCGGTAGACGTACTCCAGCACGGTTCGCACGTCTTCCACCGCAACGGGCGTGCTCGGGTTCGACTCGGGCCAACAGTAGCTCAGGTGGTAGAGCATGTAAGACATGAAGTGTATCTCGGTCGGCGCCGCAAAGCCGCGAATCACGCTGAGGTACGCCGCGAAAACCTTGTCCTTCTCACTCACCGCGTTCAGGTAGCAGAGCATTTCATAAAGGATTTTGGCGACGAGCTCCGGAAAGCCGTACCGCGCCTCCAGCTCATCAACCAGGGCTTCCTGAAAATCGCTCAAGACATACAAGTCCTTGAAGAGACGCTCCGTCATGTCGCGTCGCACCTGGTAGTTCGTGCACTGCCCAGCCGCCCGCAGGTAGCACTCGTCGTAGCGGTACTCCATCCGGGTAAAGTAGCGCTCCGCAGCGCACGCCATCACGTGGTCGATCGTCGTCACTTCCATCATGCGCGGGGTGAGGGAGCGGTAGGAGCCAAAGAGCTGCTGGTACAGCAGCCACTCCGGGGCGCGGTTGGGTGAGGTGGGGTGGAGCCGCTGGAAGGCCACCGTGGACGCCGTCGTGGAGTTGACCGCCCCGGCGCAGTACTGGAGACCCAAGTTGCCGTCGACAAGTCCTTTGCTGCCGAGGGCCTTGAAGAGTCGCAGATCGGGATTGCCCCTAAAGACGGCGAGCGTCGATTTATCCTCTTCTTCCACCGCCGTCGCCGTATTCACGCCTCCTGCTGCGCCTGTACCTGCGTTTGTTGTGGCGACGACGCTGCCCGCACCGCGTGTGCTGACCTCGGGTGACACAGCGTTCTTGGTGAGGGCGTACTTCACTTTCACAAAATTTGTCGACTCCGGCAGTTGGATCGGCAGCGAGGGGTCGATGTGGTTGACGCGGCACAGCAGGCGCTGCTGCGTCGGGTTCTCACCCGTAAATACCTCGACCGTCGAGAGAAAGCGCTCGTAGCCCAAATCCTCCATGGGGTGGCGCAGCACGCGGCGCATCATGAGCTCCGCCGGCACCACCTCCGCCGATCTCTCGTGCACCACCACGACGTCGCCCTTCTCGGGGTGCCGACCGGGCACCGTGAAGGCAACGGACATGGTGGGCGGCCCGAGAATTTGCGCGACCCACTCCGCTTTCTGCCGCTCCACGACGTCCTCGAACACCTCCTGCGCCACGGGAGTCGCCTCCGGCGCAGCGGTGGCGTTGTGTTGCTGCTGTGTTGGCTCGTTGCTCTCCGGTGGGGACACAACCACGGTGCCAAAGCCCGCTGGCCTTGCGGGCCGACCAGGTAGCGGCGGGGGCCGCTCCAACTTCGTTGGTGCCGCTTCGCTTCTCGTGCTGGTGCTGCTTACCGCGAAGGGAGGCGCGGGTCGGCCGTTGAGGGAACTGGCACCTATCCCAAAGCTGCAGGAGTCCAGCGACCACTTCTTCATTTTCTCTTCCCGCGACGGCATCGCAGTGATGCTAGCCACGGCCATCTCCGCAAGTGTGCCGCCGCCTGGATCGGCCTGCCTTTTACCGGCCGACGGATCCGCGCCGAACATGCCCGACAGGAGCGTAGACAAGGCATCAGGTCGTGTCAGTGTCTTATTGGCTCCCGCCCCCGCTGCGGTCGCCGTGGCAAAGCCGCCATCCGTCGAGGTAATCGAGAAGCGCCCATACTCGCTTTTCGCCTTGCCGCCGGAGGACTTGGCGTCTTCATCTCGGTCTTTCTTGTACTGCTGCAGCCGTGCCTGGACAGCGTGGCGCCCCTGAAACTGGTCGTAGATCTTCGGATCGAAGAGGATGGCCACGTATCCGTCAGACTCGTCCGGGGCCTCCTCATCCTTGCCGCTGTGCACCAACGACCCTGGAATGCGCTGCAGCGGCGCTGCAGTGGACAGTCCACCTAACAGGCCATCTCCGCCTCTCCCGGAGGCAGCGCCGCTCATACTTTGGCCTCTCTCCACAATTCTTACATGATGCGCACCGATTAGGCGACGGTAACTCGCCTCGCAGTAGTGCATGTCCTCTAGCAGCACCGACACGTTCTGCGCCATCTTCAGCTGCAGCTCGCGGCGGTCGTTCTCCGGCCTCAGCACAAAGTCGTTGTCGTACGAGTCGAGGACTTCGTTCACGCGGCTTTCCACCTGCCCCAGAAAAACAAGCAGCGCAACACGCTCGTCGCCTTCGTTGAAGAGGCTTTGCGTCAGACCCATCTTGCTCAACTTCAGTTGCCGGTAGCTGTCCTTCAGCAGTGACGACATGCCGCCTGAGATTTGCTTCCGTAGTCGGAAGAGCTGAATTTGCAGGTCCTTGTTCTCCACGTGAAGGGTCTGGATATCCTGCTGCAGGCGCTTCTGTGTCGCGGCGGTCTCGCGGTGCTGCACATCCAGCGTTTTGCGCAGACTTAAGCACTCCTCCGCGACCTGCTCATATTGATGACGGACGCGCTCCAGCTCACATTCGTACCAGGTGACCTGCTCGCCTCGGTCCTCCAGCTGCCGCTCCAGAAGGCGCAGCGTCTCGCCAGAGGTGGCGCCAGCAAGCGTGCTTGTTAGGGCGGCTTTGGTGCGCTGCAGAGAGGCTGTTTCTTCAAAGTAGGTCTGTGGGAGTCCGTCATACCCGGCCGTCGCCGCCGCGGCATCGACTTTGGAATTGTCTTTGCTCAATGACAGAGAAGCTGCGGCCGGTGCGGCATCGCCTTCGGCAGGTCCGCTGCCGTCAAGGAAAATGGAGCGACAGAACTCGACCCGGAAGAGTCGAAGGAGGGTGCCGAGAAACGTGTTCCCCTGATGCACCTGCACCTCACTCGCCACCTGATCGTACAGGCTCATCACTTGGAGAGTGCGCTCCAGCGACGGTGGCTCGTGCACGCCCTGTGCGACCAGCTCACGCAGCTGCGTCTCGCATTGCAGCAGCTGACTGCGCCACAGCGCTGACGCATAACTGTATGGCTGAGAGGAGGACACCGAGAGGGGCGCAAGAGCCCCGTCGCCGGCGAGCAACGCCTCCGCAGGGGACATGTCACTTCTGTCGCTTGTTGCGCCGCGGAAAAGGCCGTTCTGTTGGGGAAGGCCGGTGGGTGTGGCGGCGGAATGGGCCGGCAGCGGCGGCGTGCGTGGCGAGGTGGACGAGAGGTACCCGTCTAACGAAAAGGCATTTCTATTCCCTTTACCCAGCTTACGCCTGGAGGCGGCACCGCCGTACACCGGCGCGGTGTGATGCAGAGCCGGCAGTGGAGTTGGGGGACTTGTCATTGCTCAACACTGCACGCCGTCCAAAACAGAAATATGGAGAAACATCAAGAGAGAGAGAGGGGGGAGGGGGGAACGGCGAAATAATAATAAAAACCGGAAGGAGGCGAAGAGGCAAATTCAGGGAAACAAAAAGAAAAGCACGTCGCTTTCCATAACCGATGCGGAAAAAAACAGTAGCGGAAACAGTACTGCACTCACCGCACATCACCGGCCCAACTAGGACAGCAACTAAAAGAGATGGGACAACTCAATCAGGAACTTCCTTCTTGCTGCTCTCATCAGAATCCGTTATCTTTCAACTGCACTCGCCTGTGCACATCGACTCAGTACTACGTTTCAATGGAATTACCTTTTCAGCAGGTTCATCTTTTTTCTTTTATAAGCTTGGACGAGAGAGTGTGAGTAGAAGGCAGTTGTCATCCCACCTACTTCTTTTACATAAAGAGAATAAAACTCGTAGCTGCAATGTAGAGAATTGAGAGACAACATTAAAAAGCAACAACGACAGAAGGTGTGCACTGGGGTCCTACTTGGGGGAGGAAGAGAGCTGCACCACCGAAGAGTTGCTGCGAACAGTGCCCTGGCACACCTTTGCTTCAGTGCTTCAACACGAAGAACAGACAGGCATGAACGAGCGGGTGGCGGATCCAGAGAGGAGAAATCGTCAGCGGTACGATTTAGCGGCAGAAAAAAGAGTAACGAAACGAGCAAAAAAGCAAGCAGGCGGCGCTCGCTTCCAGGTGCCTAGAAGGAAGAGGACGGTGACACAGGCGATGGAAAGCTCTTCCACGGTGAGGTTAGCGCACTCGCCAATGACGTCGCCGTGGTCGGGTTTGGACGCGTGATGGCCGGATTCACCCACAGCTCCTTGGCCGGCACCAGCAAAGCAAAGAGGTTGTTTACCGCGCCAAGAACGACCAACGGCAGCTGCAGGTTGTCGATCCCGTCCATAAAACACTCCGTCAAGGTGCAGGCGGCGATCATGGTAAACGTGTACCACACAGGTCCGGTGATGGGAACCTCCGCGATCGTCAGAATGACGACCCAGAAGACCATTCCGCACAGCAGTCCGCCCAGCGTGCCAGTGGTCGTCTTGTGCGTGATGGACGTGTTCGCGCGCTCGGTGAAGAGGTTGTTCTTCAGATACCGCCCGAGCGTACGCCGTGAGCTCAAGAAGTATGAGCTGCCGATAATCGCCGCGCACGCGTCAACGATGCCGAGCGACACGATGCCAGGTATAATGTTGATAGAGAGTTCAATGATAGCGGGCACGGGTTTCACGTCAGGGGACAGGTGCCGATAACGCATCATTATGGAAATGCCAAGTCCGATGAGAAGGTAAATGTGTGTCCGCACCACGCCGTCGATGCTGTCGCGGTCGTCGATGTGATGCACAATGAAGTGTGAGATGTGCTGCGCGCCGTAGATGTTGTAGTACCGCCCAACCTCCATTAAAACAGAGACGCTGATGGCGGTGGAAAACGCGAAGGCCATAAATGGCGGGTCAATCATAATGGACGGTGTAAAGGCGACAACGGCGATAAAGTGGAACAGCTTTCGGCGCACCGTCTGCCGAACGTTGACGGAGAGCACGTCGACCAGGTACACCGCCAGTGGCAGGAGGGTGACCCAGCACACCATCGTCCACATTCGGAAGCGACTGGACATGATGTACGCATAAAGCCAGCGGAGCACGTTCTCGCGAAACTGATAGCTGATCACCAACGCGAGCGTCAAGCCAACCACCACGTTCGAGACCCAGAAGATGATCGTGATTCTCTTGCGGCTGATGCGCCGCCGCGACGACTTGGAGTTTTTGTTAGTTGGCACGAGGCACCACCTCGACAGGGCACCTATAATAGACACGATGTAAATCGTACACAGGATCATGCCACGACTGGCAATGTGCGTGTACGAGGTCAGATACCCAGGCGCGTTGAGCAGCAGGACCGACTCCCGGCCACCATGGATGCTGAGGTTGTTGTTTACGCAGATGTCACACATGTAAAATCCCACGAGTGAACCGATTAAAATGGCCTCGTTGTCCCCGACGGCCGGGGACAGCTTCACAAAGAAGATGTAGCCAGACACAACGTAGACGATACCGCCGAACGAGATGACTTTGTCCTTCACGATAAAGAAGACGACAATGAAGCCAACAACGGCGTAGAGGGCGATTTCGGCGACCACGTTGCGGTCGTGGGCGGACTTGCCGCGCTGTTCCGCCTTCGCAGCGATGAGTGACAGGTACGACAACAGCGTCGAGGCGTAAAAGAGAATCGGCGAGTGGCCAAGGTCCATGGCGTGGTCAAGGCAGCGCTCCGATAAGAAGATGAGCGGCATGAGGAGGCGGCTCTCCCCGTGCTCAGAGGTGAGGGCAATGGTGCAGAGCGTCAAGATGCTGCAGGCCTGCATGCGAAATTGCGCCTGCCACGAGACCCAGGCGAGGAGACAGGTCCACAGCAAAAGCAGCGTCGAGGAGTACGAAATCTCGAGCGAGCGACGACGTCGGCCATTGAGAGCAGTGTCCAGGGTGGGAACGCGATTTGCGTTGGGAGAAGTCGTCCCGTTTGCCGCCGGTGGTCTGCGGAAGTACATCGGGTACCGCATTTGTCGTTTGTTCCCTTCGAGTACCTCCACGTGGCACGGTTCACACCGAACTTCGCTAATGCAATTCCTTTACCTCAACCAGGAGGAAATAATGGCAATAGAAAACAGCGACACAGTATCCTAAGACGAAATCAAGAAAATGCCTTTTCTTTCCGCAATAGACTCCAAATAAATCGAGCGGGTCGGAAGAAGAACACAAAAGGTAATGTGAGTCTCGCTGAATATGCAAACGCGAGCGCAAAACGAAGATAACAGGAGTCTGCCACAGCGCTGCTCCAACCTAGACCTGTGATGCTCTGCGTTTGCTTTCAGTGCAGACACAACAACGCCAACACCACAACGACAAAAATGAACCTAATCAGCAACAATGATGAGCGGCGATCCAGAGTTACTTAAAAGAAAAAAAATAACGAGCAAAGCCCTGAGTTGTAGAGAAACAGAAAAGAGTTTATTAAAACGAACGCGAACACGCTGCTTGAGTAGTGGCAGTCTCGACCTTTACACGACAGAGAAGTTCATATATTGTATGATGAAGAGCGCAACGAGAACGACGGAAGGAAAAACAAAAGCGGCGACTCTGTAGCCTCACGACCATGCAGACCCGGAGCTGCAGCGCAGTCACAAAACAACGACTGGGAAACAATATATCCGTTGTGGTGCTAGATGGCAAGATGCACTCACAAATGGTATCTTTATTTTTTCTTTTGAGAGATATTTATGAGTTTCTTCTTTTCTATGGAAGGAGTCGTAGAAGAGAATAATCGAGGAAACAGGCGAGTCGCAACGTGAAATAAAGGCACCGCTTTTGGTTCAGTCTACACTCCGGCTTGAATGACTCGCTACGACACGGGATGGCGAAGAGGAAAACAAAAAGTGGAAAAGGAAGTGAATTGAGGGGAAGCGACGGGGAAAAGTGAATTTAAGGAGCACTCGGGTTCGCTGTCCGCCTCACGCACCGTGCTGGACGTTGTGGTTTTCATTCATTTGTTTTTGAACGGAGGCGGCATTGTTTATCCTTCACAAACGCTGTCCTCTAAGAACGAGGCGTAGCATACAGGAGCCTGTCAGCACGAAGGAAGCCAGGGGTAAATAAGCCGCTAAAGCTGCAACACAACAGACCATTTTTTCCTTTCTTTCCTTTTGTGATGTCATCCGCTCTCGCAGTCAAAAACCCATATGCGTACGGCATAGAGGCAATTAAAAAATAATAATAAGACACCTCTTCTCCGAAATGAAACGTGCACAAAACGATTCATCTCACGTTTCGCCACTGTTGAAGTTCCTCACACGCGTTCCTCGCCATCGGCCGCAGAGGCCCGCCGCGCATCCGCCATGTCCGCTGCAATTCCTTCGGCGTCTTGCAAGAACTCGCGCAACGCGAACTCGGCGTACTCTGAGGGGAGCACCGGCGCAGCTTCTGCTCCCTCCTCGCAGTCACTTAAACGCGCGCCGCTCACAAGCGCACGCACGGCAGTCTGCAGTTCTCCGCGTAGGCGCGTCACGGCGAGGATGTCCTTATTGCCGTACAAATCCTTCGTGTCATACACCGAGGCCTGCTCGAAGTGGCGGTAGAAGACGTTGACACTGATATTGTACGGTGGGCAATGACGAGGCGACGAGCCATCACCTTTACCGTGCCTACCAACTTCCACCTCCTCTTCCTCCAGCGTCGTGATGTGATGGAACCACATGGCTGGGAAGTAGAGCATGTCGCCTGGTCGCAGAACCACCACCTGCGCTGCCTTGCACGCTTCAATGAAACGCGGGTAGCGCACCAGGTCCGGCGCATCCAAGTTAATGACTGCCGAGGAGCTGCCGGACATGTAGAGGTTGTTGTACTCGCTTGGCGGAAAGAGCACCACACGCTTGCAGCCCACAATTTGGCAAAGTACGTTGTCCAGTGTGTCGAAGTGCGTCCAGAGCTGCAGTGGTGGGGCGTTCATGCGCAGACAGGACTGATGCAGCAGCGGCTCGATGTGCTCCTTTGCGCCAGGCGGCAACACAAAGTCTTGCCCCAATGTCGCGAAGTCCGTCCACAGGTTTGACCGCTCGCTCTTCATGTGGGCCGCGATCGAGCGGTAGTACCACGTCTCCGTCGGCGTCTCCATGCAAGTGCGATAGAGCTCCGTCGCGTCCTCGAGGTGCTGCACCAGTTCCGTCAGCGTCACATGGCGGAAGGCGAAGTTCTTACGCACAAAGTCCAGTAGTTGCGACCTCTCCGCGACGTGGACGGAGACGGTGGTGTTGCCCTCCGCGCTCTTCAGGTACGCCGGCGACGCCCACTTCTGCACGCAGCCTCCAAGGTTCACGTTACGGAACACCACCGGCTCCGCGGCAGCGCGCGCCACCGCCAGAAACGCCGCAGCGCTGTACTCCGCCACCTCCCGCACGGAGGGCCACGGCTTTGACAGCAGTTGATCGTAGGCGTACACCGGCCGGGAACCGGGCGTTTCGTCCGCTGCGGTGTCACGAACAGCATCGTTGACGGCAGCACCAGCGGTTGCTGCTGCGGCGGGAGCGCAACGCCACGCGCTCCCGTCAACGGAGTCGCCGAGGTAGAGGAGCTGCGGTTTGGCGGCAAAGGTGCCAAAGGAGAAGCAGGTGTACCCGCCTCCCACCACCCCGACCACGCCCTCACCCAGCACCACGCAGGAGTGACGGGACCACCACGGGGCGTCACTTGGCAGCGCCACACGAAGCGGCTGCACAGGTGACACCTTTTCCCCTTCCGCCGCCGCCACCTCCGCCGGAACAAGCATGCCAACGGACACGCTCGATTTCTCTTCCCACGTGCTGCCGCCCAGCACGAGAATGCAGTCGCGATGGTTGACGGTGACGCGTGTGAGAGTGTGCGAGAAGCGACCTGCTCCAAGGTTTACCGGCAGCCGTGTCCACTCGTGCGTCGAAAGCCGCAGTCGCCACAGTGAGTTCTCGCAAGCGTCGCGGTCAGCAAACAAACCTCCCGCGAGGAGAACGTCGTCGTCTGACAGCGCGAGTGCTGCGAAGGAATGCGCAGCAGATGGCATCACACCCGCCTTTTTCCCTTTTAGATTTCGCAGCGGTTCGTAGGTGATGCTGCAGTGCAGTGTCGAGACCGTCACCAAGTAGCAATCCAGTTCAGTCGTGCTCACTACGTCGCCGGTGGTTGCGGTAGTTGCCGCTGCTGCTTCGGTGGCTGTCTTGCCACCCATCAACAGCAATTTTGCCTCGGCGTTGTCTTCCAAGCTACGGAGGCACACCATCGAGTGCCGATAGCGAGGCGAGGGACAGCAATTGTCGGTCGTTGTCACCATCAACGGCGTCCATCGTGCACGCACCGTGCTGCCGAGACTCACGGTGCGTGGGATGTCCAGCGTGAGCACGTAAGCATTTGACGTCGCAGCGGCCGGGTTCGTTCGGCCGCCCCACACGAGGTACTGACCAGTGCCGATGCGGGAGAAGGAGTGAAAGACCAGCGCCGGTGGCATTTTCGAGGCTGCAGTCGAGGTGGATGCCACGCTGGCTGTGGTGGATGTCACAGACATGTTCGACGCCTCGTTGTTGTGAGCGTTTCTGCCACCGTGCAGCGGCACAGGATCATCTCCTGCGACGACCACGCGCAGCTCGCCCTCCTGCAGGCTGTGCACGTAGATGGCATTGGTGCGCTCATGCCGCTTGCCCACCGCAAAGCCGCCGAAGGACACGAGGAGCCGGTCGCCGTTACGCAACGGCTCCACCGCAACCCCGCCATTTCCCCATCCTTCAAATCCATATCGCGCGGAGGGCCAGTTATGCAAGGCGCCGCTCACGGCCTGCTGCTCTGCAAATGCGACAACAGAGGTGACAGATGCAGGCGGTTGCGCCAGTGGTTTCCCCTCGGCGGCGTACTCCACAAAGGCCCGGTGCGCCGCGCAGCCATGTGCCACCACGGAACTCCACACACGACTGGTGGTGGTCGCCATGGTGATGCCATAGTGCTCACACATCTCATTCCATTCCTCGAGCTCATCAAACGCCTCCAGGCCTTCCACGCGCGACTTCTCCGGCCCTGCAATCACGTAACGAGAGACACGATAGAAGTTGCCCCACCAGGCACGATGCATGCCGGAGGTCAGCGCGCGCCGCGTCATGTGTCGTCCATCCGGACAGGCCTGAATGCCGAGCAGCGGGCTGTTCTTTTGGCGCAGAGACTGCTGCATCACTCGGCCGAAGCTGTCGCTGGGGGAGACCTGGTCGTACGCCACGAAGACGGCGTTGGGGAACGTGCACGCGAGCAGTGCCACCAGCCTCGCCGCGTCCTCAGGCGGCATGTACTGCATGACGCACTCTGCGTAGATGATGGTGAAGTTAGTGGAGGCGAAGCCTTTCGGACCGTAGCGGGTCAGACGAGGTAGCAGTTCCGCAGCGGCCGTGCGAAGATCGATGCCGACGGCGGTGTAAAACGGGCTAGCAACAGGGCAGTCGGCGTCTGCTGGCGCCAGTCTCCATCCTGGGGGAAAGGTACGAGGAGGAGCAGCAGCCATCAGCGCCGCCTTCGATTGCAACACCGCAGGGAAGTCAACGTCCGCGAACACCACATCTCCGTTGGGGAACGACGCGGTAAGAGAAGCCGGCTGCGCCGTCGCCGACGGCCCGCTGGGCTTGCCAGTCGAAAGCAGATCGACGGAGTCCAGCAAAAGCCGCAGCGCGAGAGTGTCGTAGCCTGCGCCGAGAGACAAGACTTGGATTGGTGGAGTAGTACCTGCAGCAGCAGCAGCAGCTGAGGAAGAGTCCGAGGTAGGCGTCGTGTGCGCAGCACGCTCCGGTGCGGAGAGAGCGACTTGGATCAGACGGGTTACGAGGTCTGTCATCACAGCCATGCGGAGGTAGTAGCCGCGGTTGATCAGCGGCGAACGGCGCGACGGCTTCTTGACAAAGCACCGCAGAAAACAGTCGCGTACGTAGTCGTGTGCCACAGCAGAGCGCTTGCTGACCACGCTATCATCGTTGGTGTGCTGCACCATCACATCAACACTCCCACCTGGAACTTTAATTTTCTGCATTACCTTGCTGGCCTTTTTCTGTTTCTTTTTGGAAAGGGGCGCCGTGCCATTGGTGGCATCTCCTCGGGTCTCTTTGCTATTGTTTTTCTCCGGGGTGGGCGGCTGCATTGAGTGGTGAGAATGCATTTCTGAGCCTGCGATGGAATGCCCTAGGAGCTGAATTGTCTTCTCTCTTCTTTTGTTGGGGGAGGGGGGTGGGGAGTTCAGTGCTACGAGATTTAAAAAAAGGTGTGTACGGCTCGCCGATCAGTTGAGAGGAAACCGACCTTCCGTAGCACGCGAGGAAAAGAGTGCTGAAGGAAGTGAGAAGGGCGCTAACGTGTTTATATGTGTTGTGGTTCTCTGATGTGAAGTATTCTGACAAGGAAGTGGGGGAGGGCGAAGTGAAGAGCAAAAACACAGTTTGTGGATGTTTCGTCATGAGCTGATTTCTCATTTTACCTAGCCAAGTCGCTCGCCTCGTCAACAGGTGTGCCCACTAACCATGTCGCGTCAGACAACGTTGTGCACTGGCGAATAAAACGACAGAAGCCGTCATTGCACATCCAATCGTTTACAAAAATCTGTTCAAATACAGAAAAGAAAACCAACTTATAGCAACGCGGAAACTGTGTGGTAAACTCCGTTTAGACAACTAGATGAGCCTGGTTTATAGATAGCGAAGTCCTGTGACGACATCCACGTTTACTACACGCATTCTGCAACATCCATTTACCGTTCTCCGACATCAACATCCTGGAAACCCATCAATTTAGCCCATGTCAGCAATAAAGTCTGTTGACTCCTACAGCGGACACCGCTGTTGAGCATGAGGAAAAGATCGTAAAGACGTCGGCTAACCCTTCAGAACCATATCCTCGTCATCCGACTCCATCTCGTCTGCCCCAGTAATGTGGTGCTGCATGTCGTTGAGCAAGAATTCCGCATCGTCCGGTTCGTCGTCTTCCCTGCTGCCCGCGAGTACGCCTGTGTTACCAGACCTCTCATCTGCCGCTGCTACTGCGGCGGCTCCACGGGTGACGTCCACGCCCACCTCCGCCGGAGAGAGATCGTTCCACTTCAGCACCATCTGCGCCAGCTCCAGCTTTCCTGCTTTCAGCAGCAGACTACTCAGTACAACGCTGGTGCTGCGGCTGAGAGCCATGCCCTGCTTCTCCATCTCAGTCAAGAGAACCGCCACCTTCGCGTGCTCACCAGCGCGCGCAAACGCGCTGACACATGTGTTGTAGACGTGGGCGCTCTTCGGCAGTGTCGCGTTGTCCAGCAACGCCTGCAGCTTGACCGTGTCCCGCAAACGTGCGTAGATGCGGTAGACTGCTTCGACATCCCGCTGACAGCACTCCGGGTGGGCGAGCAGCAACGCAATGTACTTCTCCATCTCGACAACGTTGCCGACGCGACTGAACGTGGACGCGACGGTGCACAGCAAGCGACTGGTGAGGATCACCGTACTGCTGCTGACCATCTCCTGCACGAGTGCCTCCGCCTCGTCCGACATGCGGCCTCGAGCGTACGTGTTCAGCAGTACCACATAGCCAAACTCCTCCATCGCGATCTGCCGCTCTTTCCGCTCGTGCACCAGCTCCTGCAGGTGCTCGAAACGCTTTGCGCGGCCGTATCCCTCGAACAATATATTGTACGTGACCGCATTTTCTTGGAAGCCCTCGTGCTTCAGCTTTTCTCGAATCGATTCCATCTTGGTCACGTCACCGCACTTCGCGTACGCGTTCATCGCTTGGTGGTAGGTGACGAGGGTAGGGACAGCGTTGGTGGACTTGGACATCTCGTCCAGAATGGCCTCCATCTCCGTCAGACGCCCCATTTTACCCAGCATGTCCACCACCGTCGTCGCCGTCACTGGATTCGGCGGCACAAGCTTCATCATGGTGTCCAAAATATCCTGCACCTTCGCCATGTTGTTGAGACTCATGTAAACGTCGAGGAAGCGGTTGTACACCGGCATCGTGACGGCCATCTTGCTCTCTAGCAGATCACTCCAGCACTGGTCCACCTCGTTCACCTTGCCCAGCCGCGCAAACGCAGAGGCGGCGTCGGCGAAGAACATGGAGGTGTGGATTTCGTTGCTCGTGACGGCTTTGTGCACATACGCCTCCACGCCCGCCGTGTCGTGGAAAAATGCGAGCGAGGTGACAATGACGCTGAACAGGCGCTCGTTCAGCGGCACGAGGTTCGCCTCCATCTCGGCGAGCACGCTGTTAAATTGCGCTCGGTTGTGGTGCTGTGCCGCATTACGCAGCAAGACGCGGTACACATTGGCGTTCTTGCGCGGCAGCCGTGCCAAGAACGCCCTCATCGCGTCCGGCCGCTCGTTCAGCGCGTACAAATTTAGCACCTCCGCTTGCACGGCTTCGTTTGCCAACAGACCGTACTGCTCCGCGTCGCGCACGACTGCCTCGCACCGGCGAAAGTCTTTCGGAAAGCAGCGGAGCATCTGTATCACGAGCATCGCGCTCATGTTCTGAGTGGCGCCGGTGGCCGCTTTCTGCTTCGCCTCACGGTACAGGTGCTCGACCGTAGCCGTGTCGTTGAGCGCGTTAAACACGCGGACCAGCGTCGGGTACATAGCGCCATCCACCTGCATGCCGCGCGCCCGCATCTCGGCAAGGTACTTCTCCACCAGTCGAGGGTAGTACCGGCCCAGTACGCGAAACACGTTGAGGTAGGTTTTCGATGTGTGGTATATCTCCTTTCGCGTCATCTCCTCCTTCAGGGCGATGACCTCTTTTAAATTGTAGGAATGTGCGTACCAGCGAAGCATCTCGTCATAGAGCTTCTGATCCTTCACCGCGCCGGCAGAGTCGAGCGCATCGAAGCACTTGCGCATGTCATCAAAGCGGCCCAGCACACCCAACCCACGAAGTAGGGAAACCACGAAGAGGGGATCGAGGTCGTCTAACGTGTCATTGGCGGCTGCGTCCTCGACGACGCGGCGCAGGTGCATCACTTTGCCCAGCATCACCTCATCTCCGCTGTCGTGGGTACGGGCCAGCATCTCGCTGCACTTCGCGATGACGGCGGACTCGCCCACCATGCCGAGAGTAGTGCGGTTCAGCTCAGCGCACACCTCCGACTCGACTCGGTACACCGCCGCGATGGACGTAACCGCGGCGGATTGCAGACGCGAACGCACCACCGCACCCACCGCAGCGTCCGACAGCGTGAACTCCTTGTCTCGTGCGAGGTGAATCATGGTGCGCAAGGCCGACGTGCTGCCGCGGCTGGCGATGACAGCGCAGGACACAACCGTGTTCAAGTCCACCTCGCTGCGCCGCCGTGCAATGACGTCGTCGACAGCGCCCTGGGTAACCTGCACCACGTCGTCGTACCGCCCGGTCATGCCGAGACTCTCTAGCAGCGCGCAGTAGTCCCCAGTGGTCAGCTTATCTGGCGGGATCTGAGCCCACAGTGCCACGCTCTCCTCGTGCTGACCGCTGAACTGATACGCCAGCACGGCGAGCACCCTCATCTCCTCGTTCGCTTTCAGTTCTTCCGCCATCCCCCGCATCAGCTCCTTCGCGTTCTCGCGCTTGTAGGACTCAAAGAGGTACCGGACAAAAGGGAAGCCGAGCGTCAGCCCGTACTTGCGAAAGCGAATGGAGGCGCGAAAGAGTAGGTGGGCCATGTCACCCTGTCGCAACTCCACACACTCCTTCATGAGACTTTCCATGATCGCCGTGGCGTCGGCCGGGCTGACCTCCTTGCGTTGCAGCTTCGACTGGAGCGAGATCATCAGGTAGGTTACCGCGTTACGAAATTGCGCGATGCGGCGGCGGGAGTGCAGCATGGACTGACGAATATGTCGCGCGACGTGGCGCGGCTTGCTGGACAGCACCGAGGCCAACGCGGCTTCGTCGTCGCTAGAGAAGGGACGGTAATGAGAGGCGCGTCCACTGGAGAGCGGCCGCAGTAAGACGGGGGTGTAACAGGTGACGTAGTGCCGACGAGTTTGCCAGCCGCCTAGCGCAGACGAGCAGGTGCTGCTGTTTGCGTGGGCGGTGGCGGTATTCGGCGCGGTGGGCACTGAAATTGCCACCTTCAACGGACGACGCAACAGGCGTCCCGGCAGCAACGAGAGGCGTCTTGACCGCATGAATTCGACTAATACAAAATAGCAGCAACAGCAAAGAGAGCACTGGGAGACGGGAAGACAACAATAGGACGCCCGGAGGTGGTGAAAAGGCTTCTTACGGAGTGAATACCCCCTTCTTGGGATTGTTCTTCTTGGTGGGGCTTTAAGTTTTCCGTGCAAGTCTCGCGGCGACTCAAAAAAAAAAAACCCGGTTAAGAACACCAGTTGTGTTCGCTAGTGAACAGTAAAACCAGCAACAACGTAGTCAACGAATGCAAAAGAGACAATGGCGAAGTGAGGTCCACCGAAGGAGGAAAGATTCAGAGGTGGACAAGCACACGCGGGAAAGAGGACGAAGATCGCCAAGGGTCTACTCGTGGGGGAAAAAAAAAGGGATTGTCCACACACTAGCAATTCGCATTTCATGAAGGGTGAAAACGTGCTGTTCAGGCCAATGTGTTCGTGTGGCCGAGGGAGAAACGCACGGCAAATAGGACATGATAGAGATCCTCAGACACATCCAGTTCTTCCGTGTGTTATCCTCGTAAAGATGGCCGCAGCCTGCAAGCCATGCAGCGGAGTGCTCAGGGGGATCTACGCAAGACGATGGTGATCATTTTACCTCCTTTTTGATCTGTGCAATCCGTGCTATCTTCTTTTGTTTTCTGTTGGCGATATGGTAAAAGGAGGGGGTAGGAACGACCGTGACGAATAAAGCCCTTTAGAGATAAAGTGAGGCAACGACTGTACAGAAAAGCAACGTAAAAAAAAGACGGTAAAATACACCCGTTCTACAACGCGTCAGCAAAAACACGGAAGTGTGCACGCGAAAGCCGCAGTAACAACAAATGGGGCTCGCCGTAATCGCACTGACCACGCGACACTAAGGCGCTTGCTGGAGGCGCATAACGGATTATGATTCGCACGCAAACGGTCGCCACGTGGATACACGCGCTAGCGTCGAGATAATGTACTTCTAGCACCTGTCTTGCGGTCTCCAGAGACGACCGGAACCAAAGAAGAAGAAGAGAAAACGAAACACGTTACCGCGGCTCTCTCGGTGCCTTGACTTCGTGTCGCTCCTCCTCGCCTGCCGGTCGAAGACTGGGGTACCGCGTGGATGGCGAGGACGAGTCCATGCCATTCGACACCGCCACTTCAAACTCCATCGCACCGCTCTCCACCGGTCGCTTCACCGTGGGGGTCGTTTCCACCATTTCCTCAATCACCGGCGTCTCCCCAGAGGCTGCGCGGAAGCGCTTCTGCAAGATAGCCTGACCCATGCGCCGCCCAGAATAGAGGGCGTCGTCCCCGTCGTCGGACACGTCCGGGCCACACCAGCTGGAGCACAAGTAACGCAAGAGCAGCCTTCCGACGCCGAGCTGGTGGCCGCCAAAGCCGTGCACGACCGCCGTGAACCCGTTGAAGTTTTCCTTGCTGCCGAAGCAGTCCCCGTACTTGGTCACAAAGCCGCCTCCGTTCTTTTCCTCCTCGACGAGGGCGGCGTGCTGGACAGCGAACACATCGGGGTGACCGCGGACCACCGCCACGATAAACTCGTTATCCATCCAATCGGTCGAGTTGTCCGAATACAGCGCCTTCTTCACCTCCTCACTGAGGATGCAGAAGCTCTGCGTGCACAGCAGCTTCTCAAAGAAGACCCGACTTTTATCGGACATCTTCGTGTTCAGCACAAATCCCCGCTCCCCTTTCAGCACCACTTCCCCAAACAATGTCGCGTAGTAAGTGAGAAAAAGACTACATAGGTCGCGCACAGTTTGGTCCTTTGGGTGGCGCATCTTGAGTATGGACAGCCCCGTGCGCAGCGCGCTCAGCACGCCCGAATGCGGCAGGTGATCTTGCGTCTCGTTCAAGTAGTCCACCCGCTCGCACACGCCATCAGCGCCGAGGTGCACCGCCACGACGGAGTCGATTGGGACGCGTTGCACGTGTGGCAGCTGCGAGGATAAGATGCCGACCAAATACGGCGGCGGCGCAGCCAGCACGTCCAGCAGACTTGTAGGTAAAATGGGAATTAAAATGTGCATCCAGTCAAATGGGGCAACGAGTGCCTGCAACGACATGACCACGTTCGAGACAATCGAAAAGTTGGGTCCGACAATGATGATGTGCTTCTCCAGCAGCAAGTCGGTCAAAATGGAGAAGAGGTCGTAGATCTTGGGGAAAATAACGAGCATGTCGAGTGGTGCGGTATCGATAAAGGAGCAGAGCCGATCGTAGGGGCGGTTAAAGGTCATGCCGAGGTCCAGCGGGGTGTTAAACATGCCGCCGGAGGGCGGGGTGGAGCATTTGCACATGGCTTTGATCATCGTTTGCCCACCTTCGTCGCCGTTGGTGCTGAAGAGATATGCTATACGATAGAAAAAGTTGCACCACGGATAGGGTGAAAGGGCGACGACCGCCTCACCGTTCACGAAGGCCGTCGTGTGCCCGTACTCGCGAATGCCTTTGCTATCCGTCAGCACGAACGTGTAGCTCAGCTGGTCTACCGTGGACGATGTCCCTGCGTTGGCCATGGCAAACTTGCCCAGGTTTGGATACCGCACCAGCACCGTCGAAGGAGTGTACGGGTACGACCACAATATCTTCACCACCTCCTCCCCTTTGCCGTTGTGATCCAACCGCATTACGAGAAAGCAATTAATACAGCTGCGATCATTGCCTTTGTTGTAGAAGATCTGCTGCTTCGAGGTGAAAACTGTCTCCTTCTTGTGGTAGCCCACAAACGACGCTTTCAGTTCGCTGAATCCGGTAGTGACATCGATATCGTCCATTCTCTACTACAATATAGACAGCGAGGAGTCAGGAAAGTCCCCTTCACAACGCCAGAGAAAAAAAAAAAGAAGGTATCAACCTCTACGTTCGCGCACACCATACACAACACCAAACAAAAAGCAAAGGCAACCAAAGATCACGAGGATACCAGAGTGTGGTCTGCAGTGCAAACGCGAAGGAGTGCTGTTTTTGTTTTATTAATGAGAGCTGTAGAAGTGTTGCTTTCTTTGCCCCCGTCCGTCTCTCAGGAACTTGTACTATTCCTATTATTTCCCTTGTGGCAGCGAGAGAGTCTCAAAAAGTGTCACAGGCCAAGTGGGGGAAAGTAGGTATTATATATATTTTTTTGAGTGCCACTGTCAACCCGAAGCAATCTTGAACTATTTCGATGAGGGCGGGTGTGGCTGGAAGCGGAGAGAGAGAGAGAGAGAAACAAGTTTTCAGAAAAACACCAATACAGAAGCTGATGTACACCGAGAGAGCACAACACGCGATTCGATGTGTTGGCGGCAAGACAGAAAAGGTAGATGGGCGGAGTTATACAAAGAAATTTGCGCGGGTGTCAGCCCGGCTGCCGCGCTGTGCTGGTGGAGAAGCGGAAAAACAGAAATATATGCGATTCTTCTGATGACAGTTCTAGGAGCAGAGATAAAACAAGAAAGAAGAACACAGTTGTAGCCGCTACTATACTGCCGTTACACACATCGAAGAGGTAATAAAGATGAAGAGTGCAGAAGGAGTGAGTAGCGGTAATTGTGACATCGCCAGACGACCATCACCCTTCGCTAGGAGTCAAATTACTGCTTTTTAAGAGCATGTAAAGTCTGATATAGAGTCTTTTCTATAGCCAGCCCGTAGCGAGAACGTTAATTGTTCGTACAGCTATTGCGTTGTTCTTCGAAAACTCCGCACAAGTTAGAGTACTCGCAATGGAAAGAAGACGCCACTCTCCTCTACAGTTACCGCGATAGCGCGTCTTACCGTGAAACTGCGTGCATGAGGCTCCCTGCATATTTAGAAAAGGGGAGAAACAAAAGGTTCCAAATGAAGAGAATTCTTCTTTCTTTCTTTCTTTTAGAAGTTCATCACTGCGTGAACCAAAAAAGGAGCATTTGTGTCCGAAGACGTTGTGAGGATCCAACATGCCGCAACCCAACCACGCAGAGACAGTAGAGAGAGGGAAGGGGGAGGCGGGAGGTGCGAAGAAGAGAATAAGAGGAATTCGTCACTCGGTAAGTGCGTCTTTGTTAGCGGTCTTGGCTGCCGAGGAGAAAGTGGAGGCGGGAAGTGCGGGCTTCACCTCCTTCTTGAGGGCCGCAATCTGCGCCGCAAACTGCGTGTTCATTGGGTGGTCCTCCTGTCCCTGCTCCAGCAAGTGAATCGCATCCTCAGGACGGTTGAGTTTGCGCAGGGCGTAGGCACCATGGAGGTAGCCCTGCACGTTCCCCGACACCTCCACCGCCCGCACCGCACTCTCCAACGCCTCATCGTACTTCTTCTGGTGAACCAACAATCCCGCCTTCAGGGCGTGTAGGCCGCCCAGGCGCGACGCTTCCTTCGCGTGTGCGATGCCGGCATCCACGCAGCGGACGGCGTTGCGCAGATCGTTGCAGTGCAGGTTCGCCATCGCCATTCCCGCCGCCACCTTCACGAACATCGTAATGTCCATTGGCTCATATTCCTCCTTGGACGCCATGATGACATCTCCTTCCTTCTTTGCGGCGGCGTTGCTTCTGCTGACGTTGTCTTCCTTCTCCGTGCTAGGCGTTTCCGCGGAGGATGGCGCTGCTGATGTCGCTGCCTCCGCCTTTGCGTTTTCGTGGGCGTCCGCGGCGTCGCTCAATTCCGTCTCCTTCGTAGAAGACGCGGCTGCGGAAGGCGCTGCCGACGGCAGCGGCTGCTTCACCGAGCACCCGCTACGCTCCACCTCCTCGATCATCGCGCGGAAGTTGTCGGGGAATCCGGAGACTAACTCATGCGCCTGCTCCCCGGCGGCCATGGCAGACGAGCTCGGATACAGCAAGTAGCTCAGCGGCCGCTGCGCAATCACGTCCTTGGCGCCGTACTCCGCTAATAGCTTGGCTAAGTGTGGAGCGATGCTTGGGGTGGGACTTTTGCTGTCGATCTCTTGCAGGATCTTGTTGCCCAGCTCAACGATAACGTCGCGGGAGGTGCTCTCCTCCAGCACCGCCCGCTGCTCCTCGAGGCTTTCCTCCAGAACCTCTGGCACGTACTCCTTCACGCGCTCATCCCGCGTCTGCGGCTTGTTCCACAACGAGGTGAAGAAGTCGGTCTTGTTGGAGCCCAGTTTGATTTGAGGCAGATACCCGGCAGCGAGCCGGCTGCGACGGAACATCACCGACGTCTTTCCTCTCTCAACTTTATAGAAAAACGCTAGAACACAAAACTCCACACCCCTGTCGATCAAACGTTTCAGACTGATGATGATGATGTGGCGCTCTTTATGCGTGAGTGAGTGTGTGCGTGCTACTAATGACGTCCGCTGGAAAATGTTGAGGAGCGGCAGAGGAACAAAAGGTCAGGTTACAGTAAATAAAATAAATGTAGACAAACGTCGCTATGTTCGCGTGCATAAAGGATTTCTTCTGCGATGCGCGGTGGTTGCACGCCGTTCTCCAATGTGCACATACCGCTGCAGTAAACAAACTACACGGTCTTCAAGAGAAAGAAAAACAACAACAGAAGTCCTTTGCTCTTGTGCCGCTGCTTTGTCCCTTTTTATGGCGGTCGTAAACTGGAGGCGTTTCAACTGGTTCGTAGGTTTTTTTTTAACTTTTACCGGCGAAGCTTTCACACGTTGCCCGTGTCTTTAATGTACAAGAAAAAAAAATGAACTGGAGCGGGGAGAAAGAGTGGCCCACAGCCGATCTTGTGCGCCACGCCACCACATTTCGTATCACAATTGTAACCGCGCGGTGAGAACTCAAGTTGCGCACAGCGTGTACCCTCACCGGCTCACACTCGTTGTGACGCAGTCCTCATCCCGCCGTTCCGCAACGCGTTAGGCCTTCTCACGCAGCAGCAGCTGCAACGCGCCGTCACGCAACAGCGCCGCGAGATCGTTGGAGAAAAGAAGATGCGCGCACACCGTCACCGCCACCTCCGCAATCGTCTCCTCAACAGCGTGTTCTTTGGCGCTTGCATGGATGTGCCAGCACGTTTCGGACAACGCTGCACAATCCGTGCTATTATCCTGTGTGCCCGTGACGGCAGCGATGCCCTCGCCTTCCCTGAGCGCGGCGGCGATTGCCTCAAGTTTACGCTGCTGATCGTCGACAGCCGAAGGGAAACTTGGGTGCGTTCTACGCTGCTGTACACGGCGAAGCAACTCCTCCGCGTTTTCTGGGCTGTCGAAGAACAAAACGACGCAAGAGGTTTGGGCAGGTGCGCTTTCACCGTCCCCACCGCCGCCTCTGCCTCCGCCGTCGCCGCTTCCACAACGAGCCGTCTGGCTGGACGCGTGCCACAACGACTGATAGAGCATCCGTGCCTCGCGAGATCCGTTTGTGGAGTCAAGGTACAGCACCCGTCGCTGCGGCGCACAGCAAGACTCGGCGTGCCGTAGAGAGTCGTTGTCACCTTCACCACGGTGGGTATTGGCCCACAAGCCAACAGCGGCCAGCAACGCCTCGTGCGTTTGCTGCTTCGCCACCCGCAAGCTGGCGGACTCCTTCTTGCCGCGGAAAATTTGATCTCGCTCGACGTGGCGAAAACGAACCGTTCGCTGGTGCAGCCGAAAAAACGTGCGGGGCACAGAGCAGACAGGAGAGGCTGGAAAGCGCTCTCGCCTCACTTTTTTCTCCTGCGGTGGCCGTGACGTTTGGGAAGCGGCCGAAGCACTACCGGCACCTTCAGCGTGCCCGGCATCGTTCACAGCGCTACGAAAAAAGGCTTCGAGTGCGCGGCCGCAGGTCGACTTCCCGGTGCCCGGCAGTCCAACCGGCAACACCAGCAAATCACCGCCTCCTTTCACGCGTTGCTCCATCGCAGCGCGTACAAAGAGGGGGCGGAAATGCAGTACTGTCATCACGTAATCAGTGCCGGGGAAAAAGTCGAAGGTACGCGCGTGCGCAATGTACCACGTCTCCTTCAGCACGTGCACGTCACGCGTCAACGACTCCACGTTGCAGCTCACGTAGATGAGGTCGGAGAGGTACGCTGCGGCACCGAGTTCCATGAGAGCTGTGGTCGTGTTCGGGTGCAAGCCGTGTCGTCCAGCGGTGATGAGACAGTGTAACTCCTCAGGAGCCTCGTCAGTGATGCTGCGTGCGTCGCCTGGATTACTATTCGAAAGATCGCATTTCGCCTGCTCGTCCGCCACAACCTCTGCTGTACTCCCGGACAACGCAAAAGCCCGTAATGGTTCCGCAATTTGATCCTTGGCGCACCGAATGCAGTGCGAAATGTTGTTCGTCTTCGTGTCAGCGTACACGCAGGGGCACGTTGTGACAACCGTGGTGCCGCGGTAGTATTCCGCAAAGGTGCACACAACGCTGTTGATGTCCCGTCCACAAATAAAGGCGCGCCGCTTCCGCAAATGTAAAGGCGACGATGTGACGGCGTTTTGCGACAGTGCAGCTGCCGCGCCTTCTCCACCGGCGGAGAAGAAAGATTCGACCTTGCCTGGTAGCGCAGTTGAAACACCGTCACCCGTGCTTTTACACGCCCCTTCCTCCTCGTCTTCGCGTTTCCCACACTCGGGCGAGAGCCTGAGAAATTCGACAATGGCTTCGTAGATGGCCGTCTCCATTTCGTGGTTTACCTCACAGAACGAATCCGCAGAAAGCCAGAACGGATGCCCATTTGGGGTGTACTCCACCATCGCCGAGGCTCCGTTGCGCGTGAGGGGGACGTAGGCGCTGTTTTTGTCCGGCTTGCGGTGTAGCTCATCGTCGCTTGTGCCTTCCGGTGCGGGCAGGCACACGTGAGCGACAAGCGCCGCGAGATTCGGGTGTAAAGCTCGCAGATGATCCTCGAGCGCGTACGGCTCACAGCTGCGTAGCCAGACATCGAACAGCGTTTCCGCAGCGCTTCCTTCTTCTCGGCTGGAGGAAGCAAGCGGAACAGACAACGCCGAAGCTACGATATCTTTGCGTAGAAGAGTAGACCTTACCGACGGTGTTTGAGAGACCCGTGCGGGAATGCAGTCGAGTCGTTGGTTTAACAAGGACAGTTTCACCATATACTGGTCATCTCGGCTCACCTTGACACATACCTCACAGAAAAAGTTCGGGGCGACAGCTGAAATGCGAGAGCGCGTCGTGCAAAAGTCCCCGACGGCCGTCGCAATATCATTCACACGCCGCATGCTCAGCGGGGACACGTGCAGCCGTGGAAGCAGCGAGTAGGTCGCCTTGCATCGGTAGCCTTCTTGCTCGCCTTTGACGCGAATGGCTTCGTTAGTGGTGATGCTCCGGCATAAAGCCCGCAGCACACTCACGTACGACGGCTCTGCCATCTTCGCCTCTTCGGGATACTTGAAAATGCGTTTGTCACTTTATCTTTTTTGCCCAACAAGAACTGAGTCGATCTGCTGGTAAGATAAATTCTTCTTGCATGGAAACCCTTCAAAAAATAATAATAACCCAAGTGTTCACATTGCAGGCATTGCGGAAAACAACACAAAAGGCGGTTGCTTTACGAATTGCGGCTACGCAATGTGTGGTAGAAAGGAAAGTCCTTTTCAACGAGGCGGATGCGTCTAACGGACGGACACGTAGTTTCAGACAAGGAGAGGACACCCGACAAGAGAACGAGTCTAGCATTGGAAGTGAACAGGAAGAAGAAAAACAAACTATTTCTTTTCCCGTTAAATGCCAGGCATCTTGAAGCGCGCATTCAAAAGATCCTGCGTGCGTGTCCCTTTCGTCGCTCCAGTACTAACCGCATGTCGACAGAAACCTGCCCACGTGTGCGTCTAACTCAGATGCGTCCCTTTTGTCCATAATTACTCGCCGTCAACAAAAGGCAACATGGATCGGCATCAACACGTGACGGCGTTCCTCGTAGCTTCACAGTAGTAATTCTCATTCGCTAATGTTACTTTAAGGAGGTGTGTGTAGCGCTGTCGCTTCATAGGAATACGAACGGATCTTTTTGGGCGTAAAAGAAGAGATACAAATGCAATGGAATAACAACAATAATTCAAAAACAAGCTCAAGTTTCGCGCGATAGTGACCAACACGATCACACAAAGCAAAAACAGACCAACATCAACTGTCGAATAATAATGATAAACAAATTAATAAATCAATTAATAAATAAGTTAGCACCGCACCGCTCGTCGAAACGTCTCTGTGAAAAAGGCGCCATGGCAACGCCGTAGATCTTCTCGCCAGCAGTAAATGAACAGTAAAAAGTAATGAAAAGAACCACACACGAAGCGCCGGAGAGCACCTGACGTGAAATGAAAAGAACAAGTAAAAGAGAACGTGAAAGGTGAAAGAGGAGCACACCTGTGGCACAACTAGGGCCTCCCCCAAAAAAAGAAAGAAAGAAGGAGGAGCTACAAGAGCAGAAAAAAAGCGCAACAGGAAAGAGAGTAAAAGGAGATACGCGTTCTTCCGGGCGGGAGGTGGTATGGCATGCCTGCACTGCCCAGGCTTCCCCTTGTTGAGTGGAGAACTATAAAAATATCGATGACGCGTATCAGCTTCTCTGTTGCCCATTTTCGTTCTTTTCCTTCCTTCTACACTTCCCGCGCGGTCCGTTTTTTTCCCTTTCATAACGTTCAGCGCTTACTGCGTCGCACACTCTGCATGCTGCGCACCGCCAGGCATTCCCCCCGAGGCACGACGCGAGCTACCACCGCCGCCACCGCCACCGAAGCCACCGCCCTCCTGCGAGGCCCAGACGCCGCGCTTCTGCTCCTCCAGCTGCTCACGCGTCTCACGCATGACACGCGCTTTCACCGTGTTTCCCACCGAGGCATTGGCGTCCTTTGCCGGTACGCCAAATGCCTTGCTGATTAGTTCCTTCTGCTCACTGCTCAGTTTGTTCGGCAGCTTCAGGTGGGTAAAGACGTACACGTCGCCGCGCTCGCCCGTGGTGCTGGGCATGCCCTCTCCATTCATCTTTATGACACCCTCAGGCTTTAGCACCTGATCGGCGGTGGTTTCTACGTTCACCGTGCGTCCGTCCAGCATCTTCAACGGCATGTGTAGGCCGAGCAGCGCCTCTTGCAGCGTCACCTCTTTGTTTACAATTAAATCGTTGCCGCGGCGCTGAAACACGCGGTGAGGACCCACCTCCACGTGCAGGTGCATGTCGGCCGGCGGGCACCCAGGGACCGTGCCACCCTCTCCGCGCACCACCAGCGTCACGTTCGACGGCACACCGGCCGGGATCTCGATCGTGACGTCCTGTGACACCGTGCGATAGCCCTTTCCGTGGCACCGGTGGCACTGGTCCTCCGGCTTCGCCATCGTGCCCGTCCCACGGCAGCGCGGACACTCGGAGATGGTTTGCTGCACCATGCCAGGCCCCATACGATGCTGCTGCACCACGCTACCACTCCCGCCACACTGCGTGCACTTCGGCTTCTCCGTCCTACTTTTGGTGCCAAATCCCGTGCACTCGGCGCACACCTGCGGGCGGTTCACGCGAATCGTCTTGGTCACTCCTTTGTAAACATCCTCCAGTGTGAGACGAGTGCGCACCTCGAGCGGCTGCAGCGTCGGTGTCGCCTGACGACCGCCGCCGGCGCCACCGTTGAACATGTCGCCAAAGCCGCCCATCCCCCCCATGCCGCCGCGGAAGAACTCGGCGAAGATGTCCTCTGCGGAGCGGCCGCCCATCCCACCGAAGCCGCCTGCCGCACCCATGTTGGGGTTCGTCGCTGCCTCGGAGCCGTACTGGTCGTACACCTTCTTCTTGTCGGGGCTGCTCAGCACCTCGTAGGCCTCGGCCACCTCCGCGAACTCCTCCTTGTTACCGCCTTGGTCGGGGTGCGTCTCGAGGGCACGCTTGCGGTACGCCTTCTTTATGTCTTTGAGCTCCGCGTTGCGGTCGACGCCGAGGATCTTGTAATAATCCTTGTTGCCGCTGGAATAGAGCCGCATGGGCGTGTTGGTGCCGAAGGCGCTAGAGGCGCCAGCGGCAGTCGCAGCGCTGGCGGAGGCGCCCGTTAACGCCGCAGCTTTTCGCGCTGCCGACGCAGAGAGGTAGCGGAACATCTCTCAGAAAGACCCAGTGAGGGTGTGTAAGTCACCACAAATGCTGAACGATGCACAACACGGTCGCAGAAAGCTATCTCGTGCAGAGTTGTTACGTGCGCTTTTCTTTTCCTTGTATTCTTCCCCCTGTGACCGCGATCAGAAAAATAGCGACGTGATTTAGCGGTGTATGAATCTGGGCGCAGCTGTATATCCTGCCGACGAAGAATCTCGGCCAAAAAAGCAAAGCAACGACGCAGATGTGAATGTGCTAAAAATAAAGAAACACGGTTGAGTAGACAGAAGAGAAGAAACGCAGTCCTCGCGAAGTACTTGTTGGCGGGTGTGCGTGGGCAGTTGCCTGCACGGGTCTTCTGTGCAACACGGTGATAATATTTTTTTGCCTCTCGGGAATTTCGTATGTGAGTTTCACTCACACTTAAAACGCAGCGCCGCGTTAGTCCTCTCCGCTGTTAAAGGGATTAATAAAGAAATACTTATATATATGCGAGAGGAAGAGCACCCCCTAAAAAATAAATCTGTGAGAAATTGAAATAGTCAGTTAACGACTTGAAAAACAATAGTAATAGTGCAAAACCGAAGCGGTAAAGAGAAGAACGCTAGAGGAGGTGTAAAGGGCGTGAGAAAACGCAATAAAACAAGTGTGGGAAACGGAAGACGGCAAAGTAGGTTCTTTTCAATAATAAAGACTTTGTCGTTGCCTTCGGTGCCTTCTTAACCTCGGTATCCTATTTGAATTATTCGTTGGCAAGCGTGGGTACTCATGACACAGCTTGTCGGCAGTGACAATAGAGTAGCGCGAAAGGGAGACGGAGAACGAGAGAAAAGAAGACGGATGTATGAAGTTAGATTCATAACAAGAATACTTTTATACGGGCTCGCTGTGCAAAAACCTCAAGTCAACAGTAATACGGAAAAATCAACAACTTGTTTTTCCAAACAGGCAAGCAACACCAAGATTTTGGTTCGCAGCGTCAAGTAGCAGCGGCGTGCAAAACTCTTGTCTTGCTGTTCCCTGCAAAACGTGAATTGACCATCAAGTAAGAAACGCACACTGCGAAAACACTTCTTCGTCGTCGTGAATTATATTCATAAATGTGAAACCGTGTAGTGTCAACTTACGAGTGTACACCCCTGCGGAAGCACTCGGCGCAACGAAGGAAGAAGAAGTAACAAAAACAAAGAAGCTAATTGGCGCCTTAAACGAAGAGCAAACCGAACCCGGGGGGAAAAAGACAAAAAAAAAGAGACAATCCTTTGCATGTATGAATTGGGACGGTGTGGCCACTGCACCACTGCAGAACACATCAGACAACACTAAGCATAGAAGAACAACGTGGATTGTGGCCAAAGAAGAAGCTTGATGCCACGCCTAATATCAATGCACCCCCCAAAGGAACTACATGACAACATATTAGTCTCCCAACAAACACACACACACACACAAATATACACATTTAAATATATAAACAATTCTGTGGGGCGCCAACAAAAAGTCGCCGAATTCTCTTAAGACGAAAGAGATCAGAGGTGCCCTAGCAAAGTCATCATGTTTTTTCATCTTTGCTATTCTTCTGACCTGGCACATCACTCCCCGCTCTTCCCTCTCCTTCTTTTGTGGTCAGTTGGTTTCCCGGCGTTCACGCGTTGATGACAATTCTCGCTGCGATGGTTGCCACCGCAGTACCTGCAGGGGTTTGTCTTGAAGCAGTTCGCCGCCGTGTGTCCTAGCAGTCCACACAACTCGCACTTGAGCAGCTCGGGGTGCTTCTGAAAACAATTACGCGAGGTGTGCCCTGTCGCCCCGCAGTAGGAGCAACGCACGTTGCTGTTCAGCTTGCGGAAGCACTCTGATTCGATGTGCCCTTTGCTGCCGCAGAAGCTGCAGACACCGCCCGGCCCGATGAAGCGCTCCAGCCATGCCGTGTTCACCTGCGCCGGCTGCAAATCTGCCTCTACCGTCACGGGCCTCCCCACGCCGTAGTGTTGCACGTACTGCGCCGTCAGTCGCTCGACCGCCTCCATCGACACATGCTGCGTCAAGGTCGGGAAGTAGGTGGAGAGGAGGTGGATGTGGCGGACGTCATCCGCGGCGTACTCGAGGAAGTGGCTCGGCAGCGGGCGGGTGTCCCAGACGGGACGGTCGCCGACGGACATGGCAGTTTGAACGGCGGAGTCACCCTCCTGCCGGTCGACGCCGGCGATGCTCTTCAGCACATACGTCATGCCAGATCGCCGGTTCACGCTCCGCAGCTTCCACTGCACGCAGGTGTAGAAGAGCTGCAGATCTAGCACCCGCGTCGGCACGAGATCCATCTGCGTGCTTAGTGCCTCGATGTCGCGACGGCAGTCAAACGACAGTTTTCGAATTTCTGCATCACACAGAACAGGGCGAAGGGCGGCTGTAAAGGTGGGGACCGAGAGGGAGAGGATATCAAACAAAAACACGACGGGCACCGTGTCACCACAGGTCTGCACGAGGGACACCTGCCCGAGCTGCGGAGACTTCACCGACTCTGGCGTGCAGAAGGCCTCCACGTCGAGCGAAACTTGGCGGCTGCGGCGCAGCACGTCGACCGCCTCGCGTAGCTCCGCTTCACAGCTGATGACCTGATAGGGGTACTTCAAGATTTCCGCACGCACAGTGTCGAGCGAAGACGCCGAGGTCTTCGCAACGCTCGTGGCGGTGGCGACAGCAGCGGAAGATGACGATGTCAGCGATGACGATGAGGATAGGGGATTCGGCGCTTCGGCTTGAGGGTGGGGCGAAGCAGGCACAGCTTTGTCGTGCCGAGAGCCCAAGGTGCCACCGACTGCTGCACTGATCGGATTCTGTAGAACGCGTCTCGACCACGCAAACATTCTCGGTGAGCTAGATAGATTACACAACCGAATGCACGCGACAAATGCCTATACGGTGCGGGGAACGCAACGGGAAGCACTTCCTGTATTCCACAACAAGGTGATCCAAAACAACGGGATGAGGAAGGAGGAGAAACCGAAAGTTGAAGGGGAGAGTAGCCGAGAGCAGCAGCTCATGCTGTCTCCTCTGATGAGAACGCAAAACAATGGAAGAGTTCGAGGTTTTCCGTTTCCGTTGCGCAAAAAGGAGAAGAAAAGGATTTCATTGCACCGGTTTTTGTCTGTCCGTTGCACAATAGGTGACGGCACGTTGCGGAACAGTCAGAAATTATCAACTCATTTTATTTAAACGGCGCTAATTCGTAAGAGAAGGGAGTAATGTGAGTCAACGGGCAAAACGGGGCTCAGCGCACGCACGCACACCACAACGACGGCAACAAACGAGAAAGATGTGCACACCTCAGCTCACGGTGAGCATATCAAAGTAGTTGCGGATCATAAACCGCAGCAAACCTTCCTCTTTCACGGAGTCGGCGGTGGGACGGTCCTCGTACCACGTCTCGTACGTTTCAATCGAAGGTGGCTGACCAAAGATCCAAATCTCCGGTTGCAGCAGCAGAGAGCGCTGCTTGTTGCTCGATCGAGGTCCTTCATAGTGCAACACGATAAGCGCAGCATCGCGCGGTGCGCTCGACGCCTTTGCCGATATGCTGCTGTTGCAGACAGGGCCTGCACTCTTCCACAACGCAAACAGTGGCTGCCTCCACCGCCGCCAGCTCCACAGTGGCGACGCTGCATCACCACTCGCTAACGCACTCGTGTGCAGTGGAGCAGCAACGCTGTTCAGACGGCTGCCAAACCACGTCGGCCCTGGCCGCACGCCCCAACCCCATTCGTACCGTGCCGTCCCGTACACTCGCAGCATGCACCCTGGCGGGACGAGGGCGTCAACGTCGCGACTCGTCCACGAGTTCAGCGCCACCTCACGCAGGTCGCTCATGCGAGACCGCAGCACCGGGCTCATCGTCACTACCGTGTCGCAGCCGTCGCGGCGAAGCGGGATGATGACGTAGTCGTGGCCGTCGTACATCTTCGGTGGACGAGGAGCGCGGAAAAATTGCCCGGTGGGCGAATACTCAATGTACACGTGGCGGAGTCGGCCCATACCCTCGAAGGCTTGCTGTGTGTGGCGGACCAAATAGCGTAGAGAGGCAGGCATCTGCTCAAGGCGCATGTGATCCCCGCAGCCCCACGGCGCCTTCATTGGCTGGATGTCCTCGGCATGATCGGCGATGACGCGCACTCTGCGGAGAAAGTCAAAGTTGAACCGCGAGGTCCACTCTCTGCGTGTTCGATTGACAGCAGCGGTGGAGCTGGGTTGAGAGTTCCGCAAGGAAGAGGAAGAAGCAGCATTCGGCTGCTCTGCCGACGCGGCATCGTTTTCTAGTGCTGCCTGCCAACGCGTTTCAATGGCGGTCACCTTTCGCGGATCGAGTGAGTTGCCGAGTGTCTGGGACCAGCGCTGGACCTCATTTAGCAGTACATTTCGTATCTCCGGAAGTAGGGCGTTGCTGCGCACACTCATGCCGATATTGTCCTGCGCGGTGAGCTGTACCCCTAACGCTCCCGCGGCAGCAGCAGAGGCATCCAACGGAGGTGACGTCATGACGGGCCCTTTCCGTGTAGCTGTCAGCGTCTCCGCAGCCTCCACGGCTGTGGCGGGCGCCACACGACGAAAGTACCCCATATCCGCATCCGTGACGGTGGGGTAGGCCGTACCTTCCATGTCCATCAGCTCCTCCCTCCACTGATAGGCGAGGCGTTTGCGCGTGGCAACGAATCCGCCAATGACGACGGTGGGGATCGCCAGTGCCGTGTACCATGACTGCGAGCCCAACATCGTGGATGCTAGTTGGTAGAGCAGGGAAGAGGCTGGAACGTGGATTTGTGTGTGTGTGTGTGATGGCTTTTGCTCCAGGGGTTATTCAAAATGTCAGGGGTGGTAAAAAGAAGCAAAAGTCTCCAGTTGAAGAAGGCTTGTGACCAAAGCAGGGAAGCTTTGCGGCACCGCCGTACAGACTGCGGGGCTCGCCAGAAGCGAGAGGCTGCTTCCTTTACATTAGGTTTCACGGAAGGATCTCCACACACACACACCCACCACCACAGGCCACTCGCACAAAACAGTAAGGGGAGCCTTCCTTCAATGGTGCACTCTGCGTTTCAGAAACGGATTAAAGACCGTGTTATTGAACTACTGTGGAAGACAAAAAAAAAACCCTGTTTGACTGTCATCGTTTGAGCATCCAAAAATACAAGGGAGGAATATGATTCAAAAAGCCTTCGCCGTGTCACGTTTTCCGCTTCCACATCGATAGAGTTCATTTCTTCATTAACGAGAAGCGGAAAACAGGATGGAGAAGCGGTGTGCTGAGGAGAAGAGAATTAAGTTCAGTAAGTACGTTGTAAGTACGCTGTGAGTCATCGTCCATGGAAATAATAATGGAAAAAAAAGATTACAAGATGTCTTTTGAAACGCTTTTGATGGTTCGTGATAACATGAAACGCGGCGGTAAACCAAACAACCAAAAAATAAATAATAAAAAAGAGTTGTTGGAAACTCGCGTCCGGAGGCTCGGTTGTTGATGCCGTTCTGCGCAACAGCATCTCACAATTTTCCTCTCTCCTGCATTGCCTTCCTCGCCCTCTCCACTACCATTTTCTCATTGAGCAGCTCAATGTAGTAGCCATCCGGGTCCACTATAAAAGCCATGTACCCGTCTTTCTTTTCGTAGTCAATGGTCACATTCTTCGCGCGCAACTCCGCCACGAGCTCCTTCACGTCCTCCACGCCAATCGCGATGTGGCCAAAAGCCTCACCGTGGGTGTAAGACGTCACATCGTAATTGTAAGTCAGTTCAATCGTCGGCCCCTCCTCCTCGCTCTTGTCGTAGCCGAGGAAGACGACGGTGTACTTCTCCTCCGGACACTCGCGCCGGCGCATCTCCTTCATCTTCAGGCACTCCGTGTAGAACTTAACGCTCCGGTCTAAATCGCCGACGCGGAGCATGGAGTGCAACAATCGCATTGCGCTCAGCAAAAGAGCGAAGAAGAACAGCAAAACATATTAAAGAAAGGAATGGAGAGAAGCACACCGAAAATCGTATCTTCGTGTTGCGTGCGAAAGCGATGCTACTGGTCAATGTCTTTTTTTGTTTGAGAGAGTCAGAAAACAATGAAGAGCACTTTGGTACGAGCACCTCACGCCTCACGTGAAACAGGACGCCAATAATGAAAAGAAGAGGTTGAAGGGAACACGCAAGGCAGAGGCCCGAAGAATCTGTGGGTTGCTTGACCTATGAATTGACTCGCCATACTCCATTTTCGCCAGCAAGCAACACACGCGGTGAAGAAGAGCGCACCACCCAACGCAGTTCATCACTTCTGCGTAGCTTCCGCGCGTGTTGGCAACGTAAAGTGTGGCCATGCCACAATACACCTTGATGGCTCCAACTTTTTTTTTCTTCTCCCTTTTCGGCCTTTTGGAGGCAATTTCGTGTTTCCATACTTTTCGCCGCCTCAAAACGACTGGAGGCCTGCCATGTCCACGTAGCACAGCAAACTGGCCTTTACCCAAAGGTGCTCTGGGGAGAAGAGTTGCTGTTGTTTACCTTCCGCAACTCAAACAGTAATAACAAAAACAAGCGGCAAAAATAGGAGACGAAACGTAAAAGAATAAGATGCATAATAATGAAAGTATGTGTTCACTTGGCAGCGCCGCCGACATTGGCGGCTTTCTTTCCCTTTTTACTTTGAATAAGAAAGAAAAGACGGGCATGGCACATGTCGACCGAACGCAGGTGTCGATCGGAAGCGGGGGAGGGAGGGCAAAGGCAGTTCTGCGTGTGCGTTACGCCGTCCCCTGCTCCTTCATCATCTCCTCTGCCTTCGAGATCATTGTGTCCGTGTTCAGGAGCTCAACGTAGTAGCCATCCGGGTCCACCACAAAGGCCATGAAGCCCTCGTCATCCTCATAATCAACCGGGACGTCGTGCTGCCGCATATCGGCGACAACCGCCTTGACATCCTCGACGCCAATCGCGATGTGACCGTACGCCTCATCGTGTTTGTAAGAGGTGACGCCGTAGTTGTAGGTCAGCTCCAGCACTGCGGTGTTCTTCTCGGTGTCGTAGCCGAGGAAGGCCAACGTGTACTTGTCCTGCGGGATGTCCCACTTGCGCAGCAGCTTCATGCCCAGGCGCTGCGTGTAGAAGTTGATGGAGCGCTCCAGATCACCCACGCGGATCATCGTGTGCAACATACGACGTGAAGACATCTTTTTGGTGAAACTTTGTTGTTTGGCCAAGGTGAAACGTGTGGTGCAGAAGTAAAGCTAAGTTTATTTTTTAAAAAGTAAGTCGATAAGGAAGGCGTAGAACGTCGTCGACACTAAGGAAGGGAACTAGTGTGTTGATGTGTGTAGGTTGTACTCCTTGTCGTGGATGTTGTTCGGGGAGGAGAAACGTGATACGAGAACAATCGATACCGGGCAAAGAAATTTTGAAGACGGAGAATTAAACATACCGAAAAAAAAAAAGAAGGCACGAGTATTCCAACTCGGTGCGAGAACATCCATCTATGAATGAAACCGTCAATGACCGGATTTCTTGTTCCGCTGGGAGTAACAAAACGGGGAAAACCCCCCTTTTGGGTAAAACAACCACAACAACGATACCGCCGGTGACAAAACGCTGACGACACGTGAGTGAGCTGCCGCCATCGAGAGCGACGCAATGCACCTCACCCAGTGAACAGCACGTTCTCGCTTGCGAGAAAACTTTCCTTCCGTTACACGAGAGACACGGGATCGCACGTCTCCGCATCGCAGCGCAGCTGAATCCATTTTTCATTCTAGTTGCCTCTTTGTCTCCCTTTCCTTCGCCTCTTCCAGTTTGAGGGACATCGTTCACATGTTAAACTACACTTTTGAATGAATCAGCAAGTAGTAAAGTAAAGCATTTAAAAAAAATCGCAATCCGCAACAGTAAAGAAAAAATACATATCTTTTTCCTTGTTGGTCGTGGATTGCTACTGACAGGTGCAAGTACGAGAGCGAAGTGTATAGAAAGGATAGAGGAGGAGAAAAGCGTCGCAGATTCGATGGTGCAAGATCTCAGCACAATGAAATTATCGCAGGGCTTTGCGGAAAGGTCTTGATGAATTGAAAAAAAAAAGAGAGAAAAACTCCATTGCCTGTGAAACACTGCTGTGAATTTCTCTGCACCTTTTCGTTGGTTCCTAACGATGGAACACGGCAGTGAGAGCAGGGTCGCTAGCCATGTCCTTCCCGAACGGAATCGGACCCGCAATGGTCTTCATAAACTGAACCGTGCCGTGTGCAAAGCCCACGATGGAGGCACGGGGTGCCACTTTCATGTAGCTCTTGCGGTGCACAACCCGACTAAAAAGAACGGCATCCGTGAAGGACAGGTGACCCGTGCCGTAAACATCTCTACGTGTGTACCACGTAGCGTTCTGGCTCTTCAACTTTCGATTCGCCGCGTCAATCACGGCCGCCTCTTCCTCCGTGTGCTCCTGCATCGTAATCACGTTATGAGCATCGGCGAAGAAGTCGCACTGCGCCTTATCGTGTATCCAGGCTTCTGAAAAAAAAAGCAGCGTCGGGGTGGTATAGTGACAAGGGTCTTTCCGATCGATAAGCCTCCGTAGGAACATATCCTCCTTCATTGGCACGCCCCAAGGATCGTAGGCGACGACAGACGCAATAGGTGATGGCACTTTGTTGTCCTTCGCCGCCTTCTCCTCTTCCAACGAAGCGACCATGGCGGTTGCACCACCAAAGGAGTGCCCGACCAGGTGGATCGGCTGGTCCATCGCAAGGTACCGGTCCACTACCTCCTTCGTGTAGCCCAGCGACCGCAGCAGCTCGCCGGTGCGAACACCTCGAATGGTGTTACGTGTTTCCCGCACCCGCATAGCCAGCAGCGGCTCGGTCGCCTCGGTGGTCCACTTTGTATCCGCGATGAATGGGATGTGAAGGCTGCCACCGGCGTCTCGGCAGTAGGAGGCACTCGTATCCATGTGGGTAACAGCGAACACCACCACCCCACGTGCCGCCATGTCCATCAACAGAGCGTTGTAGAGGCGAGGAAATCCAGCGTAGCCATGGCTGAAGACGGCAATGGGGCGGGGCATGCCCTCCTCCTGGAAGAGCTGCGCCGGTGGGGCGTCGGCCCGCATGCAGCAACGGTTGAAGAGAAGGTCCCTCAACAGAAAGAAAGGCACCCCGGCAAAACGCGCCATCCCGCGCAGGTACTGGGTATCGTGAAACGGGATGCAGTCCACACCGCATGGATCGGGGGCGGACGTGGTGGGGTAGAAAACGGAGATGGGCGGCTTCCTTGCCGCCAAGTCGCCGCGCAGCTCCTTCAACCCCACATTGTAGTGGCCACCCATCGGCGCTAACGTCAGGAGAGGCTCAAAAAAGAAGGCAGCGGCGGAGACAAGCAAACAAGCAACGCACAGCCCGGCGCAGGTGAGCCACGAGGCGGCGTAAAACAACGCAACGCCCGGCAGCACCACAGAGGCTCCTATGGGGAGGAAATGAAGGGAACAGACATAGTCGACAATCGAGTGCATTTGCGGAAACATAGTGGAGATGAGTTTTCTGGAAAAAGACGGAAAATAGAACTTTCAAGTAATATGATTTAAGAGGAAATGCTTGCTGAGAGCAGCGCGGAAGACAGAAGAAGAAAGACCTACGACTACGAAAACGAGAAATACATATGGCCCGTTAACACAACGCTTTCGGGAAACTCGAAGAAGCACCTTAAGAATAGCACCACGACAAAGGAAGTAATTTCAAGAACTCTAAGAAGTTTTGCGAACGAGGTTGAGAAAGCAAACGTTGCTGAGAGAAAGCGGCTGTTCTGGTGACAAACCCAGCAGCGTGTTCTTGTAAAGATCAGTGAAAGGAAAGGGAAAGAAAGCCTTGACGAAGTACGCTGCCGAGGTTAGAAAGAGATGCGTTTGTACCGCCAAAATGGCATAATCGTTGGAACAAAAAACGCGCTGTATGATCAGTGGGTAGCAAGACGCTCAGTTGGAGGAGGCAACAATCTGGCGACGTCCATATTGCCCGCTACACCACCACTAAATGGTGTGAGATCATATTTCAACCGTTCGTTGTGATTACAGTTCGTTCGGTGATGGCGACAACAACCACATGCACATCTCGCTACAGCCACCTGTAGGAGAGACCCAACTCCCCTAAGAGAGTAGCAGAACATTATATCTTGGAAATGGTTTCTCCGCCACTCGAAAACAAAGCGCGCCCGTTGTTGCCCTCCTCACGCGCAAAACGGTATGCCAATGTAGGTGCGGCGCTTATACGCCTTGTACTCCTCCCCAAAGTAATCCTCCCGTTCCAGCGTCGCTTCCTCGTACGCGACGCGGGAGCGAAAGAAATACCACGACACCACCGTGTGCACCACGGCTGAGAGCGGGTTCGCGAGAACGAGCTGCGCAAACAAGCTGCGCCAGAACCATCCAAAGTACGATGGGTGGCGCAGGTACCGGTACAGTCCATGTCTGACAAGGCGGTGACTGCTGCGGCGATCGGATTCGATTATGAGGGAGAAGTTCGACCCGCATTGCAGCATCGCAACGACACGGATACCGTAGAAGAACACGACCAAGGCAGTGAACAACACCGCCCCGGTGCGGTTGATGCGCAACACGGCACCAAGAAGAGGATGGCGAGACGGCGACAGCTTCCAGCTCTCCGGCACAGCGTACGCCTCAATGAAAAACTCCAACAGCGCCAGAGCACTGGCCGTCAGATACTCTTTCGAGTGAAAGATAACGAACGCGTCGGGGTGCGTGTCGTGCGGTCTCTGGTAAGCCGCGGTGAGAAACTCGCTCATGTGAAAGGCGAAGTGCACCGTCAACACGTACAAGCCCAACGCGAACAGAGCGTCGCTGTGGGTGACGTAGCCATAGAAGACAAGCGCAATGCTCAGGATCGTGAGAGCGCCGATGGCAAAGGCGATGACGGCCGTTTCTAGAAGGAGATTGCGACGAAGCTCGCGGTTGAGGCAATCGGCCTCGTCGCGCGCGTTAGCGTCGCTCTTTTTGTTCGTGGCTCGAGCCGTCATGACCGTGGATTCCGTTGCTTTAGAATGATATTGGGAGAGAGTCTGCAGTGCCGTCAATGCCTCTACACACAACAGAGGAGGGTGGCAAATCCAATTCGGAAAAAGGGGTGGCAAGTGAAGAGCGGGAACACCGATAGAGTGAGAGGAGCATGGGAAGACGTGGGTAGAGCAGACGTAGAATATCGACGAAGCGACGGCGTACGTATCAAACGAGCGGCTGGTTGCACAAGCAAAGAAACCTGGGTGCAGCAATACATCCTTTCCGCTTAAAAAAGGCGCACCTGACTCGCCCGGAGGGGGAGGGGAATCTTTCAAAGACGATTCACCGGCGCGTTTGTGGCATTTGTCTAACGGATTGGTCCTAGTACTAAACAGGAGAAAACAAGTAATGCCAGGGCCCTCCGCGCGCAAGCGCACACATCCAAGGCAAATGTATCCCAGACAGCAGGAAGCGGGAGAGAAGGAAAATGAAAACGAAACGAAAAAAGGCTGCTAAAAAGATACGGCGAAGATGAGAAGGGAGAGACCAGCCCAAGACAGCGCAGACGGTTGTTGCCCTCCCCACACGCAACACGGACTCCGACCTCCATCAACCACCACCACCGCAACAACAGAATACAAGCACGGCAAAGGCGCGCAAAGCAGACGCACGCGTACGCAAACCTGGTGTGAGAAGCGCACCCCACTAATTCTTCCACTCATCGTGATCGTTACCCTTGCTCTCGCGACCAAAGGCCCACTGACCGCGGTAGAACTCCTCCACTAACTCGTCCGAGCCGTCGTGCACACCGCAGAACGGCATGTACAGCGGCTGGCCCTTCTCGCGCACCCAGCGCGAGTAGCCCGCCTCCTGCAGCGCGCGACGCTCCGGGTTCACGAGCAGACCCGGCGCCGCCACCCACGTAGGGTCGCGGGAGTAGATCTCACCCGCGTTCAGCGGCGACCAGTCGTTGTACTTGATGTTGAAGGGCAGTGGCATGCCCAGGCGGGAGTTGTGGCCCCACTCGCCACGCGCTTGCATCTGCGCCGGCGTGTGGGCGGCGGAGCCCTGCATCCACTTCAGCCACATCGGACTTGCGGCGTGGGGCGCCTGCCCACGGAACCAGTGCGGGTCGGCTGGCTCCAGCATGCGCACGTGGAAGGTGCCCTGCGCACGACGGCTTTGCCAGTACTTGTTCCCGTTCTCGTCCTTGCCGACGAAGATCTTTTCATCCTTGCGGCGCCAGGACTCGCCAATGTAGTAGTGCTTGCGCAGGGCGCCGAAGAGGCCGAACATGCGGAAATCGTGGAAAATCCAGCGCCACCGCTGCACGGTGAAGCACAGCCGCACCGGATTGTCGCCCTGGCGGTGGTGGTGGCGCGGGAAGGAGTGCGCGTCGTCGTGGCTCTTGGTGTAGACGAAGTTCTTAGACCCGCACTTGGACGACTTCGCGGCCATCTCGCCGTACCGCTTCGCCATGGAGTTGGCTCCGTGCGAGCCGAAGGTGAAGATGCTGGTCATGGCGTCGGGGTTCGACCGCTAGAAGCACAGAAAACGCAACTGAAAAGCAAATCGGCCGCACGTCTGCAGCCCGTATTCGCCGGTGTGCGGAGGAACCGCTTTGCTACTAGAAGACAAGACTACACTGGTCGACCGCGGAGGCCAACAGTTTCGGTAATGGAGGCGGGGGAGGGGGGGGGGTCGTTTGCTACTACGGTAGGTTTTGCTTACTGGTGAATGGAGTACGTCAGCAAAGCGTAAATACGGGAAGAGAGACCCAATAATCCAGAACACGAAGCTGATATACAGAAATGGGGCGTTTTCCTCACTACTCCTCAGATCTGTGTTTTTTCGTCTCTACTGCTAATAAAACCAAAGGGCCAGTAAATGGCGTTGGATCAAGAAAAAGCTGTCCTGCTGCTGATATTTCTTTTTTTTTGCTCTCTTACGATGCGGATTTATTGATGTAAGCAGTAAACCGGAGAAGACGTGGACAGAGAGGCAGAGAATACTGGGAGGTAGGTGAAGAATGCCTTTGGGCTGCGGTATCGTAGCCTCAATATTTTTACCGATACTGATGACAAACCTCACTCATGTCGTGCACAGTGAATAAGAGTTCTTTTTCTTTTAGGTTGACAACAAGAATTATGAGGGCATCAAAAAGCTTTCTTGTAACGTAATATTGAAGCGGTGCGCATATGTTCTCCGGCAGGGAAGACAGAAATACGGGAAGGGTCAGCTGTTTTCGAGAGTTTAGTGAATCGTCCTGAACTGCCTACTGACAGAATAATGCTTCAGTCACATACACACCGACAACGCGACATGTTTTAAGAAGCGCAATAGCAATAACGGTTAATTATCAAAAAAAAAGGAAAAAGAAGATTGAAAATAACATCGGTCTCAATAGATGTGAACGTCTTCGGGAGGGGTCCGCACTCAGGCTTCGCGTTCCCGCTTCCTTGCAGCCAAGAGCGCCTTGATCTGCTCTCGCTCCTCTGTCGCCGGGGCCACCTCATCCATAATCAGCGGTTCACCGCAACTAGGGCACGTCACACCCGTGTCATCGTCGTCGTCCAGAGAGCGGGCCTCGTTAAAAGCCTCCTCCGCCATCGTGGTGAAACATGCCTGGCACATGAGTCGTCCGCAGCACGGCATCTTCATTGCATTGCGGGCCACAACGTGATCTACAATGCAAATGTACTTACTATCCACCGGTGCGGGTTGGGGCGAAGTGGCAGGGTTTCCTGCCTCATTAGTGTTGCAGTCGATGTTGCCCGGCGTACCGGTTTCCTGCTTTTTCACACCGAGTGCGGGCAGCTCGTTTGTGGCGTCGTTGATGTGCATCGGGCCGTCTGCGCCGCCGCTGCTGCCGCCCATCCCGGCGATTGAAATGGCCGTGAAAGCAAACGGGTCAACGCGGCGCTTCACCAGGCGGTGATCGCGCGTGATAAACTTCGGCGCGGGGTCGTCCATCGTGCACTCCTCCAGCATACTCTCCGGGATGCCAACCGGAAAGGACAGCATCTTCAACGCCTTACCGCCCTTGGCGGAGGGGCAGTGCTGAATTAAGTGACCACCCTTACCACAGTTGTGGCAAATGTAGCCCTTTGGCGGGGGGCGGAAATTCTCAAACATGTTCGCGCGAAAGGCGTCGCCGCGGCCGCGGCTGCCGAAGTGGAAGTCGGTGCCGCCGTCGTCCCCAGCACCGGTGCCAGCTCCACCGCGGCCACCGCCGCGGCCACGGCTCATGCCACCACCACGGCCGCCGTGGTAGGGCCGCGTGCTCACGCCATCGATGCCGGTGTCCAGCGCTACCTCCGCTTGCAGCTGCGCTATTCGCTCTTCCTCTGTGAGCGGCTGCCCGTCTGCGTTCATCTCCGCGACTCCCGCACCGTAGCCACCGGCGCGGCCAGACGTGCCGGGGAAGTCCATCGAAGAAGAAAAGAGCGCTGGCTTCGGTCGAGTGGGGTAGGCCGGCTTGTTGCTCTGTGTCCGCCGTACCACGTCCACAACGGCGTAGGCGGGTAGGTCGTCGTCCGGGTGCAAGAGAGAGGTGCTGCCGGCAAGAAATACGTCAATCTCCTCTGGTGGGGCGCACAGTTTTGCCGCGATGGCCTGCTGGGCAGCGCTGTACGACATCACGCTGCCCTCCATGTCGATCGTTCCTACATGATTGCTGGACTTGAGCCGGAAAGTGATGGAGGCGACCATGTCCCTTCCTTGTCTCGTTGCCGACTGTATGAGACGGAATGGATGTTGTCGAATTGGGTTTGTATTTTGAGGTGGAAGAAGCGATCGAAAAAAGCAGTACGCAGAACAGAAAAGATATACCACTTACTCTAGCAAAACGAGCCGTAACAATCACACGAACAGAAATGACGGAGAAGCCAAAGAAAGAAGCAAGAAAAAAGATGAAAATTACCCAAAATCTACCAAAAAGGTGTGTGTGTCAAGTAGAAACACTGTGATGATGTCCAATACAAGAGAAGCGTCTCCACTATTCCTCCCACAGCTTTGCAAAGTGAGTAGTGCGCGCAAACGTACGCGGGGCACTTGCGATGGGGTAAGGGCTTTGATTGTGACAACGACACGACAGTGTCCTTTTTCTTATTGACGTTGCAGGAGCGGGAAGAGAAGGGAGACAAAGAGGAGGAAAAGGAGAGTTGCGAAGAAGAGCACAGTGAGAATAGCAGCAAAACTCTCCATAAGGATAATTTTCAGCGTTCGGGCGGCCTTTACTTGCCGGTCATACCCAAAGAGGAAAGGGGGGAAGTCATTTGCCGCGCACCTCTTAAGTCGCTCGTACGTGTTCAACTCAGCTTACTCTGTAGTGGTCGCACTGGTGGCCGTGATCCTTAATTTTGGGTGTTGAGCTGTTGGTGCAGAACAATAAAATACGCTTACACGCGCCAAAGACGTCCTGATTAACTAACAGGCAATTAAACTACATAGAAAAAAGTAAGCATATATATAACGAAAGACATCTTTCCATTAGCATTTCAGCGAGCAACGCACAGGTGATGAAATTATTATATATTTTTTTTAGAAAAGAAGAATGAGAACGAGAGAGAAGGGAAAAACGGCAGAGGGGAAAAGGGGGAAAAAAGACATTCTACTACTTACATCTTCTAAACCAATAGCCGCCGGCGACACGTTCGTAAAGAAGAAGAATAAAACTGTAACACAAGGAGAAGCACTCACACCGTTTTTTTTTTTGGGGGGGGGGGGATGAGAAAACGTGTGGTGAGCGCAGCAAGCGTTCTGCGGAAGTTGCAAAGAAAAAAAAGACTTTGATTTCCTCAATATTGTTTTAAAGAGCAAACAAAATACATCTCGTGGCGTATTAAAAGTGCTAGCAAAACGGGAGCTCAACTATGTCCTGTACACATGCGACGCAAGTCCTCGTTGTGACTAATACAAAGGTAATCCAAAGAGAACATGGTTCCAATTAATAAACGGAGTCAATCAATCTCAATACGGTTCTTCTAGCATATATGTATTTATTTAGTGGCTCCACCTTACCTCCTTTAAAAAAAAAAGATGAACGCATCTCTCCAATCCCTTCAGAATAACGTCTGCGCCGACTGAGTGGCCTCCAAAAACAGCACAAAAACAAATAAAGGGACTGCCCCGGATTCGTCAGCTGTAGTCATCGTCTTCCTCAAAGACAGGACGGCGCAGCGACACGCGGCGCATCCCGGGAAACGTCGGCAAACTTCCCTCATCCTGAAACACCTGAGAACAGCACTGCCCGGACACCGGCGTCACGGCGGAGCCCTGCGCTTCTTCCATTGGCATCGGCTCCACTATGAAGATGCGGCGCGGGGCGGAAAAGGATGCACCGCAGCTGGCACTGTGCGAGAACTCGTTCGTGTCTCCCTTTCCGGTCTTGGCACCGACGGCATTGAGTGTCGGTGGCTTCGCAAAACCACTCAACGCTTTCGGTTTGCCCGCCGCACGCTCGGCGCGGAACGACCACTCCGAACTCACAAACGCCACATTCGACGAGGATATCAGCTCCTGCCGAATCGAGGGGCTGAGGAATTCGCCGTCGGGCTGCTGCTCCGCCGGAAGCTCGATGCTTCCGATGGAGGCATTCAACTCATCTACACTGTCTGCTGCGCTACGCGTCGATGGCGACTTTTTTGATGGCAAATCACAGAATGTGGCGGTGCGCTGGATCGCCAGCGGGGCATCGTCGCTTGAAAGCGGAGGCGGCGGGGAGCGATGTTGCGGGTGAAGCGTCTCTTTGCATTTTTTGTTCGCGTTGACTTCAACGTACGGGGTCCCTGATACAGCCGACGAGCTCTGCCTTGCCAACGGAGATGCCTTCAGGTAGGGTGCATTTTTTGCTTCAGTGCATGTGACGTTTAGCGAGATAGCTGTGGGAAGTTCAGTGCTGACGACGATGGTGGTGGTCGACCTCGTATTCGTAGCCGCCGCAACGAACGACTCGCCGTTGTCCTTCGATACGCTAAGGAAGTTGTAAAAGGACGAGTGAAAAGCGTTGTACGCCTGCACATTGTGCTGCACCTGAGCGCGACGGGTAGACGACAAAAAACGAAGCACTTCGGAAAGATGCCCGGGCGGTGAGACAGCGGACATCGTCACCTACAAACAGTCACGAGTACGCACACGAGCACACACGAGCGTGTATCAAAAAAAAAGGGCAGGAGAGCAGCCACGTTTGTTTTCCCAGATAGAAAGAATACACGAAAAGGAGGGCTCCAGAAGAGAAAAGAAAAAAAAACGAGAAAAGATAGCAAAAAAAAACCCAGTGGATGTGACGGAAAAGAGAAGGCTGCTTTGAGTGTTTGTCGTTCCGTCTGATAAGCCCTACCGTGAGGGAGGCCAAATGAGCAACAAAAAGGCGGGAAAAAAAAACCATAAGAGAGGCACGTGAGTGAGAAGAGACGCAGAGCAAGACGAAAAGAGAAGTACAATGTCGAAGATTTGCTTTTGTTTTTTCAACACTTTTGTTCTACGAAGGCAAACGTCACGCTTCTAGTCAGCCGCGGGTTCTGCACCTCCGTGAAGTAGTTGGTTCGCCCTGCTACGGAGAGGTCGCCATAGCGGCCTAGTAACAGCCGCGGCGGTTCAACGCACGTAATTTAGACAAATGGGGAATAATTCTTTAGCACGACTATTTTTGGTTTATTTCGTTTTCTTTTTTTCGCGGAGAGCATAATAATAATAATAATAATAATAGGAACAACTCCGATACACCAGTGCAGGAGGCCTAACGCACACTCCCTCGCGACAACAATAACAAGGAAGCGTTCGCCAACAGAAATATAAAAGAAAAAGTCAAAACAAGAAAGGTAGATCGGCAAAAGAATACTACGTAAAAAGAAGAAAGAGAGCGTTAGAAGGAAAGCAGTATTCCTTATCTATTTCTGTAGCCCTCTCGGTGCTTTCTTCTCCTCCTTACTGGATGACGAGGCACACCGTCGCCGTCTCCACGTCCACCTCGTCCACCGCGTCATCGCCGTCGTCGATCGACACCGTGACGGAGAGGTCGCAGAACTGCACACGGTTCTGCCAGAACGGAGCTGTCAGCTTGCCGTTCGCCTCTGCGTTCTTCTGGCGCTCGATTACCTCCATCAAGGATGCATTGGTGCTCGGATGGCTGGGCCGGCCATTCCACAGAAGGCCTGTGCCCACGCCAAGCCCGTCCACCTCGTACCGGTAGTCAACACCCTCAGGAAGGGTCTTGTTCAGCTCCACCTCCAGCGCCTTGGCAAAGTCGGCCACCGTTGTGGCCGGTGTAATGGGGATGCGGATCATGTCGTACTTCGTGTACCCTTCCGGGACGCGAATAATCTTTTTGCGGTAGGTGTAGTCCTGCTCCGGCAGGTAGGTCGAGACCACCTTCGTGCGGTTTCGCACCGGTGCATCGCGCTCGAAGAGCACGTAGTTGTTTGTGCCGACGTCCAACATGCCGTTGCGCAGCGCGGACATGTCCTTGTTCTGCAGTACCTTGAACAGCTCAATCAGTGCGAGACCGGTCACCGCCGAGGTGGTCGTCGCGATGGCCGGGATGATCTTGCCTGCCACCAGTTTCACCTTCATGCGGTCCTGAGGAGGGATGTCGTAATTCTCCGCCCGCAAGTTGCTCGCCGCCGCAACAAAGTCGATCTGAAAGTTGTCATCGTCGTCCTTCTCGAACTCCAGCGGACCCGCTGCGCTGCCCTTGCACTTTGTCGCCAGCGCCGCCACCTCTCTCAACAACTCCTGCAGCTCCGCCTCCGCCTCTTCCACCGAGACCTCCTTGCTCTCCTGCGCATCAGTTTTTAAGTCGTCCTCGAGGTCATCGACGGAGCCGGCCACGTAGGGCGGCACGGCGAACGCGCGCACCTCTGCCTGCACCCACGCATCGGTGCGGTACTGCTCCATCCAGCGGTGGTGGTCGTCGTTGAAGCGGGCCTCCGGTTTGGGCGGGTGCACGCCGAACATGCACGCGTACAGGTTGGTCGCCGCGACGAGGAAGTTCCTCGCGTCCGGGTTCGCCGTGACCGTCGCCGGCGCCACGTCCAGCGCGGAGGGGTACTTCCGGTGGCCGGACCAGAACGGTTCGCCGTTCTTTTTTTTGGCGTCACGGGGAAAGGCGACCTGCAGGTCCAGAATACGGTCGCGGAAGAGGCGGAAGAGGTGATCCCATCCGAGCGCCGCGCACTTCGCCATGGTCGGCCCCTCCACCAGGATGGACAAGGTGCGCTTCACGGACTTCAAAGAGCCAAGGTTTTTCGCGATGAGACTGCGACGCTCGCCCGCGCTGGAGCCGCCCGACACCTCGTGCGTGATGCGCTGCGTAAAGGCGGTCGGGTCCTCGATGACCTGCTGGGCGGTTTGCATGGGCGACACAAACATGTCGTCGAACAGCGCACGCCCCCACTCAATACAGTGATCATAAATGTATGGGAAATTGCGTAGGGTGCACATGGGGATGCCGCCCGTCTGATCCGCCGCACCGCCGTCCGCGTACGACGACGTCCTCCCCGGGACGATGATATCAACGTTACCACCTGTGCCCATCGTGCCGGCCTCCACCAGCACCTTGTGGAAGCGCACGCACTGCTGGTCGACGTAGAGGCGGGTCTCCATGTTGTCGAGGGCGTTGACGACAACGTCAAGCGACTGCCAGAAAGTGTCAGGGAAGACGTGCTCCGTCGTCGCACCGACGTAATCCTGGCGGGGGTCCACCTTGCAGTCCGGGTTCATCTGTCGCATGCGGGCCGCCGCGGCCGCCGACTTCGACTGGCCCACGTTCTCCTCGCGGAAGAGGAACTGCCGGCTCAAGTTGGACACCTCGATGCGGTCGTTGTCGGTCACAACGAGAGACCCGTTCGGCCCGCACGTGATGCCGCAGAGGGCGAAGTTCTTGATATTTTCACAGCCCAGCGCACCGCAACCCACCATGAAGACCCTCAGGTTCGCCAGCTGCTGTTGGAACTCCTTCCCAAAGAGGGCGATGATGTGATCGTAGCGCGACTTAATGGGATGATAGTTGTTGCTGGCACTGTAATCGGCGTCGCTCGGCAGCACGGCCGCACAGGACAGGTGGAACCACTGGTGCATCGGTGAGTACTTGCCCGTGATCTTCACAACTTCCTGCGCCACGACAGCGCCAAAGAAGGAGGAGAGGGGCTGCAGCTCCGCCCGGGACAGCAGCGCTGCTTGAAGAACCGCCTTCTCCTCAAACGTCTCCAACACGAGCGGGACTGGCGGAGGCGGCGGGGGCAGTTTGTATGGAAACTCCACCTTTTCTGGCTTCCCGGCTGCCTGCGGAGCCGTGGGCACAGGCAGCGCCTTGTTCTCCTCCTGAATCAGCTTTGCCAGCCTCACCACCTCCTCGGCCTCGTGCTGGCTGTGCAGCTGGGGCAGGTGCCCTTGATGCTGATCGGCGTAGCGCAGCAGAGCGTAGAGGATGAGGTGCGTCTCTGACTCCTCGGAGTTGTCCATCATCGGACTCACCGGCACGAACGCGCCGGGCGCCACCAGCGCCTCCTTCAACGGGCGGAACGACAAGTGGGTCACTTCCTTTAGCTCGTGCAGGAAACCGCCCGTCTCGTACGCACGGTAGCCTCGCGTCTCGAAGGCCGGGTACACACGCACGGTGTCCCGCGGATCCGTCGGGCATACCACCCCGTCAAAAACCTGCCCGTTAACCGACTCGCCCGTCTCTCGTACCAGTCCTCGTACCTCGCTCAGCTTGATCTGCGTGTAGTCGCGCAGAGCGCCGGGCGTCTGCCCCTCCGGTGTCTCGTAGCGGATGCGCGTGTACTTCTCGCCGGTCTTGTCCGTCAGCGTTACCACCTCTGTAATCGACTTCTGCAGCATCGGCCGGCCGTCTGCGTCCCTCACCGTGAAGGAAGGACCGTGGTCGGCGAAGACGGAGCCGCAAGCGGCGAGCTGCATCGCCAGGACAAAGGAAACAGTGGGTGTGTGCCGGCGGCAGAAGTCGTTCCACCTGTTCAGCGTCGTCAGACTCAAATCAGGGGCGGCCGCGGTGAAGATGAGGGCGATGCTGTCCTTCACGTAGTCTTCCGTCAAGGCGTCAATGGCGCGGACGCGGGTGTTCGGGTTCAACTCCTGGATGTAGCTGGCGGACAGCGCGGCGACCGAGTTCCCCGATGACAACGCCTGCTCCGTGACAGCGAAGTTGACACCCACATCCTGCACGGTTGGCGTACGCGGGTCGTAGAGGCGAATGGTGTGAATACCAGCTAAAGCGAGGTTCTTTGCGACCTCAATACCGACACCACCGCAGCCCACAATGACCACCTTGAAGGCGATCAGCTTAGCCATCGTCTCCAGGCCATAGGTGCCAATGGTGCGGCTCTGCTTGTCCAGATATTTCTGGTCGATGGCAACTTCGTTTTCCCTCTCCATTTTTTTTTTTGTATTGCTGGGGTTCTTTTCGTTGTTGATCCAAAAGGGGAATAAAATGAGACACAAATAGGATATCAAAAGCTATTCCGGCAAGTACACCGTGCTCCTGATCGCTTGTTAGCAACGTACGCAGTGAAATGATCGGCAACGATTTCTCGTTGTTTATCTTACCTTGGCCGCTAATGGTATGCGGGCACAAATAGAAAGTTGAGAAGGAAAAGTGTCCTTTTTTAGTAATGAAAAGCTCACGCGAAGAGGATGTATAACAGAGATACGACTGTCAACACGAACGTTATTGGGTAGTCTCTCGCGCGATCACCTCTTCTATCAAAGTGCGTAGAACGTGGCACAAAGGGCTGTCGGTGGGGAAGGTCCCCCAGAAAAAAAAAAAACGATAGAAAACTTTGTATCGAGGAACTCGCAGCACAGCCACTGGAGAGGGGCGATTGCGTTTTGCAAAAAGAAAAAGAGAAAACACAATTATGCTGGTCGCGAACGCTACACACCTTTTCTGTCACAGTGTCCTTTATTTTTTTTAAAGGAACTGCTGTGGTTTGTGTATTTGCTGCGGCACAATGTGTAGTACTGAAGGCGGCGGCGAGGTGGGCGATGCTCTGAAACAAAACAACTGTGTTGCGAAAAAAAAACGAAAAACCTGCAAAATGTCAAGAGGCATGGAAGAGCAAAAAAAAAGAAGAAAACAGTAAAGAAACCGACGCATAAACAGCAACGGTCACAGAAGAGAGAGAGAGAGAGGAAAGAAGGGGGAGAAAATAAAGCAGTGATACAAAGTTGTTGTTTACGAGCGGCGGCATCGCAAGTTGAATAAACGGAGGAGGGTTTTTCGCTGAACCCATCTCCCGTACCGAGCTTACAGCCTTCCATCTCCCCTTTCCCCCCACCCCTTCGTATTCCGCACCGTGTATTGACAGATTAATGCACACAAGAAACCGAAAGAACTCGTCCCGTCGCTGATGCGTCCCTTACTTACAGTCGCATCAAAGCATGGAAATGGCGTGCGTTAGACCCGCACGTCGAACGACACGGCCTCCTCCCAGCTTTTTGACATCGGAGGTGTTTTTCGTTTTTTTCAGCTTCTGTCGCACCAAGAGGGAAAAAAAGGTTCCAATGCTCTTTCATCATGACAACCACGGAAATATCCCCACAATATGTATGTGCGCCATACTAACGGTTCAACAGCGCTTGTAGAGTCGCTTCAGTGCGCGGCTCGTGCGTTGGAAGAAGAATCGCGCACACGCCTCTACACTTCTCGCCAATAATTTCATGCACACACGCGTACACACAGTAAAAGCAAACTGCCTTCTCTCTGTCCCATGCACACGCATCAAAGTCTGTGTGTGTGCGTGTGTAAACCATCACGTCGCTCACCGCGGCGACGTGGGAGAGCCAGGCGGCAGCTGGATCTTGAAATGACGCTCACACGAGGCGGTCGCCTTCGGCGTGGTGGCGGTGGGGTAGAAGAACATGTGCTGCACCATCGTTCGCCCGCCGTTCTGAAACTGGTACCAGACGCGCTCGATCCCGCCGCGAACATCCGTCTCCACGTAGAGCTCACGCCCGTTTGACAAAACACACGAGCGCGACTTCACCGGACCGCGCGACACGCTCTCCCACGCCCACTCCGACCCGTTCAGCGCGAGCACAAATTTGCGACGCTCCAGCATCGACGACTCGTCAATCACTAACTTGTCCACCGCACTGTTGACAGAGATCTTCCACGTCGGCACCACGTTGTTGTTCACGCTGCGCCATAGTACACCAACGCCTTGCTCCATGAGAAGTGCGTTCATGCTACCTTTTGTCTCGCTGGGGTCCATCACCCAAGTGCCGTCCATCAGCGCTTTAATTTGCGCAATTTCAAGTGCAGAGGGCGGCTGCAGCAGCAGGGTGCGCGCAGGCAGTGTGAAAGCGGCGCTGTCAGCGACGTCATTTGCGATGTAGTTCACCGGCACGGCGATGTCGAGAGCCTCAACCCCAGCTGGAATCCACGAGGCGCATTTCGCGTGCATCAAGTCACACAGCTCTTGCATCATAAAGGCCCGCAGCGCCAGCGTGCGGTATCGAATTGACGACACGCCAAAGAAGGTCATCCACTTGCTGTAGCACCACTGCAGTGCCTTTTTCACCTGCGCCACCTCGTTTGCGTGGTGAAAGATGTACCCGTACGTTCCAATGAAAGCCGCCATCACGATCTGTTGTGGCGAGGTGAGTTCAAACGACTGCGTCTTGAGCGCAACGCTCAGCTTCGCGACGGCGGCGATGGCGGGGCCATCGGCGATCGACTCCCACGAAGGCATCTTCGCCACGTCCTCCGGCGTCACGGCAAATGTCGCGATGCCGTGCAGCATGCTAAAGAGCGTTTTCTCTGTCTGCAGCTTGCCTCGACCACGACTGGTCAGGTAGCCGTCACCGCTGACGGTCGTCTCTCTGCCGTCCGCCTGCGTCATCTTCCCCTTCACCAACACTGTGCCATCCCAAATGCTGGGCTGCGCCAGCGCCGTGATCAGCTCCTGATTTGGCAGCGTGGCCGTCAGCTGAAGCTCCACACGCGCGCCATTCGGCATCGGGCAGCGCACCTTCCACCGTGTTGGGTACACAATACCTGTATCCTTGCTCTGGTGGCAGCCATCCACCTCATCTGTAAGGCTCGCGTCGGAGTTGTATTGGTAGGCCTGCCTGCTCATGCCAGACTGTACGGTGGCGCAGCAGCTCAGTACCTCATTCGTGCCGCCGGTCACAACGCGCGTTACGGTGAAACAGTTGGACTGCTCGTCGTACAGTCGAATGAGGCATCGATCGTGAATCACCGGCGCCTGCTCCGCCGCGATACGACGGCGACACAGAGAGCGCACAAAGCGAGCTTCCTCCACGGTGCGGGGCACCACCCCACCAAAGCTGTGCTCCATCCACACGGTGCCGCGCCGAATGTCGGGGTCGCGCGCCACCTCCAAGTTGTCCGAGGCACGCGTGATGCGCAAGGAGCCGGTGACGGACTTGACGTGGTGAAGGCAGTAGCAGAACTCGTCCTCCTCCCAGTTGCCGTTCGACACGACGCCGCGCACGCCGTCGAGCGCGGGAGGCACGCCGCGTGGCATAAAACTAAGATCCACCTCCGCCTTCACCTCCTCGTCGAGGTTCGGGTCCTCGCGTTCGTTGCTGACGCCTTCAAGGTGGAGGGTATACGTGGGCCGGCGCGACTCGCCGAGGTAGTTGAGCGGCGGGGTGAAAGATTTGAAGGTATTTTTGCCGAATTGTAGGTCCAACTCCGTCAGCCTCATCGAGGCGGCCTCACTCAGCATCTGATCGGGCAGCACGAGTCGGTTGTTGTTCAGCTGCTCCACAACGGCCTGCAGCATCGCCGGCTGATCACGGAGCGTCTTCTTTGCAATCAGCATCGAAAGAAGCTCAGGTGAGCGCTCATCGCAGGCGTTGAAACGATAAAACTTCCTTTTTTCATGATCGGTGATCGACCAGCTCACCACGCACGCATGCGTCAGGTAGGCGTCCTCGTTTGGCGGATCAACGTCGCTCACCACGGCGACGGAGCGGAAGGTGACGGAGAGGCCAAAACGGTTGTGCACACCAAAACGACTGCGCAGAATCCAGCATTCGTTGAGGCAGTGCTCATGCGCCCGGTCGTGTTCGAACAACGTGGAGCGCAGGTCCTTCTCTGACATGGTGACCTCGTGAGTCTCGGGCGAAATGCTGATCTGCGGCCATGAATTGTGCAGGCGCGCTTTTACCGACTTTTCCTCGGCTGATTCGTCCTCGAGGCGCTGACGCTGCGCTGGAGGCTCATTAACCGGATCCACCGCAGCGAAATGCATTTTCCTTTTGTTGTTGTAGTTCGATGAAATAGAGCGTGCAGTATTAATATATTCGTTTTGAGCAACCGTCTTCGTTGGTTTTGTTTTGCTTTCCTTTTGTCACAGTTGTTGAATGGAGAAACACACAGAACGAACGGGGTATAGTATCGAAGGTGGCAAATATGAAGCGCACAAACACGTGTGTGTGTGTGTTTTCAATAGCACAAGAAGTAAAGGGGGTACTTGGTTTCCGCCGGAGAGTTCAGCGAGAAAAAGGGAACGGCACATGCGAGTTTTTGCAGAGAATGCAGAAACATACGAGCGGCCACAAAGGCGGAATTGAAGCGAAAGACTTGAAAGTCTTCGTATGTATACTTTGGTCCGAACAGGCCGCACAGCAGTATGCTGAATAAGTGCTCCGAATAACACTCAATCAGTGAAGAGAGAGAGAGAGCAAACCGCAAGCACCGCGAAAGACACCAACGAATTTGCCCGAGAGGCTTTCCTCGCTCGAAAAACACTCTACTACATCGAAGAGTGGAGTTCGTAGGAGAGAACGGAAGGGAGACGAGGACGCCATTCTTCACTGCCATTGAACGTTCGTATCGGATTTCCATTTCTGGTTAGGGGTAAGAACGGTTACTTTTGAGCGGTGTATCACAAAAGATTCACGAAACAGGGCAAGAAACGGAAAGAAAGCAACATGATTTTGCAATCAGTTCTTTTCCATCTTCGTGCAACGATCACTTGCAGTCCGCGCTGCCTCGGTTTTTGTGGTCCTGCGTGAAGTTCCACCGAAAAAAAAAACCAAATTTGAGCGAAGAGTGTTGAGGAAAGATCACGAAAGTAGTAGTAAAAATAATCAAAATAGAAACATAAAAACATAAAAACTCAGAAAAAAGGAAACAAGAAGGACAAAAAAAATGCGAACGTCTTGATTCAGTGGCACTAAGCCAGAAGCTGTAAAAGAAAAGCAAAAAGACAATAATGGTGGTTCATCAGAGGCCACGGAAACACATCGGATCAGGTCACACAATACTACCCATTTTTCTCTCCCACAATGTCGATAGAGGAGATAGAAACCCAAAGTGTCGAACGTGATTAAACAAAACTCCACGAGATTTCCGTTGCATATCAACGACAAAGGAAGGCACAAATGGAGGTTATGACACGTCTTCACTCTTGCTGCTGAGAAAACCCAAGAGCCCGTAATTTTCTTTCTTTCCTCCACCTTATCATGCGTGTGTGTGTGTGGGTGTGTCTCGTTTATACGGCGCTGGAAGTCCTTAAGATTGACTCGCTGATTTCAGCAAGTAAATAGCGAGACAATGACGCGGTCACCTCGCCCGCCATAATTTCGATCCTTTCAAATTACCCTCTACGGCCTTCAGTACTGCAACGTCTCTTTCAGGCAGAGAACACGACAACCACAGCAGAACAAATCTAAACCGTAGCGGACAAGAATGACGCAGGGGGAGGGGGGGGGACAGTTTGGCATATTGGGAGACGGGATTGTGTTAGCTGCGTTTAGCATCGCACGTTAAGGAAACAAGAGAGCGATAACAAAGATCAGAAAAATGAAAAAGAACGTTTTCAGTGTGAGAAAAAAAGAAAGTTAAAATCAGATTTTTGACCAACGACGGTGGGCTGCGCGAGCAAGACGGAACTGCAAGACACGACACGAGGACGAGTCGCACTTCACGTCTTTGCTCACTCACTCACGCACACGCACCAACAGCACTCACAGAAGAGAAAAAAGAAAAAAGAAGCATCTAAGAAGTGCAGCAAAGCGCGAGGCGGTGCAGGGCGCCGCAACTCGCTTTGGAGTTCTTCTCGGTGGTTTTCAGTATTTTATTCAAGCGCACACAAACGCAGTGTTCGGCTCCATGAAAAAAAGAAACGAAAAGAAAGAGAGGATATTTAAAAAATGTTTTGTGCTCCTTCGGCGTTGCACTCTTCTTTTCGCAGAGGTTTTGCGTTGCGACGCCGCGATGGCGCCATCCCCTGTGCGCCTCCGAGTCAGTCTGTCGTGTCGCCGGTGGCGTGCTGTTGCGTTGGAAAGAATAAGAAAACACCCACCAACGCATGCGTGAACTCCAGCGAAGAAAAAAGAAACGAAAGGCGACCAGCGACACGAGCCCACACCAATCCACCAGCTGGTCACATCGCACTGGGTCCGCTTGAAGCGACGCCACCGATGTCGAGGAAACAAGTAGGCGCTGACGACGGCGTCGCTCTTCGTCCTACTACTATTATTACTCGCGCGTGTATCGCGAGACCGGAAAAAAAAAGAGCGCATAGCGCGAAGAGAGAAAAGCGAAGAAAAAAGGTTGTGTTTTGGTTCGCGGCGCTCGCCCTTGTTTGCGACGATAGGAGCACTGTCTTCTATCAGCCACCGCACCCGTACGTCGTGAGCAGCCGCCGCGGAAGCCGCCGTGCTCCTTTGCTCCTTCCCTCGTGCGCTCTCGCTCTCTTGCTCTCTCACACCGTCGTGTGAGCCGAATGAGAAAACGCAAACGAGAGGCGTTGCGAGGAGGAAAAGGCAAAAAGCATCAGCAGCACAGTGCCGCGGCAACACGACGTCCGCTGCTCACCACGCAGAGCAGCGTTACAGCTTCGCCCACTTCGACCGCTTCACCGCCTCGTTCCACGCATCCACGCGCGCCTGGCGCACCGCCGGGTCGGTGTTCGTCGGGGTCACCGTGACGCCCTGCAACACTTTATTCGCGATGGCCGTAATCTCGTCCGTCGACTTCCACAATCCGCAGCCGAGACCGGCGCAGAGCGCGGCTCCGAGCGCGGTCGTCTCAATCATGCGCGGCACGTAGAGGTCCACGCCAAGGATATCGGCCTGCATCTCCAGCAGCAGACGGCTGTTCGTCAGACCGCCATCGACGCGCAGGCGCTTCAGCTCGACGCCGCTGTCCTGGTTCATCGCCAGCAGCACCGCGCCCGCCTGCATCGAGATGGCCTCCAGCGCCGCACGGATGATGTGCGACTTGTTCGTCTTGTACGTCATGCCGACAATGGTGCCACGCGCCGTCGGGTCCCAGTAGGGGCAGAGCAGGCCGCCAAAGGCGGGAACGAAGACGATGCCGTCCGTGCTCGCCTCCTTCCGGGCGATCGCCTCCATCTCGCGGGGGTGGCCGAAGAAGCCCAAGTTTCGGCGCATCCACTCCACCGTCGCGCCGCAGCTGGCGATCGAGCCCTCGAGGGCGAAGGTGGTGGGCTTGTTGCCCAGCTTGTAGCCGATGGTGGCCAGAAGCCCGTGCTTCGAGTACTGCACCTTCGGGCCCACGTTCATCAGCATGAAGCAGCCCGTGCCGTACGTGTTCTTCGCGTCACCCTTGTGGAAGCCCATGTGGCCGAACAGCGCGCTCTGCTGATCGCCAATGCAGCCGGTGATCGGCGTCGTGACGCCCAGTGCCTCGACGACGCCGAACTCCGGCGTGGCGATGTCGCAGTAGCGCTCGCTGTTGCTGCGGATCTCCGGCAGCGCCTCGATTGGGATGTCCAGCTTCTTGCACAGCTCCGCCGACCACTTCTGCGTGCTCAGCTCCATCAGGAAGGTCCGGCTCGCGTTCGACACATCCGTCACGAACGTCTTGCCGCCGCTCAGCTTGTACATCAGCCAGCACTCGATCGTGCCGAACATGAGGGTGCCGTTCTTGCGCGCCTCCGCGACAGCCGGCACGTTCTCCAGCATCCAGCGGTACTTGAAGGCAGAGAAGTACGTGCTCACCGGCAGGCCGGTGATCTCAGCGGCGAAGTTGTTGTTGCCGCCGCCCACCTCCTTGGCGATGCGGTTGCACACCTCGTGCGTGCGCGCGTCACTCCACACAGGGGCGTGGCACAGCGCCTTGCCGGTCTTGCGGTCCCAGGCAACGCTCGTCTCACGCTGGTTCGTGATGCCGATGCCGCTGATCTTGTCGAACTTCGGGTCCTTCGCGCGCAGCTTCTTCACCGCGTTCGTCACGCACAGGCAGCAGTTGCGGAAGATCTCATCCGCGTCGTGCTCCAGCCAGCCGGGCTGCGGCGTGAACTGCTCGTGGGGCAGCTGGTGGTCCGCAGCAACCTTAAAGTGGTCGTCGAAGATGATGCACCGGCTCGAGGTCGTGCCCTGGTCAATGGCGGCAACGTACGGCATCGTGGAAACAGAACAGCGTTATTGGTATTTTTATGGGGAGAAAAGTGAAAGGAGAATCGTTTTTGTTTTGGCTGATGTGGGGAGACCGGTTTGAGAAGAAAGACGGAGGGGATGGCGGTTACTTATCTTCCCCGCGTGTAGGTTTACGCGGTGGACCCGGTGGCGGCGTTCACGTGGCGTCGCCGCAGCGTTACGCGAGGGGGGAGGAGAGCGGGGAGGAAGAAAAGATGGACGTGGACAACGGGAGAGCTTCTTCGTCATTTCAACGGTCACTCGGACAAGAATGACGCAGGGGGAGGGGGGGGGGACAGTTTGGCATATTGGGAGACGGGATTGTGTTAGCTGCGTTTAGCATCGCACGTTAAGGAAACAAGAGAGCGATAACAAAGATCAGAAAAATGAAAAAGAACGTTTTCAGTGTGAGAAAAAAAGAAAGTTAAAATCAGATTTTTGACCAACGACGGTGGGCTGCGCGAGCAAGACGGAACTGCAAGACACGACACGAGGACGAGTCGCACTTCACGTCTTTGCTCACTCACTCACGCACACGCACCAACAGCACTCACAGAAGAGAAAAAAGAAAAAAGAAGCATCTAAGAAGTGCAGCAAAGCGCGAGGCGGTGCAGGGCGCCGCAACTCGCTTTGGAGTTCTTCTCGGTGGTTTTCAGTATTTTATTCAAGCGCACACAAACGCAGTGTTCGGCTCCATGAAAAAAAGAAACGAAAAGAAAGAGAGGATATTTAAAAAATGTTTTGTGCTCCTTCGGCGTTGCACTCTTCTTTTCGCAGAGGTTTTGCGTTGCGACGCCGCGATGGCGCCATCCCCTGTGCGCCTCCGAGTCAGTCTGTCGTGTCGCCGGTGGCGTGCTGTTGCGTTGGAAAGAATAAGAAAACACCCACCAACGCATGCGTGAACTCCAGCGAAGAAAAAAGAAACGAAAGGCGACCAGCGACACGAGCCCACACCAATCCACCAGCTGGTCACATCGCACTGGGTCCGCTTGAAGCGACGCCACCGATGTCGAGGAAACAAGTAGGCGCTGACGACGGCGTCGCTCTTCGTCCTACTACTATTATTACTCGCGCGTGTATCGCGAGACCGGAAAAAAAAAGAGCGCATAGCGCGAAGAGAGAAAAGCGAAGAAAAAAGGTTGTGTTTTGGTTCGCGGCGCTCGCCCTTGTTTGCGACGATAGGAGCACTGTCTTCTATCAGCCACCGCACCCGTACGTCGTGAGCAGCCGCCGCGGAAGCCGCCGTGCTCCTTTGCTCCTTCCCTCGTGCGCTCTCGCTCTCTTGCTCTCTCACACCGTCGTGTGAGCCGAATGAGAAAACGCAAACGAGAGGCGTTGCGAGGAGGAAAAGGCAAAAAGCATCAGCAGCACAGTGCCGCGGCAACACGACGTCCGCTGCTCACCACGCAGAGCAGCGTTACAGCTTCGCCCACTTCGACCGCTTCACCGCCTCGTTCCACGCATCCACGCGCGCCTGGCGCACCGCCGGGTCGGTGTTCGTCGGGGTCACCGTGACGCCCTGCAACACTTTATTCGCGATGGCCGTAATCTCGTCCGTCGACTTCCACAATCCGCAGCCGAGACCGGCGCAGAGCGCGGCTCCGAGCGCGGTCGTCTCAATCATGCGCGGCACGTAGAGGTCCACGCCAAGGATATCGGCCTGCATCTCCAGCAGCAGACGGCTGTTCGTCAGACCGCCATCGACGCGCAGGCGCTTCAGCTCGACGCCGCTGTCCTGGTTCATCGCCAGCAGCACCGCGCCCGCCTGCATCGAGATGGCCTCCAGCGCCGCACGGATGATGTGCGACTTGTTCGTCTTGTACGTCATGCCGACAATGGTGCCACGCGCCGTCGGGTCCCAGTAGGGGCAGAGCAGGCCGCCAAAGGCGGGAACGAAGACGATGCCGTCCGTGCTCGCCTCCTTCCGGGCGATCGCCTCCATCTCGCGGGGGTGGCCGAAGAAGCCCAAGTTTCGGCGCATCCACTCCACCGTCGCGCCGCAGCTGGCGATCGAGCCCTCGAGGGCGAAGGTGGTGGGCTTGTTGCCCAGCTTGTAGCCGATGGTGGCCAGAAGCCCGTGCTTCGAGTACTGCACCTTCGGGCCCACGTTCATCAGCATGAAGCAGCCCGTGCCGTACGTGTTCTTCGCGTCACCCTTGTGGAAGCCCATGTGGCCGAACAGCGCGCTCTGCTGATCGCCAATGCAGCCGGTGATCGGCGTCGTGACGCCCAGTGCCTCGACGACGCCGAACTCCGGCGTGGCGATGTCGCAGTAGCGCTCGCTGTTGCTGCGGATCTCCGGCAGCGCCTCGATTGGGATGTCCAGCTTCTTGCACAGCTCCGCCGACCACTTCTGCGTGCTCAGCTCCATCAGGAAGGTCCGGCTCGCGTTCGACACATCCGTCACGAACGTCTTGCCGCCGCTCAGCTTGTACATCAGCCAGCACTCGATCGTGCCGAACATGAGGGTGCCGTTCTTGCGCGCCTCCGCGACAGCCGGCACGTTCTCCAGCATCCAGCGGTACTTGAAGGCAGAGAAGTACGTGCTCACCGGCAGGCCGGTGATCTCAGCGGCGAAGTTGTTGTTGCCGCCGCCCACCTCCTTGGCGATGCGGTTGCACACCTCGTGCGTGCGCGCGTCACTCCACACAGGGGCGTGGCACAGCGCCTTGCCGGTCTTGCGGTCCCAGGCAACGCTCGTCTCACGCTGGTTCGTGATGCCGATGCCGCTGATCTTGTCGAACTTCGGGTCCTTCGCGCGCAGCTTCTTCACCGCGTTCGTCACGCACAGGCAGCAGTTGCGGAAGATCTCATCCGCGTCGTGCTCCAGCCAGCCGGGCTGCGGCGTGAACTGCTCGTGGGGCAGCTGGTGGTCCGCAGCAACCTTAAAGTGGTCGTCGAAGATGATGCACCGGCTCGAGGTCGTGCCCTGGTCAATGGCGGCAACGTACGGCATCGTGGAAACAGAACAGCGTTATTGGTATTTTTATGGGGAGAAAAGTGAAAGGAGAATCGTTTTTGTTTTGGCTGATGTGGGGAGACCGGTTTGAGAAGAAAGACGGAGGGGATGGCGGTTACTTATCTTCCCCGCGTGTAGGTTTACGCGGTGGACCCGGTGGCGGCGTTCACGTGGCGTCGCCGCAGCGTTACGCGAGGGGGGAGGAGAGCGGGGAGGAAGAAAAGATGGACGTGGACAACGGGAGAGCTTCTTCGTCATTTCAACGGTCACTCGGACAAGAATGACGCAGGGGGAGGGGGGGGGGACAGTTTGGCATATTGGGAGACGGGATTGTGTTAGCTGCGTTTAGCATCGCACGTTAAGGAAACAAGAGAGCGATAACAAAGATCAGAAAAATGAAAAAGAACGTTTTCAGTGTGAGAAAAAAAGAAAGTTAAAATCAGATTTTTGACCAACGACGGTGGGCTGCGCGAGCAAGACGGAACTGCAAGACACGACACGAGGACGAGTCGCACTTCACGTCTTTGCTCACTCACTCACGCACACGCACCAACAGCACTCACAGAAGAGAAAAAAGAAAAAAGAAGCATCTAAGAAGTGCAGCAAAGCGCGAGGCGGTGCAGGGCGCCGCAACTCGCTTTGGAGTTCTTCTCGGTGGTTTTCAGTATTTTATTCAAGCGCACACAAACGCAGTGTTCGGCTCCATGAAAAAAAGAAACGAAAAGAAAGAGAGGATATTTAAAAAATGTTTTGTGCTCCTTCGGCGTTGCACTCTTCTTTTCGCAGAGGTTTTGCGTTGCGACGCCGCGATGGCGCCATCCCCTGTGCGCCTCCGAGTCAGTCTGTCGTGTCGCCGGTGGCGTGCTGTTGCGTTGGAAAGAATAAGAAAACACCCACCAACGCATGCGTGAACTCCAGCGAAGAAAAAAGAAACGAAAGGCGACCAGCGACACGAGCCCACACCAATCCACCAGCTGGTCACATCGCACTGGGTCCGCTTGAAGCGACGCCACCGATGTCGAGGAAACAAGTAGGCGCTGACGACGGCGTCGCTCTTCGTCCTACTACTATTATTACTCGCGCGTGTATCGCGAGACCGGAAAAAAAAAGAGCGCATAGCGCGAAGAGAGAAAAGCGAAGAAAAAAGGTTGTGTTTTGGTTCGCGGCGCTCGCCCTTGTTTGCGACGATAGGAGCACTGTCTTCTATCAGCCACCGCACCCGTACGTCGTGAGCAGCCGCCGCGGAAGCCGCCGTGCTCCTTTGCTCCTTCCCTCGTGCGCTCTCGCTCTCTTGCTCTCTCACACCGTCGTGTGAGCCGAATGAGAAAACGCAAACGAGAGGCGTTGCGAGGAGGAAAAGGCAAAAAGCATCAGCAGCACAGTGCCGCGGCAACACGACGTCCGCTGCTCACCACGCAGAGCAGCGTTACAGCTTCGCCCACTTCGACCGCTTCACCGCCTCGTTCCACGCATCCACGCGCGCCTGGCGCACCGCCGGGTCGGTGTTCGTCGGGGTCACCGTGACGCCCTGCAACACTTTATTCGCGATGGCCGTAATCTCGTCCGTCGACTTCCACAATCCGCAGCCGAGACCGGCGCAGAGCGCGGCTCCGAGCGCGGTCGTCTCAATCATGCGCGGCACGTAGAGGTCCACGCCAAGGATATCGGCCTGCATCTCCAGCAGCAGACGGCTGTTCGTCAGACCGCCATCGACGCGCAGGCGCTTCAGCTCGACGCCGCTGTCCTGGTTCATCGCCAGCAGCACCGCGCCCGCCTGCATCGAGATGGCCTCCAGCGCCGCACGGATGATGTGCGACTTGTTCGTCTTGTACGTCATGCCGACAATGGTGCCACGCGCCGTCGGGTCCCAGTAGGGGCAGAGCAGGCCGCCAAAGGCGGGAACGAAGACGATGCCGTCCGTGCTCGCCTCCTTCCGGGCGATCGCCTCCATCTCGCGGGGGTGGCCGAAGAAGCCCAAGTTTCGGCGCATCCACTCCACCGTCGCGCCGCAGCTGGCGATCGAGCCCTCGAGGGCGAAGGTGGTGGGCTTGTTGCCCAGCTTGTAGCCGATGGTGGCCAGAAGCCCGTGCTTCGAGTACTGCACCTTCGGGCCCACGTTCATCAGCATGAAGCAGCCCGTGCCGTACGTGTTCTTCGCGTCACCCTTGTGGAAGCCCATGTGGCCGAACAGCGCGCTCTGCTGATCGCCAATGCAGCCGGTGATCGGCGTCGTGACGCCCAGTGCCTCGACGACGCCGAACTCCGGCGTGGCGATGTCGCAGTAGCGCTCGCTGTTGCTGCGGATCTCCGGCAGCGCCTCGATTGGGATGTCCAGCTTCTTGCACAGCTCCGCCGACCACTTCTGCGTGCTCAGCTCCATCAGGAAGGTCCGGCTCGCGTTCGACACATCCGTCACGAACGTCTTGCCGCCGCTCAGCTTGTACATCAGCCAGCACTCGATCGTGCCGAACATGAGGGTGCCGTTCTTGCGCGCCTCCGCGACAGCCGGCACGTTCTCCAGCATCCAGCGGTACTTGAAGGCAGAGAAGTACGTGCTCACCGGCAGGCCGGTGATCTCAGCGGCGAAGTTGTTGTTGCCGCCGCCCACCTCCTTGGCGATGCGGTTGCACACCTCGTGCGTGCGCGCGTCACTCCACACAGGGGCGTGGCACAGCGCCTTGCCGGTCTTGCGGTCCCAGGCAACGCTCGTCTCACGCTGGTTCGTGATGCCGATGCCGCTGATCTTGTCGAACTTCGGGTCCTTCGCGCGCAGCTTCTTCACCGCGTTCGTCACGCACAGGCAGCAGTTGCGGAAGATCTCATCCGCGTCGTGCTCCAGCCAGCCGGGCTGCGGCGTGAACTGCTCGTGGGGCAGCTGGTGGTCCGCAGCAACCTTAAAGTGGTCGTCGAAGATGATGCACCGGCTCGAGGTCGTGCCCTGGTCAATGGCGGCAACGTACGGCATCGTGGAAACAGAACAGCGTTATTGGTATTTTTATGGGGAGAAAAGTGAAAGGAGAATCGTTTTTGTTTTGGCTGATGTGGGGAGACCGGTTTGAGAAGAAAGACGGAGGGGATGGCGGTTACTTATCTTCCCCGCGTGTAGGTTTACGCGGTGGACCCGGTGGCGGCGTTCACGTGGCGTCGCCGCAGCGTTACGCGAGGGGGGAGGAGAGCGGGGAGGAAGAAAAGATGGACGTGGACAACGGGAGAGCTTCTTCGTCATTTCAACGGTCACTCGGACAAGAATGACGCAGGGGGAGGGGGGGGGGACAGTTTGGCATATTGGGAGACGGGATTGTGTTAGCTGCGTTTAGCATCGCACGTTAAGGAAACAAGAGAGCGATAACAAAGATCAGAAAAATGAAAAAGAACGTTTTCAGTGTGAGAAAAAAAGAAAGTTAAAATCAGATTTTTGACCAACGACGGTGGGCTGCGCGAGCAAGACGGAACTGCAAGACACGACACGAGGACGAGTCGCACTTCACGTCTTTGCTCACTCACTCACGCACACGCACCAACAGCACTCACAGAAGAGAAAAAAGAAAAAAGAAGCATCTAAGAAGTGCAGCAAAGCGCGAGGCGGTGCAGGGCGCCGCAACTCGCTTTGGAGTTCTTCTCGGTGGTTTTCAGTATTTTATTCAAGCGCACACAAACGCAGTGTTCGGCTCCATGAAAAAAAGAAACGAAAAGAAAGAGAGGATATTTAAAAAATGTTTTGTGCTCCTTCGGCGTTGCACTCTTCTTTTCGCAGAGGTTTTGCGTTGCGACGCCGCGATGGCGCCATCCCCTGTGCGCCTCCGAGTCAGTCTGTCGTGTCGCCGGTGGCGTGCTGTTGCGTTGGAAAGAATAAGAAAACACCCACCAACGCATGCGTGAACTCCAGCGAAGAAAAAAGAAACGAAAGGCGACCAGCGACACGAGCCCACACCAATCCACCAGCTGGTCACATCGCACTGGGTCCGCTTGAAGCGACGCCACCGATGTCGAGGAAACAAGTAGGCGCTGACGACGGCGTCGCTCTTCGTCCTACTACTATTATTACTCGCGCGTGTATCGCGAGACCGGAAAAAAAAAGAGCGCATAGCGCGAAGAGAGAAAAGCGAAGAAAAAAGGTTGTGTTTTGGTTCGCGGCGCTCGCCCTTGTTTGCGACGATAGGAGCACTGTCTTCTATCAGCCACCGCACCCGTACGTCGTGAGCAGCCGCCGCGGAAGCCGCCGTGCTCCTTTGCTCCTTCCCTCGTGCGCTCTCGCTCTCTTGCTCTCTCACACCGTCGTGTGAGCCGAATGAGAAAACGCAAACGAGAGGCGTTGCGAGGAGGAAAAGGCAAAAAGCATCAGCAGCACAGTGCCGCGGCAACACGACGTCCGCTGCTCACCACGCAGAGCAGCGTTACAGCTTCGCCCACTTCGACCGCTTCACCGCCTCGTTCCACGCATCCACGCGCGCCTGGCGCACCGCCGGGTCGGTGTTCGTCGGGGTCACCGTGACGCCCTGCAACACTTTATTCGCGATGGCCGTAATCTCGTCCGTCGACTTCCACAATCCGCAGCCGAGACCGGCGCAGAGCGCGGCTCCGAGCGCGGTCGTCTCAATCATGCGCGGCACGTAGAGGTCCACGCCAAGGATATCGGCCTGCATCTCCAGCAGCAGACGGCTGTTCGTCAGACCGCCATCGACGCGCAGGCGCTTCAGCTCGACGCCGCTGTCCTGGTTCATCGCCAGCAGCACCGCGCCCGCCTGCATCGAGATGGCCTCCAGCGCCGCACGGATGATGTGCGACTTGTTCGTCTTGTACGTCATGCCGACAATGGTGCCACGCGCCGTCGGGTCCCAGTAGGGGCAGAGCAGGCCGCCAAAGGCGGGAACGAAGACGATGCCGTCCGTGCTCGCCTCCTTCCGGGCGATCGCCTCCATCTCGCGGGGGTGGCCGAAGAAGCCCAAGTTTCGGCGCATCCACTCCACCGTCGCGCCGCAGCTGGCGATCGAGCCCTCGAGGGCGAAGGTGGTGGGCTTGTTGCCCAGCTTGTAGCCGATGGTGGCCAGAAGCCCGTGCTTCGAGTACTGCACCTTCGGGCCCACGTTCATCAGCATGAAGCAGCCCGTGCCGTACGTGTTCTTCGCGTCACCCTTGTGGAAGCCCATGTGGCCGAACAGCGCGCTCTGCTGATCGCCAATGCAGCCGGTGATCGGCGTCGTGACGCCCAGTGCCTCGACGACGCCGAACTCCGGCGTGGCGATGTCGCAGTAGCGCTCGCTGTTGCTGCGGATCTCCGGCAGCGCCTCGATTGGGATGTCCAGCTTCTTGCACAGCTCCGCCGACCACTTCTGCGTGCTCAGCTCCATCAGGAAGGTCCGGCTCGCGTTCGACACATCCGTCACGAACGTCTTGCCGCCGCTCAGCTTGTACATCAGCCAGCACTCGATCGTGCCGAACATGAGGGTGCCGTTCTTGCGCGCCTCCGCGACAGCCGGCACGTTCTCCAGCATCCAGCGGTACTTGAAGGCAGAGAAGTACGTGCTCACCGGCAGGCCGGTGATCTCAGCGGCGAAGTTGTTGTTGCCGCCGCCCACCTCCTTGGCGATGCGGTTGCACACCTCGTGCGTGCGCGCGTCACTCCACACAGGGGCGTGGCACAGCGCCTTGCCGGTCTTGCGGTCCCAGGCAACGCTCGTCTCACGCTGGTTCGTGATGCCGATGCCGCTGATCTTGTCGAACTTCGGGTCCTTCGCGCGCAGCTTCTTCACCGCGTTCGTCACGCACAGGCAGCAGTTGCGGAAGATCTCATCCGCGTCGTGCTCCAGCCAGCCGGGCTGCGGCGTGAACTGCTCGTGGGGCAGCTGGTGGTCCGCAGCAACCTTAAAGTGGTCGTCGAAGATGATGCACCGGCTCGAGGTCGTGCCCTGGTCAATGGCGGCAACGTACGGCATCGTGGAAACAGAACAGCGTTATTGGTATTTTTATGGGGAGAAAAGTGAAAGGAGAATCGTTTTTGTTTTGGCTGATGTGGGGAGACCGGTTTGAGAAGAAAGACGGAGGGGATGGCGGTTACTTATCTTCCCCGCGTGTAGGTTTACGCGGTGGACCCGGTGGCGGCGTTCACGTGGCGTCGCCGCAGCGTTACGCGAGGGGGGAGGAGAGCGGGGAGGAAGAAAAGATGGACGTGGACAACGGGAGAGCTTCTTCGTCATTTCAACGGTCACTCGGACAAGAATGACGCAGGGGGAGGGGGGGGGGACAGTTTGGCATATTGGGAGACGGGATTGTGTTAGCTGCGTTTAGCATCGCACGTTAAGGAAACAAGAGAGCGATAACAAAGATCAGAAAAATGAAAAAGAACGTTTTCAGTGTGAGAAAAAAAGAAAGTTAAAATCAGATTTTTGACCAACGACGGTGGGCTGCGCGAGCAAGACGGAACTGCAAGACACGACACGAGGACGAGTCGCACTTCACGTCTTTGCTCACTCACTCACGCACACGCACCAACAGCACTCACAGAAGAGAAAAAAGAAAAAAGAAGCATCTAAGAAGTGCAGCAAAGCGCGAGGCGGTGCAGGGCGCCGCAACTCGCTTTGGAGTTCTTCTCGGTGGTTTTCAGTATTTTATTCAAGCGCACACAAACGCAGTGTTCGGCTCCATGAAAAAAAGAAACGAAAAGAAAGAGAGGATATTTAAAAAATGTTTTGTGCTCCTTCGGCGTTGCACTCTTCTTTTCGCAGAGGTTTTGCGTTGCGACGCCGCGATGGCGCCATCCCCTGTGCGCCTCCGAGTCAGTCTGTCGTGTCGCCGGTGGCGTGCTGTTGCGTTGGAAAGAATAAGAAAACACCCACCAACGCATGCGTGAACTCCAGCGAAGAAAAAAGAAACGAAAGGCGACCAGCGACACGAGCCCACACCAATCCACCAGCTGGTCACATCGCACTGGGTCCGCTTGAAGCGACGCCACCGATGTCGAGGAAACAAGTAGGCGCTGACGACGGCGTCGCTCTTCGTCCTACTACTATTATTACTCGCGCGTGTATCGCGAGACCGGAAAAAAAAAGAGCGCATAGCGCGAAGAGAGAAAAGCGAAGAAAAAAGGTTGTGTTTTGGTTCGCGGCGCTCGCCCTTGTTTGCGACGATAGGAGCACTGTCTTCTATCAGCCACCGCACCCGTACGTCGTGAGCAGCCGCCGCGGAAGCCGCCGTGCTCCTTTGCTCCTTCCCTCGTGCGCTCTCGCTCTCTTGCTCTCTCACACCGTCGTGTGAGCCGAATGAGAAAACGCAAACGAGAGGCGTTGCGAGGAGGAAAAGGCAAAAAGCATCAGCAGCACAGTGCCGCGGCAACACGACGTCCGCTGCTCACCACGCAGAGCAGCGTTACAGCTTCGCCCACTTCGACCGCTTCACCGCCTCGTTCCACGCATCCACGCGCGCCTGGCGCACCGCCGGGTCGGTGTTCGTCGGGGTCACCGTGACGCCCTGCAACACTTTATTCGCGATGGCCGTAATCTCGTCCGTCGACTTCCACAATCCGCAGCCGAGACCGGCGCAGAGCGCGGCTCCGAGCGCGGTCGTCTCAATCATGCGCGGCACGTAGAGGTCCACGCCAAGGATATCGGCCTGCATCTCCAGCAGCAGACGGCTGTTCGTCAGACCGCCATCGACGCGCAGGCGCTTCAGCTCGACGCCGCTGTCCTGGTTCATCGCCAGCAGCACCGCGCCCGCCTGCATCGAGATGGCCTCCAGCGCCGCACGGATGATGTGCGACTTGTTCGTCTTGTACGTCATGCCGACAATGGTGCCACGCGCCGTCGGGTCCCAGTAGGGGCAGAGCAGGCCGCCAAAGGCGGGAACGAAGACGATGCCGTCCGTGCTCGCCTCCTTCCGGGCGATCGCCTCCATCTCGCGGGGGTGGCCGAAGAAGCCCAAGTTTCGGCGCATCCACTCCACCGTCGCGCCGCAGCTGGCGATCGAGCCCTCGAGGGCGAAGGTGGTGGGCTTGTTGCCCAGCTTGTAGCCGATGGTGGCCAGAAGCCCGTGCTTCGAGTACTGCACCTTCGGGCCCACGTTCATCAGCATGAAGCAGCCCGTGCCGTACGTGTTCTTCGCGTCACCCTTGTGGAAGCCCATGTGGCCGAACAGCGCGCTCTGCTGATCGCCAATGCAGCCGGTGATCGGCGTCGTGACGCCCAGTGCCTCGACGACGCCGAACTCCGGCGTGGCGATGTCGCAGTAGCGCTCGCTGTTGCTGCGGATCTCCGGCAGCGCCTCGATTGGGATGTCCAGCTTCTTGCACAGCTCCGCCGACCACTTCTGCGTGCTCAGCTCCATCAGGAAGGTCCGGCTCGCGTTCGACACATCCGTCACGAACGTCTTGCCGCCGCTCAGCTTGTACATCAGCCAGCACTCGATCGTGCCGAACATGAGGGTGCCGTTCTTGCGCGCCTCCGCGACAGCCGGCACGTTCTCCAGCATCCAGCGGTACTTGAAGGCAGAGAAGTACGTGCTCACCGGCAGGCCGGTGATCTCAGCGGCGAAGTTGTTGTTGCCGCCGCCCACCTCCTTGGCGATGCGGTTGCACACCTCGTGCGTGCGCGCGTCACTCCACACAGGGGCGTGGCACAGCGCCTTGCCGGTCTTGCGGTCCCAGGCAACGCTCGTCTCACGCTGGTTCGTGATGCCGATGCCGCTGATCTTGTCGAACTTCGGGTCCTTCGCGCGCAGCTTCTTCACCGCGTTCGTCACGCACAGGCAGCAGTTGCGGAAGATCTCATCCGCGTCGTGCTCCAGCCAGCCGGGCTGCGGCGTGAACTGCTCGTGGGGCAGCTGGTGGTCCGCAGCAACCTTAAAGTGGTCGTCGAAGATGATGCACCGGCTCGAGGTCGTGCCCTGGTCAATGGCGGCAACGTACGGCATCGTGGAAACAGAACAGCGTTATTGGTATTTTTATGGGGAGAAAAGTGAAAGGAGAATCGTTTTTGTTTTGGCTGATGTGGGGAGACCGGTTTGAGAAGAAAGACGGAGGGGATGGCGGTTACTTATCTTCCCCGCGTGTAGGTTTACGCGGTGGACCCGGTGGCGGCGTTCACGTGGCGTCGCCGCAGCGTTACGCGAGGGGGGAGGAGAGCGGGGAGGAAGAAAAGATGGACGTGGACAACGGGAGAGCTTCTTCGTCATTTCAACGGTCACTCGGACAAGAATGACGCAGGGGGAGGGGGGGGGGACAGTTTGGCATATTGGGAGACGGGATTGTGTTAGCTGCGTTTAGCATCGCACGTTAAGGAAACAAGAGAGCGATAACAAAGATCAGAAAAATGAAAAAGAACGTTTTCAGTGTGAGAAAAAAAGAAAGTTAAAATCAGATTTTTGACCAACGACGGTGGGCTGCGCGAGCAAGACGGAACTGCAAGACACGACACGAGGACGAGTCGCACTTCACGTCTTTGCTCACTCACTCACGCACACGCACCAACAGCACTCACAGAAGAGAAAAAAGAAAAAAGAAGCATCTAAGAAGTGCAGCAAAGCGCGAGGCGGTGCAGGGCGCCGCAACTCGCTTTGGAGTTCTTCTCGGTGGTTTTCAGTATTTTATTCAAGCGCACACAAACGCAGTGTTCGGCTCCATGAAAAAAAGAAACGAAAAGAAAGAGAGGATATTTAAAAAATGTTTTGTGCTCCTTCGGCGTTGCACTCTTCTTTTCGCAGAGGTTTTGCGTTGCGACGCCGCGATGGCGCCATCCCCTGTGCGCCTCCGAGTCAGTCTGTCGTGTCGCCGGTGGCGTGCTGTTGCGTTGGAAAGAATAAGAAAACACCCACCAACGCATGCGTGAACTCCAGCGAAGAAAAAAGAAACGAAAGGCGACCAGCGACACGAGCCCACACCAATCCACCAGCTGGTCACATCGCACTGGGTCCGCTTGAAGCGACGCCACCGATGTCGAGGAAACAAGTAGGCGCTGACGACGGCGTCGCTCTTCGTCCTACTACTATTATTACTCGCGCGTGTATCGCGAGACCGGAAAAAAAAAGAGCGCATAGCGCGAAGAGAGAAAAGCGAAGAAAAAAGGTTGTGTTTTGGTTCGCGGCGCTCGCCCTTGTTTGCGACGATAGGAGCACTGTCTTCTATCAGCCACCGCACCCGTACGTCGTGAGCAGCCGCCGCGGAAGCCGCCGTGCTCCTTTGCTCCTTCCCTCGTGCGCTCTCGCTCTCTTGCTCTCTCACACCGTCGTGTGAGCCGAATGAGAAAACGCAAACGAGAGGCGTTGCGAGGAGGAAAAGGCAAAAAGCATCAGCAGCACAGTGCCGCGGCAACACGACGTCCGCTGCTCACCACGCAGAGCAGCGTTACAGCTTCGCCCACTTCGACCGCTTCACCGCCTCGTTCCACGCATCCACGCGCGCCTGGCGCACCGCCGGGTCGGTGTTCGTCGGGGTCACCGTGACGCCCTGCAACACTTTATTCGCGATGGCCGTAATCTCGTCCGTCGACTTCCACAATCCGCAGCCGAGACCGGCGCAGAGCGCGGCTCCGAGCGCGGTCGTCTCAATCATGCGCGGCACGTAGAGGTCCACGCCAAGGATATCGGCCTGCATCTCCAGCAGCAGACGGCTGTTCGTCAGACCGCCATCGACGCGCAGGCGCTTCAGCTCGACGCCGCTGTCCTGGTTCATCGCCAGCAGCACCGCGCCCGCCTGCATCGAGATGGCCTCCAGCGCCGCACGGATGATGTGCGACTTGTTCGTCTTGTACGTCATGCCGACAATGGTGCCACGCGCCGTCGGGTCCCAGTAGGGGCAGAGCAGGCCGCCAAAGGCGGGAACGAAGACGATGCCGTCCGTGCTCGCCTCCTTCCGGGCGATCGCCTCCATCTCGCGGGGGTGGCCGAAGAAGCCCAAGTTTCGGCGCATCCACTCCACCGTCGCGCCGCAGCTGGCGATCGAGCCCTCGAGGGCGAAGGTGGTGGGCTTGTTGCCCAGCTTGTAGCCGATGGTGGCCAGAAGCCCGTGCTTCGAGTACTGCACCTTCGGGCCCACGTTCATCAGCATGAAGCAGCCCGTGCCGTACGTGTTCTTCGCGTCACCCTTGTGGAAGCCCATGTGGCCGAACAGCGCGCTCTGCTGATCGCCAATGCAGCCGGTGATCGGCGTCGTGACGCCCAGTGCCTCGACGACGCCGAACTCCGGCGTGGCGATGTCGCAGTAGCGCTCGCTGTTGCTGCGGATCTCCGGCAGCGCCTCGATTGGGATGTCCAGCTTCTTGCACAGCTCCGCCGACCACTTCTGCGTGCTCAGCTCCATCAGGAAGGTCCGGCTCGCGTTCGACACATCCGTCACGAACGTCTTGCCGCCGCTCAGCTTGTACATCAGCCAGCACTCGATCGTGCCGAACATGAGGGTGCCGTTCTTGCGCGCCTCCGCGACAGCCGGCACGTTCTCCAGCATCCAGCGGTACTTGAAGGCAGAGAAGTACGTGCTCACCGGCAGGCCGGTGATCTCAGCGGCGAAGTTGTTGTTGCCGCCGCCCACCTCCTTGGCGATGCGGTTGCACACCTCGTGCGTGCGCGCGTCACTCCACACAGGGGCGTGGCACAGCGCCTTGCCGGTCTTGCGGTCCCAGGCAACGCTCGTCTCACGCTGGTTCGTGATGCCGATGCCGCTGATCTTGTCGAACTTCGGGTCCTTCGCGCGCAGCTTCTTCACCGCGTTCGTCACGCACAGGCAGCAGTTGCGGAAGATCTCATCCGCGTCGTGCTCCAGCCAGCCGGGCTGCGGCGTGAACTGCTCGTGGGGCAGCTGGTGGTCCGCAGCAACCTTAAAGTGGTCGTCGAAGATGATGCACCGGCTCGAGGTCGTGCCCTGGTCAATGGCGGCAACGTACGGCATCGTGGAAACAGAACAGCGTTATTGGTATTTTTATGGGGAGAAAAGTGAAAGGAGAATCGTTTTTGTTTTGGCTGATGTGGGGAGACCGGTTTGAGAAGAAAGACGGAGGGGATGGCGGTTACTTATCTTCCCCGCGTGTAGGTTTACGCGGTGGACCCGGTGGCGGCGTTCACGTGGCGTCGCCGCAGCGTTACGCGAGGGGGGAGGAGAGCGGGGAGAGGTAGAGAGACGGTGAATGCGAAGGAGTCCAGTTATGACGTAGTGTTGTCGAGTACTCTCAGTACGGTACTGCAACATGGAATATAGTAGCGTTGAACCGCTGTATAGAGAAAGCGTCTGAAGGTTCTACCGAACGCGCTCTAAAGTTTTTGTGTTGATGGACTCTACTGCTCAGCGCAAAGACCGCCTTCTTTCCTTCTTTTGAGGTCGCGGTTGCGTTTTGATGATGTTGTGAAGTGCCTTCTTAGTTGGACAGCTATAGATGATGACGGGTAGACACTCTACCATTAACAAACACTTCCGCAGACGACGGTGGCGCCCTTCGGTATCTTGTTTCTCTGGCTCAAGTATACTAACCCATGATGTTAAGCCGATTGATGCGGCAGTGGGAAGCGACAAGAGCGTGGTATGCGAAGCGAGGGAGCTGCATACGATGTCGAAGGAAAATCCGACCGTTACAAACACTATCAACACGAAAACCTTGTGAAAAGAAAAACAATGTTGCAAGACACAATCTATCAGTGCACCCACTGCGCGACTCACCTCCCAAAGAGAAGCGAGAACGCACAGCGGGCATCCTCCACGGTCGAGACACGGTGCGTCATGACGTTTCCGACTCAGTGTCGAATTGTGCTAAACGTGGATCATCATATAGATGCGAGGCAACGGCAATCAATTCAACCCCCGATGTACATCTGACAGGGATAACCATCCATTCACACATAAACAGAGATACAAACAGTTGCCACATTTTCTTCTAGGGTTCAACGCTGTCTTTTCGGAGTTCCCTTTGCACTTCTTTAAGCCAATCGTGACGGAAACAGCGTTGTCAGTGCACCCACTGCCCACCACACCCCCTAGAAAAGAAGATGTGTGCACAGCGGGCATCCTCCACGGTCGAGACACGGTGCGTCATGACGTTTCCGACTCAGTGTCGAATTGTGCTAAACATGGATCATCATCCAACGCAGCAAGCATCTGAACAGTTGAAGCAGGAACCCATCTCGTACCATGGCAAACGCATTTATTCATCACTGTACGATGACGAGCACGATAGTACAAAGTGAAACTCTTTCCACGCTCCCGTGCGAACTCGCCTTCTTTCTTTTCCTTTCCGATCATCCTGCTTACGGCATGCGTTAATATAAACAAACATCTCTGTAATTCTTGACGCTAGAATTCGTAATCATCCAGAAAGGCAGAAAAACGCAGCACCTCAAGACTTTTTAATCCTTACTCTGCACTGGACATCCTTTCAAATTTCTTTTCCTTCTCCGCTGTAGAGCGCGCAGCTGCACTACCTCCAAAAGCAGGCTCACAGACAAAGAAAAAAGCCAGATACGTGGGCAGTCTGAGCCAGACGCCTTTCCTCCGGTCGTTTGCTAGTCCTCTCCGTCCCTCCTGGTCATCCTGCTTACGGCATGCGTTAATCCAAACAAACATCTCTGTAATTCTTGACGCTAAAAAGTTGTAATCATACAAGAAAAGCAACGAGGAGGAAAAGCAAACGACCGGTAAGAGGAAGAAGCGCTCATTCGTTTCTCACGCAACAGAAGAAAACATCGCGGTCACTCCTGCGTTGTCTTACTTCGTCGTATTTGTAGGAGAGTCGAAGAGGAAGCGGTAAGATGAAGAGAAGATAGAGAAGCAGCTGGAAGACCACAGGCAAGTGGAGCACGAATATACAAGGATATGAAAATTTAGAAGCGCCGGTCGTTGTGATTTGAAAAAAAAAAGTGCGCGATTTCTTTCCTTTCGTTGTTACGGATTTTTCCCCCGTACGGCGTCTCCTCTCCTGCATCGAGAAGAATGAAAAGCGTTGATCTGCTGTCCTTCTTTCTTCCTCTGCAAACGTGCTGTGTCGTCAAACCCGACCCCGATCAGCGTAAGAGGGAAAAGCCTTTTGAAAGAAAAGACTCTCGCTGTTCTATTCTATCTTTTTTCTTCTTGCTTATCTTCTGTGCGCCGTCAACCTTTGCACAACACGTATACGCAGCAGAAACCCAGTGAACAATAATAATAAAAACAACAACAAGAAATAGTGTTTATGCACACACAGTCGTTTTCGATAGTACCTCTTTTAGCAGTGAAAATGGCAACAAGAAGAATAAATTTGAAGAAGATGCCGCGCCGTCCAGAGTCGTTGGAAGGAAACATTAAGAAAAAAAATGGAGAGTTGCTCTTCATCTTGAGTGGCTGAGCTGCGCTCCTTAGAGCTTCATCATCTCCAGCGGAACAGACAGGTCCTTCAGCGGTAACGCACCACCCTTCACCAGTGAACGCTTCTTCAGTTTTCCTTCTTTCAAGTTTTGCTCGCGCTGTGCCACCAGTTCGGGCTGCAGCTCCGATTTCCCAGTCACCGCCACCCGCTGACACATCCCGGTCTGATCAAAGCGAAGATTTCGAATGGCGGCGAGACAGGTGGTAGAGGCACCTTTAGACCCTTGATCCATATCGGTATACTCGATGAACGTCCACTTCGTAGTGTTGGGGCTGTTGGCGGCGACACTGTTGAGGCCCTTTGCGATCAGCGCCCCCGCGTATCCCGCATCCGGTGAGACCCACGGGGTCTCGCGAATAGTCTTCTCCAATTCTCTCTCTATGGTGCTGTAGTTCTCCGTTCGCTGCTCCGAGTTGAACTGCCGCACGATGGGACACCGCTTCGGGATGTCCTTCTCGTTTGTGTACTGGTAGCTAAACCGGTTCGACGTCACCCTGCGTGAGGCGATGGCTTCCGGGTCGTAGACAAACATGAACTCGCGGAAGTCTTCAAACTTGCGCTGCGTGGCGCGGCGGTACATCGACTCCTCGCGGATGCGCAGCGCATCAATTTGCACCTCCGTCGACTCCGGCGGCTGGCTGTACTTCTTCTCTAGCGCATTATCCAGCTTCATCGGCATGGGCGGCGGCAGGCCCTCATCCATGCTTTTCAAGTGCAGGCGCTTTTCCTCCAGCATGCGATTCACCGTGTGGTAGCGCTCCACGCTGTAGAGCAGCACGGCCACGACGGTGGCGAGCGAGATCGCAATTTCAGAGCCGCTGAAGAGGAAGAGAAATTCACGGAAGAGGGTTCGCTTGTGGTGGGTGCGGCGGCGATCGTTCTCCTGCCGCGCCCAGCGCTCCTTCTCGCGCCGGTCGTTCTCCTGGCGGACGCGCGCATTCCGCTCCTCCCAGAAGGCGCCACCGGTCGGCGTGGTTTTTTGGCTCGACCCCGCGCCGCGGTGGAAGCGCGTGGAGTTGGCCGCGCCGTCACCTGAAGTGCCGGTGGGGTTTGCGTTGTGGCTGCGGTACTCGGCCCGCAGAAGACGGTAGGCGGTGTTGATCTCGCGGAACTTCACGGGGTCGCCGTCCTGCATGTCAGGGTGGTACTTGCGTGTCAGCTCGTGGAAGCGGTGGCGGATCTCCTCGAAGGGGGTCCCTGGAGCCACACCGAGCACCTGGTGTGGGCTAAGTGGACTGGTGCGCTGATAGGGCGCGCCAAGGAGGTGGAAGGTGCGACGATGCATCGTGGGTGTGAAAGAAGGTGGAGAGAAAAAAGAAAAAAGAGGTCTTTGTTCGACAACAAATAAATTAATACGGTTTGCAAAAAACAACAAACACGATAGCGATGTAATTGAGCTAACAGGAGAAAGACGAGAGAGAAAAGAGAAATAACGCTAGCTGAAACCTACCACCTCAATATAAAAAAGAAAGAGCTGCAGTTGAAGAACTACTTCTTACTTGCTATGATAGGCGTGAGAGGAGAGGGGAAAAAATATAGATTTGCTTCTCTTGCCTACTGTCGTGAAACACACATGCTTCGACGAGTATTACTAGGAGACTAGCGAAGCGGCGGAACGGCGAAACGGGAGCTTGGAACCTGAACCGCAAACAAACGGGCAATGTATTCCTTTTTATTGTTTCAGCCGCACACCTGTGAAAAGTACGCTTCCATACAGTGTAGAAACGAGTAGAAAAGAGACTTTTTTATATACACGGGTCCCCGACTGATGGATGATTAACGATAGTCAACACCGCAAACGCAACACTAAGCCTTCCCCGTGCTGCGTTGAGATGAGGGTCTATGTGGAGCTGCACAATCTTCGAAATGTAGCCATAGATAATTGAAGAGCTACGCAGCGCTTCGCAACTGTAAAAAAAAAAAAGAAAAGGGGAAACAGAAAGAGGGAAACGCAGAGAGACTTACGGTGTGCGGTGATGCGGGAAAGAGACGTCAGAAGCCATGCGTGAAGAATGCGTACAGTTGGTCCATGCTGTGATATCTTCGTTGCTTGTGTTTGTGTGTTGGAGAAGGGGAGTGTCATGGCTGTGGTGCACGTTTGTGGCGTGTGTGAGCGCTCCCGCAACACAGCTGCCCGTGACCAGCGCATGCCTGAGCTCGTTTCGGTCGCACACACTCACTTCGCCCTATTTTTTCCCCCTTAATGCACACACACACACACACACACAATTCCTTGGAGTGCAACAACCCGATTCGCACTCACCGTGGCACACGCAACAATGACCGCGGACCGGAATAAAAGAGCCACGACTACTTCTTTGAATTCCTCCTATTCGGAATGAAGTGGAATCCGACACCTTTGTTTTTCACTTTTTGGGGGTGGTTATTCTTGTTTAATGGACATTAAGCCGCTTAACAGTCAGTTCTTTTTTCTCTTGCAGCCTTTTCGGTTTAACATGAAACCTTTTTTTTTTACCTTTCTGTCCTTGCCGTCACACAGCCGAAAAAAAAATAGTAACGGCAACGATCCGTCAGTGCGCATGAAAACTTTCTCACCAGGAAAAAAAACAAACAGACATGCACACACGCACCGAAAAGTACAAACAAACAAAAACAAATGCATGCCCAACTCCGCCAACAACAGCAAACTAGATCAGGTGGCATTCACGTGAGTTTGTGCGGGAGAATCCGCTTTAAAAATTCAGCGAAGATGCAGCGTATCGCTTCTTACATAAAAAAGCTTCCTTGTTCGTGTTGTTTATTGAGACTCCCACTTCGGTAGAGAAAAAGTTTCAGATGCCTGAAGCTGGTCTTCGTTTGCTGTCTTCTTTTTCTCTTTACTACGCGAAGGACAAGCTGTTTCTTCAAACCTCTATTTTTATTTGCTTGCATTATTACAGAACAACGAAGATGGCGCTTCTTTGGAGGAAGAGGAGGAGGAGACGATGACGGGGAGAGAAGAACAGAAAAGTCCCCCTCCCCCCTCCCTCGTAAGTGTAAGTGAGCATGTGTATGAGTGTGCACGGGGAGAAAAGGCACCCGACGAAACGTAAGCGAAATCTGGTGAAAGAGAGTAAGAAAGAGGGGTGTGGGCGTGACTGGCCTACACGGGGTAAAGAAACAATAATATAAAGAAACGCTCTCTTTCCTCAGATTGGTATAACACGCATTTGGTTTCTTTTTCTCCGCCTTCCACAAAAACGCGAGACTCTGCCGAAAAAACAACCAAAAAAAAACACAATTGAAAATCCTCAGGCGGGAAGCGAGAAAATGCGGGAGTAAATAATCAAAAAGAGAAAGGCAGAAAAGAGAAATATATATATATAGGGTTTTTTTTTTACTTTTCAAAGAAGAGCAAGTTGCCAGCACCTACAGAGAGAACGTAGAGGAAGATGAAGACAAAACAAAACGAAAAGAAAAACGACAAGTCAAAATCCATATTAATCGGAGAAAGGAGATGTCAGACACTGTATACATTATATATTGTCTTACGATGAATATAGAGAGAGAGCTATCTTGTTTCTGTTTTGGTTTTTTTTTTAGTTTGCTTTTCCATGTCTGCGCTTTAACTAAATTACACGCCGCCAACCTTTTTCCCTTCATCATTTTGCAGGTCAACCGAAAAAAAAAAAGAAAGAGAAGATGAACTAAAAACACCGGAATAGTGGAGATGAAGGGGGAAAGAAAGAAAAGAAAACGGATAGCGACATGTCAAGTCAAAGGCAGACAGATTCTTTTTTCTTTTTTTTTTAAGAGAACATTAAATCCAATAATACCATATATACCGTTTAAAACAAACAAACTTACAGAAAACGATCTGAAAAAAAGAGAGAGCCTCAAACGTTCCATCGGCCAAGGTGTTAGTTTTTCTCGCTGAGCAGGCCTTAAAAGCCACCGTCATCGAAATTACCCCCGCGACGTGTCGCCGCGGAAGGAGCCGCGGGGCGGCCCTGTCCCCAGGTACCACCGCCACCGCCACGACCACCACCACGATCACCACCACCACCGCGGTGGCCACCGCCACCGCCACCGCCACCGCGACGACGACCACCTCCGCTGTCACGCGAGAGCAGCGCCTCCCCCTCGACGAGCTCCGCCTCCTGCTGGAACCACTTCGGAATCTCCTGGCCATGTTCGGTGAAGTACTTGTGCATCTCCAGCGCCAAGCGACGGTTATTGCGGTTGTAGAAGGCGGTCGCGAGACCCTTGTTTCCCGCACGGCCCGTACGACCGATGCGGTGCGTGTAGTCGTCCATCTCCTGCGGCAGGTCGAACTGCACGACGTGTGCCACATCTGGGATGTCGAGTCCACGAGACGCCACATCGGTGGCGACGAGAATCGGCGTGACCTTCTGCTTGAAGTCTTCCAGGGCGGCCTCGCGATCCTGCTGGCGGCGATCGCCGTGGATGGTGGCGCTCTGGATGCCCTCGCGGTGCAGCCGGCGGTTCACCTCCTCGGCCATCTTCTTCGTCTCCACAAAGATGAGCACCATATCGCTCATCTCGTGACCGTAGATGATCTGCAACAAGCGGTCCATCTTCTCGTTGTCCGGCACGTTCTCGATCGTCTGGGTAATGTTCTTCGTCGTCGACCCGACGCGGCCGACGGTGAGCAGGTAGTACTTGCGGCGCAGGTAGCGCTTGGCCAGGTTGAGGATGCGCTGCGGGAAGGTGGCGCTGAACATGAAGGTCTGGCGGTCGTCAACGGTGGGCATGTCCGTGTAGCGCGACGCGACAAGTTCCTCGATCTGCTCCTCAAACCCCATCTCCAGCATGCGGTCGGCCTCGTCGAGAATGAGAAACTTGATGGCGGAGAAGGAGAGGTACTCCTCGTTGAACATGTCACGCAGACGCCCAGGGCAGGCGACGAGGATATCCTGCTCGAAGCGGTTGGGGTAGCGGGTGCCGCCGTAGACCACGTCGTAGAAGATATCCGTGTTGAAGGTCAGCTTGCGCACCTCGTCGAAGATCTGCACGGCCAGCTCGCGCGTGGGGGCCAGCACGAGGGCGATCGGGTAGCTTTTGCGGTTGCGCGCCGGCGACACGCCGTACACCAGGATGTGCTGCACCACCGGAATCAAGAAGGCGGCCGTCTTACCGGAGCCGGTCTGTGCGCAGGCCATGAGATCGCTGCCGGACAGCGCAACCGGGATGCCGTAGCGCTGCACGGGCGTGGGACGCTTGTATCCGCAGCGCTCGATGTTCTGCGCGAGGGCGGGCTCGACCAGCAAATCCACGAAATCCTCGACGGGCTTGATGTCGCGCGGCACCATCTCGACCGGGATGCTGTCGTAGTTCTCCAGCGAGATGCCGGCCTGGCGGTGGTGGTGCGTGAAGAGCTCCTCGACCTTCGCCTCATCGTGGCAGTTCTTGCGCAGGTGGGGCGCACGCACGACACGCTGAATCGTCGCGTGCGGCGGCGCGGGCCCCGGGGCGGCGGCCTCCTCCCAATCCCCCGGCGCCTCCGCCCGCTGCTGCTGCGGCTCCTGTGCAGGACGCGACGCCACGATGGAGGCAGCTGTTTGAGGGGCCACGACTGCAGGGGCGGGCACCTCGCGAGGGATGACGGGGCGCTCCTCCGCCGCGGGAGTCGTGCTCGCCGGTTCGGGCGACGCCGTCCAGGCGTTCTCCTGCGTCGCCCCCGACTCCTCGGCGCCGTCGTCCCCATCGCGGAAGTTGCGGAAGCCACCACCGCGGCCACCACGGCCACCACGACCGCGCGGCCGGTCGTAATCGAAGTCGCGACCACCACCACGGCCACCGCCACGGCCACCCCGACGGAATCCGCTACCCTGATAACCTCCCTCGTTGTTGTAGCCACGCTCGCCCTCCTCCTCTCCCTCGGCGGCGTCGTTGCCGTAGCCGCCTTCGTCGTCGTAGAAGCGACGCCCGCCGCGCCCTCCACGTCCACCGCGGGGGCTGAAGCCACCGCCACGACCGCCGCGCCGGAAGCCGCCACCGAAGCCGCCCTCTTCACCGCCGGCGTCACCGCCATCGTCATCGCCACGGCGAGCGTTGTAGTAGTTGCCGCCAACATCGCCTTCCTCCTCGGCGTCGTAGTACCGGCGGCTACCGCGTCCGCCACGGCTGCTGAAGCCGCCGCGGTTGCCACCACGGAACCCGCCACCGCCGCCGCGGCTGTAGCCGCGGTCGTCCTCGTGGCCCCAGCGATCGGTGTTCATCTCGCGGCTCTCCGACGGCGGCTGCTGCTGCTGCGCCGCGGACTCCGCGTTGCCCCCCGCTGCCGGGACGGGATCCTTGGCAACCTCCGTCGCCGGGCGGTCACCCCTGTTCGTCTCGCGGTCTGCCCAGGAGTCCTGGAAGCCACGGGCACCGCGGCCGCCTCCGCGACCGCCCCGGAAGCCGCCGCCGCGCCCGCCGCGGTAGTCCCCGCCCTCGCCGTCGCCGGAGGCCGGGAAGGAGCGCCAGTTGTCCGATTGGTGGGCCCCGCCACGGCGGCCGCGTCCACCACGTGAGTATTCGCGTCGGTCGTCACGGAAGGTGTTTACATTACCACCTTCCACGGCGCCATCTCGTTGATACTCAGTGTCGGAGGTTTTCTTATCGTTGGTATAATCCATAAATAACTTGGGTAATTTCTTGACGCGTGAGTGAGAGTGTTTGGGGCAAAGAGCCATGATGGAATATGAATACACAACACATCGTAGAGTGTTGTTGTTTGTTATCGAGCGAACGCGCGTAAGTGTAACGCAGGAAAGAGAGAGACAACAATATTTTGTAGAATGGGAGAGAGAAGAAAGGCGAGAAAAGGTAGAAGACGTTTGGAAAACTACTAATGACAATGAACTCGCGAATAAGAAACCTCGTTGTGAAAGGCAAACGGCCCTCGCCTCCCTTTCTCTAGGACCCCATTCATGACTCGTTCTCCATCCTGCTATGCAAGTTTCACCACGACAGATGTTGCACATACACGAGATAATATGCGTGATTTCTCTTTTGTTTTTGGAGTACTCTTTCCGTCGCACGCACGACGAAGTTGCTTCGCCTCACCTGCTCGCGGAGCATACATATACAAAGTCCAATTGTTGTCGTCATCAACAGAAACGACACAGAGAAGCGGGTAAACGCTGTCCAGACAAGAAAACTTTTTTCGAGATATTTTCAAAGATACCGCTCAAGCAAGCAAGTGCAACTGTGACCTCCCTATCAGCAACGTTCGTGATGTGATGCACAACTCCGTACGTACGCGTGGGAAGCGGAGCAACGACAACAAAATACTCAACAGTGGCCACGACACCTGAAGAAAAAAAAACATTTCGATCATACTGTGTTTTCCTTTTTATTTCTTAAAGAGCATGCAGCGCTATTATTATTACCTTTCATTGAAAGTCGTTCTCCTGAAACAGCGACACGCGTCTCGTGCATTTGACTCTTCTGGCAAGGCTCATCTCTCTCACCGGTGATTGAAAAAGTATATATATATATATATATATATATATATATATAAAAGGTATA